TATTGCATTTCTTAAAAGTTTGAATAGGGGTCGATGCTAACCGTTTGAATCGATACACGCTACGCCTCGAATACTTTTACGGACGCGCGGAGGCCATGGACGACATGGAAGTTAGCATGTGATGCCAAAACGAGGATGTTATGTGTATCATTTCGACTGCATTTTTTAATTGAGTTCAATTTTTAATTTGAGTTATTCTATTTTCATCGGGCACACGACACAAATTCATCGGCAGATGGCCAATTGCTTGGGCACACGGCTAATTATATCGGGCACACCGCCAAATATATCGGGCACACGACCTCGGCGGGCCAAATTAAACGGGCACATGGCTAATTATATCGGGCACACCACCAAATATATCGGGTGCACGGCCAAATACATCGGGCATTCGTCCAACTTAACTGCAAAAAGGTGTAGTAGAATATTATTTCTTGTGGTTTCCACGATATTTCTGATAAAATTATGGAATTTAACTTGGTCAAGAAGACACGCCAAATTGAAGTCGCTGAGATTCTTGAATATTTTGCAGAATTATCGCGATATTTCTCAATAAAAGTGGTATCCAGATCCAGACGGGCCCTTACCATGTAAAGAACGAATTCGAATTTATTTTATGTGATGATTGGCTCCAACAGAAAAGCCGTTTCAGAATTAGCCAATCAAAGTCTGCAAATGACGACGAAGCTAGATTTGTCGAGTTACAATAGATGCGTCATATCCAGTTCTAGGCCACTAATTCGCTCTAGAGGCGTTGCATGGATCCTGTTTGCCCTAACCCTTCGTTGATGTCTAGCCTTCATACACCGCGACATGCTTTGGCAGTTACGGACCTAAATATTTATCAACACATTTTCAAGGTGCAGTCTACGACACAGAAAACACTGCCATGCAGATCATTATAGTACTGTAGTCCACGGTTTATTCAGCCTGCCGCTAGGGCGAACCAAGTTGACCAATACTAGTGCATAGTCCATCATGCTTCGGTCTCGCCATATCACACCATCCACGGACTGGCTTGACCCCTTGCTTGATGCACACACTGCGACGCTGGTCCTGTGGGTTGAGTGAAAGGGGAGGGTTCTGACTCGACCCTAACTAAGCTTCCTGGTGTCGATGCCAAGGACCTGAGGAAACCTGGGACTGAACCAGCGACCATCGGTGTGTTCTTGTCCTACTTAGATCAGGTGTAAAGTGATCTATAAGTAAGTAGACGCGCTCCCAACTGAGCCAAAAGAACTGGTCAATCTGGACATGAGATTGTACTACGAGAATTAGTACTCTCGACTGGTTGGAACGTCATACACGCCGTTCCGTCCAGGCGGCTGAGACAATCCTTGTGCTTGGTTTCACACAGCCGCACACACAAATCGTCTCATTCGATGCGATCGAGGCAGCGCCACAAATTCAGCCGACACTTCAATTTGAGTTGGCCACTGGCAGTGTATCGCGCGACAAAGCAGTCCGACCCGCGGTGGCTGAACAGCGGCATGAGGTTATACTTGGCGTTGTGCTCGTGCAAGGCGTACAAGGAGGAAGGCACCAAGAGTTCCCACATGGCGTTTGGGCCATCAAAAGCGTGGTCGAGTTGAGGCATGTTAGTGGCGCCGCATAGACGAATACTCTAGCCGAGCTCGACAAAGTTGGTTACGAGGGTGGGTGACAAAATGCCCGTAGTAATTGACGTACATTTCACGGCACACGTACACTGTAAGCCCGAGGTGGTACGCGAGATTAACCAGAGGGCCAATTCGTTTTGCCAGTGTTGCATCACTTAGGATACCCCAACATTGATGGAATCTGCGTTGCCCAACGGTAGGTCGCGAAAAGCCCAGACACACTGCTCGGCTAATAATGTCAGAGACCGAATATTGTGGCACCAACCTGCAGTCATCGCTGAGACGTTTGCTAGAGAGAATCACACGACAGTTCGAATGCCCGAGCCGTAGAACATCGCCCCTAAGCCCATGTCACTGGGTGTCATAAGTGCAGACAGGAACGAAAAGGGCAGACCATGCATGCTTGCAACGTTTAGCGCCCCGACCCCACTCAGGAATGCCATAGGTTTGTGCCACGCCACAATCGCCAGGTGGGATGTCGGAGACCGAAAGACGTGCACTTTGGCCATGCAAACTGACGGTGATGCGATCGGCATATGTCAAATGAGATGTTAGGTTGGTATAATAGGGGACATGACCTAAAATATACTAGTATGTACCCTTCAAATCAGTCATACCGGTATGCGAAACGTTCATTGCATACGGTAATACAGCTCAAACAAAGATTGTCGCCCAACTTCGCTATCCTATCGCATACGAGTAGTACTAAACATGATTGCACATCCAGCAGTTCCAGAAATTGAAGATCTTTCGAAGACATTACATTACCTTCTCATGCCGTTGGGGACAACGGCCAACTACCCGTAGGTAGTACGTTTCACTCATCGGTGTCAAACTGTAATCCTGTATTCACTCAAACTGTCATCCTGTATTTAATGTGCACTCCTGTACACATCTGATTGGCTCCAAAAAATAGGGGTTTCAGTTTCCGGCCAATCAAACCAGATTATACTACTGCCCAGAAATTGAATAAGAAATCAATCCTATCCTACATTCGTTGGTGAGTTTCTAACACAACGGTATACACGGTATCCTTCACTGTTACCTCAAGCTCCCGCTTGCTTCGACACGGATCGATGTTGCGAAGTACCCCGCACTGATCCTTTCGACGGCTCCCCAGCCGTCACATGTTACGACATGCGGGGCATCGAGGCTGCGACCGTCAGGTGTCGACAACATGCAGCACCGCTTGATCGAATCTCCTCCCAACGTAATGGACTTGACTAGAAACCATCCCCATTCGTCATTAAGACCCCGAGCTGCGGTACGAGGAACTCATCAAGCACGGATCGCCAACGAACGAGGTCTTCTTCGGGGTAACAACGGCGCACGAAATTCGAATGAACAACAGGTTCAATTCCAAGGTTCAACGGCTTGACATAACACTGGGATTTGAAAATTGTTGACAAAACCCGTCGTCACGAACAGTTCATGTCCGACAGGCAGCGGGGATGCTCTTGGGGTCTCGCTAATGAAGGCGTTGTCATGGTATTCGAAGGGCCTCGCTGCCTAATATGTACGTCCCTCGCATTTGGATCAACTGACAGTTTGTCTATCGCTCGAATGATTGCGGCATGAAGTGAGGCGAGGGCTGCGACCTTGCAACCTTGCCACGCATGCGATGTATTGTCAAGCTACGCACCCAATTGAGAACTTCAAAACGACTGGAAAAGATTTCGAGGGTAGAAGAGCATTGCTTACAGATGGTTTATTATCCCCGTGCCAAACCTAATCATGATGCAATCTTGCACGCATGTGCCTCTCGGCAGTGGTTTGACAATATAGCTCGCAAGTCTGTGAAGAGGTTGTTGCATTTCTCGAAGTGGGGGGGGTTGCTTTTCGTCGTGACTAGGACGAGAAGTAGGACGAAGGTGTGGCCTCTACCAACGTCGGCAAAGGGACGCGGAATTGGCGGTGGAGCACGAAGTTGCTGACGCCGTCATTGCCAGCCAAGTGATCGCACACGATCACAACTAGGCAAAGAGGAACGACAGGTCGACTTGAGACATCCAAGCTCCGGAAACACAAGTCAAAGCTACTGTGAGCCAAGTCGAAGTTCCCTAAGACGACATATACGTTCACCAATTCCTAGGTTATTGACTGAGTGGCCACATTTGACGTGCATCAGCGTAAGAATGGTGGTCGAACCGTCAGCAGTACTTTACTACTGTAGTACCAGCCACAATTGCTCCACTCTCACAATGAACGCCTGTGGCTACAATATGGCGATTTACTATAGGTCATTGATGAAGTAGTATGGGTTGTTCACTGTTTGATCAAGTTGCTGTGTGATTTTTGTGCTGGGCAGCCGCCGCCCGGACCACAACCTCGTCCACCGTTCGATTCATCGCCACTTTGAGCTGCTTGCCTCATTCCAAGACCGTTCGCAGGGCAAATGGAACCTTCGCCGCGGCGGGATATTGACCTGGATTACCTGGGAAGTGGCCATGGACATCTGTTAACGAATACGCGGACGCCATGCAGTCCCGCGCGACTTCTTCGAGGGTGCTCAGGTGGTTGCCCTTGTCGCACACGACCTGGAGCAACGCTTTGAGCTGGGACGTGTCTTTGCAGTTGTTGGGTTTACTCGCTCACTTGGATCCTGTGACAATCAACACACACTCCTGAGACCAACAAACATTCGGCCTCTCGTCGTCGTGTGTACGAACCACCCCCACTCACTTTCGACGCTCGACGGCCTATTACAAATCAGAATCAGAATCAGATGTACTCGATAGATACTAGAATCAGATTACCATGAGCCAACCGAGTGTCCGAAGCAGACGAACGACCCCTTGACGAATCAGAATCAGACAAAAGAATCAGAAATCGACGATCAGACACACCAGTCGACAGATCTGTACAGTGTATAAATCAAAGGCACCCTGTTGGAAACGAACCTAAGCCTATCGTACTTCGGACGACAGCGGCGGGCCGCTCAAGCCGCTGCAGACGTCCCACACGGCGGGGGAGCGACAATTGATCAACACCGGGGCCGCGATCGAGAGTCGGTTGACGTACTCGACGACGACTTTAAGGGGGTTTTGCAGATGTATCCTCGGGACTACATGCATGCCGTTTCCTAACCGACCAAGCAGTCCGGACGCGAAGAACGCCGCGCGGAGGCGGCTGTACTGGCGGCGAGTTTGCATGGTTGCCATGCTTCTACATCTGTCGCAGGCTAGTAGCATGAAAGCATGGTTTAGAGATGGTCCTGATCAAGATGACATGGAAGCGAATAAAGCGATAAAAACCCGAAACCCCGAAACTATCACGTGGGTCACATGTCATCGATGAAGGTGGCTTGGCGGTGCACACAATCGCGAATGCGTTCGTTGTCGTACAGCGCTTTGCCAACGGCGTACTTGTCCTCTCGTGCAGCGCGCTCCCACAGAGACGATGCGACGACGGGCACGGACAACATGGACTCGCGCTGCTCTTGCACCCAGCAGACGAGCCTTCAACGCATCAACTTCCCGCCCAAGGATCTCCTGACGCTCACGAACCTTGGTGTAGTCTTTGGACCTTGTGTCGTCGTCGGCAGTGGAGATGGGTGACTCTGACAATGTGTCGTCGTCGCTCGGAGAAGAAGTGGACGGCGCGTGCAATGATGACACGTACGGGAGCTCGTCCTCTAGCTCATGTTATGCTGTAAACAGGAACGGCAAGTCTTGCAGCACATCCCAGTGCTGCTGCGCCTGCCATGTCGGACTAGTTTTTGTCATATTTATTATAATATCAGTATGTACTGTAACAGTATTCAAGATCGGCAACAATATCGCATGAATCGTCGCTAGTCGAAGCGACGAGTGCGCCGCCAGTTTCGAGGACTGCCAAGTCGAGTGTGCTTGAGGCTAGGATGCATGCACATGAGAGTACGTGGATATGAATGGACGGAGGTGGAGGGGATCTAGTACTGTATACCTAGTGCAGACGCGGCTACTTGCGACGCAGTAGCACCCCTGCATGCAATCGATGGATATCGTGTTGTCATCGTTGATGAAGATGCGAAGTTGTGTGTGCTCGTGGAGGCTTCGCTTCATGGCGAGCATTTCTTTCTTTGCGTGTTGTTGTTTGCCATGTGAAGGATGCGAGTGACGACAACATGGAGGAGGCTGAGGTAGCTTGGCGCCGTTCCAGATCACCGCGCAACTTGTCGACTTGGTGCCGAAGTGTATACAATTTATCCTTTTGACGGGATTCGTAGGCGTTTTGAGGTCGCTATGGGGAAGCACGTCTGTGCCGTGCTGTTGACGTTGTTAGAAGTTGGGTCGTCAGTGGCTCATCGCCGCTACTGCCGACGGTAGTAGCGATATTGTTGTTTGCTCTGGGTGTATCCATAAAGTCACAGACGTGCGCCAAGTCTTCATGCAGGGCGTCGTCCTCCGGCGCAAGTCCATTGTGATTTCCAAAAGACAGGTAGAAACTCTGAGAACGCATTAATGGACGGAAATAAATCAATTCCTACAGGGATAGCTACAGAATTGGCCGCATGCCGCCGAAGACGACATACTCGGTCACCGACATGGCAAGCGCAGTCAAGGACGTTCTGAAGAAGGCCGACACTTCCCTGAACATTGCAAAGCGTTACGGCATACCCACTCGAACCTTGCGCGCTCATGTGAAGCAAGCCAAAAACGTCGGCGACTCCGCCGTTCCTCCCAAGCGCATGGGTCCGAGGCCGACCTTGCCAATGTCGATCGAACACGACCTGGTTACATGGATTGCCGACATGGAAAGGGATGGTCGTGCTGTTGGACAGACACAAATCCTAAACAAGGCGAATGCAATCCTCGCAAGGATCCAAGGCAAGTCGGCTTCGCTGACCAAAGGCTGGTTCTACCGGTTCATGAATCGGCATCCCGTGCTATCGAGGAAACAAGTGCGAGTTGGGACGGCCACAGCCCGTCGTGGTGCCATATCAAGTCGACATACACAACGCTAATTATTGCCCTAGTGTTTATCATCTTGCATTCTGTACAGTACGACGTCGTCCAGGCTCCCGAATACAACATTGCATCCTTCACAGCGCCCCCGCCACGGTGGCCAACTGTGCGCGATACGTGGCCACGGCATCCTTGACGGACACTTGAAGCGCGAGTTCGAGCCGCTTGCCGCGATTCATAAAGTTCACGTCGGCATCTGCATGTTGGTCGTCCAGAGATGGCAACACCAACGAGGACGCATCCCCCAACGACAGATTCTGCACGAATGACGTGATGTTGTCCATCAATTCCTCGCCTGCACACGGACAGACCTTGACAGGACTACCCACGTCATGGGGCACTTGACCCAACAACGCCAAGCGGCACTGGGTCGGGTCTTCCGGCACGGGCGCGACCACAATCCTACGGCGGCGGCGGCGGCGGATTAGCCAACTCTTTTTGACTAGTACTAGTATCTCGAGTAGTACATATATGTACCATCCCCATTCATTTTGCACGTTTCCCGTGGCCATGGCAGGCCGCAGTGCGTCTTCTAGCACCGCGCGCCACACAATCACATGCCGGTCGGGCTCGATATAGTGCTTGTGGATGACATTCACGTGGTTCACATCGCCACTGGCCAAGGTTTCCGTGTACTTGACGTATACCGTGCGGGCGTCCACCGACTCCGTGGTCTACGGACCACCATCATTCTGGGTTGAAAGCGACATGCATTCACGACCCACATTCTGCATTCGTTCGAACAACACACACACACATTCTGAAGGGGACGTGCATTCTGTTGCCGATCTCGATAGCACATACCCGCTCGGCGTTGTCGGCCATGGTGGGCGGTCGTTCGCCGTTGTACACTTGCCAACATGCATTCCCAACGACGCCATAAGGCGCGGGAAGGGTCATGTGGTAGATGTACTCGAGCACGTGGCTGCCGTCGGGGAGGGTCCGTGGGCCAGCGTGGAACAGCACGTCGGTGCGTTCAAAGAGACCGGCAAGGATGAACGCGTTTTGCTGTCGGGTGAATTGGCGGTCTGCGATAGCGTGGATGGCGGCTTCGCGAAGGGACGCTTGCGCCGCCAGCTTGTATTCCTGCCACGTATCCAAGGACACCGCGTCGCCGCCCATGGTCTAAACATGAGTGATTGATGATTAAACGAACGATAAGAATGATGGTCGCACCGCCAACCGCGGCTTTTTGGCAAAGATGTTCTGCATGTGCTCGATGAACGTGGCCTGCTCCGTCACGGCGCTCTGCAGCTGCTCGTTCTCCCGAAGCGATTTGTTCTTCTCGGCGAGCTCGCGCCGCGCCGCCCGCTCCCATGCCGACACACTAACGGAGGTGGACATGAGGCTGTGTTTTGACTGGCTTTTGACCAACTGGGCCTTGAGTTCGATCACTTGAGCTTGTAACTGGAGGATTTCATCCTTCTGACGCGTCTCAAAGCGTACAGGTCCTGCCTTGCGCTTTGGAGGTCGTTTACCTGTCAACAGGACCTCGCCCTGCTGTTGTTGTCGGGGATTCTTTTGATGAAGTGGTTGGGTTGGTGTCGACGACGAATTGTCGCTCTCGTCAGATGTCGTCTTGTCCACAATGTCCTCCGAAGACCTGCCATCGTCGTCCACGGCATTCAACAGATCACATACATGTGCTAGATCGTCCTGGAGCTGGTCGTCTGATGCGATCAGGAAGTGCAGGTCTCGCACAATGTCCCACGACTCTTCTTCCATGATCGGCGCAATTCTTGTGTGTCGCGGTGGCATGACCATGCCATCCGGATGTACAAATTGTTATCCGGTACTTTCTTACGTACAACGACAACGACCTTTCTAATTTAACGTTAAGACTTACACCATACGAACAGTCCAACTGCCTTCGCAGCTCGCTACCAGCTTAATCGCGTCCAGGGACATGGAGTGATGGGCCAACAACTGATCAAGTCATCCTCACTCGAGTGTGTTCCGCTGATGTTGGACATTTCAGGGGAATGTGCGATGGCGTTTGGTGGCGGCATGCATGCACTGCGACATCCTTCCTTGACAAAGCCACTTTAGGAGCACTCTCTTTGCCAAGGTGTCGTGACGTGGCAAAGCTGAACGTGGTATCGCTGGCATGGTATCGACTAGTGTCGTGGAGCGCTTGGTGTCCACTGTTGTTGTTATGCAAAAGGGCCAATGCATGGAATTACCGTACGGGTGGAGTAGTGCTACTAGTATACTAGTATAAAGTACTAGTAACTTAGGATTGTGCTTTTCGTGTACACTTTGCCCTTGGTTGATTTCGTTGTGCGGTCGAGCTCTAGGTCTTACGGTTCAAGATCGTTCAGTTTCAACTACTCAGCATCCGGATAACTATCCGCCTTTCCCAACCATGTTATTAAATCAGGCCCCTTATATACAAATATCAAGTTCTCAAATCCAATGCTACCCTTCGATAAAAAAAATGCTCGCTGGCGCCTCCCAGCCAATCTAATTGCCGGCCTCGGTTTTGGTTGGTGCGTCAAAAAGTCATCAAATTCGCTTCCTTCGACCACCATCATGGACGGGCCCCGAACGGATGTGATGGCCAAGTTGCCGCAGCTGCAGAACATGATCAAGCGTGATCCGTCTGCGTACCAAGATGAGTTCATGATGCAGCTGCGCCACTACGAGAGCGAGGTCGCGATCTTCCGCCTGCAGCCGAACAAGCAGTCCGAGCATTTTGGCGCGCTCGTCACGTTCCTCTCGCACGTGTCGGCGTGCTACCCCACAGAGCTGGCGCAGTTCCCGCAGGACTTGATCTACCTCTTGGAGAAGCATTCGGCCGTGTTGGAAGCGAGTCTGCGCAAGACCCTCGTGCAAGCGTTGATCCTCATGCGCAACAAGAACATCGTGGACGCGCTCGTGCTGCTCAAGCTGTTCTTTGAGCTGTTCCGCGTCCCCGACAAGCGCCTTCGTGAACTCGTGTATTCGCACATCGTGTACGACATCAAGAAAATGCACACGGACGGCGGCGGTCGCAACGAAAAGGTCATGCGCGGTCTGCAAAACTTCATGTACTCGATGGTGGCCGACGAGCACGAGATCGCCGCCATCAAGTCGCTGCATGTGCTCGTGTCGCTGTACCGCAAGCGCATCTGGTGCGACGCACGGACCGTCAACTGCATCGCGACGGCATGTACGTCCAAGAACACGCGGGTATTGGTGACCGCGATCCAGTTCTTCCTCGGCATCGACGCCGACATCCTCGAAGACGACGAAGCAGAAAAGGTCAAAGTGAAAACTCAAGTTGAAGTCAACTATCACTCGTACTCGAAGAAGACCAAGAGCCGATACAATCACACCAAGTCTCAGCTGGTCAAGAACCGCAAGGCGCGCAAACGCAACGCCGAGCACGACGGCACGTTTCCCGCCATCGACCTGCTTAATGACCCCCAGGGCGTGGCCGAGAAGCAGCTGCGTATCCTCAAAGCGTCCAACGAGCGCTTCGAAGTGCGGCTGCTTATGATGGACTTTATCGGGCGACTCGTTGGCCAACACAAGCTCGTGCTCCTGGCGTTCTACCCCCTCCTCCAGCGCTACTTGACGGCACACCAGCAAAAGGTCACCAACATCTTGGCGTACCTAGTGCAAGCCTGTCATGACGAGATCCCCCCCGAAGAGCTCATGCCTGTGGTCCGTACGATTGCAAACTCGTTCATTGTCGAGCGGTGCTCGAGCGAAGTGATCGCGGTGGGTATTAACTCTGTCCGCGAGGTGTTTGCGCGAGTGCCGCTCGTGATGGACGAGCCCGGGATGGACGACTTGATTCAGGATTTGATCATGTTCAACAAGAGCAGGGACAAGACGTGTGTGATCGCCGCCCGCGGAGTGCTCAACCTCATCCGTGAGATCCATCCGAGTTTGCTCAAGCGAAAAGATCGCGGCAAGTTTCACGATGAAACGGCGCGCCCCAAGGCTTTTGGTGAGCTTCGGTACGTCGTCGTGTATTGCACGACTTTGTATGGACTTGGGGGATGATAGGGGGGGATGATGGGGGGATGATGGGGGCTAATGGAATTTGTTTGGATGGGTAGGGCGTCGGAAGGTGTGGACGGCGCGGAATTGCTCATGGAAGCGGAAGCCGCGGGACGATTCGATTACGAAGACAACGAAGATGGATGGGCTGTGGACGAAGACATGCTGGATGCTGGCGACGAGAGCGACGGCGGCTGGGTCGATGTCGACGGGTCAGGCGACGAGTCGGACGGGTTGCATTCTGATTCGGACGAAGATGGTGATGGTGACAATTCAGATGACAATTCAGATGACAACGAAGACGAAGAAGGTGACAAGGCAGTGGTGATCCCGCAGTCGGAACGGGTGGACGCGAGGCGTATCTTGACACCCAAGGACTTTGAGCGCATTCAAATGCTCAAGAAGGAAGCTGTAAACGCGGCAAAGGACCCCAAAGCCCGTCGGAAGCGCAAGGCGGACGCAGTCGAGAAGAAAGCGCTCGAGTCGAATCACTCGACCGTGGATCCGGCCACGCTTGAGGGGTACTCGAAGAAGAAGCGGCAGACGATGGAGGAGCGGCTGCGGTCCGTGCTGGAAGGGCGCGAGAACTTTAACCACAAGCAAAAGGGCGGCGGGACCACCAACCGCGAGAAGGCCCGCCTCAAGAACTTTTTGATGCTGAAAAAGAGCTTGCAAGTCCAGTCAAAGGTGCTCAAGTCCACGCGTGAGATCCAACATATCAAGAATCGAGTCGTCAAGGGCGTCACCAAGCGAGATGCCAAGAAGCGCCGGCGAACGTAATACCACAAGACAACACATCACGTTAATAAATCATGTCCATTGTATATAGTATGTAATAGTAGTAGTACTACACCATGTTGCGAATTATATAGGCGATTCGGTGAAATATATCGGAGGTTGGTGGAAATATATTGAAAATAAGCTGGAATTAACACGCAACATGGTGCAGTAGTTAGTAGTCAGTTATTGGGTCAAGGGCAACACTGTCGTGGACAAGTGCAAATTGCATAGGTACTAGATCATATCATGTGGACAGGATCACTTTATATATCATCAGTAGAACGACGAGCGGTGGCTTTGCGTTCATGGTTCGATGTCATTACAAAGTTGCAGTACATACTGTATTCTGAGGGTTATTGCAACCAAAGTGGCTTTCCCATACAGTATGTAGTCCTCCTTGTTGATTACATGTAACCAATTTAAGGGTCATTTGAAAGGGACAATGCAGCTTACTAGTACTCGTCTATCAGGACCTGGATTTCAATTCTCCAAAGTGCTGCATGAAACCGAAAGGTTGGACATTCTTCTCATTACTTGGATTTACACTCAAGGCAAAATATTTATGGTGCACGACGATGTCGTCGTATTGTGCATGTAGTTATACCTTCAAATTCGACATGAAACATGAGTCGGGAATAGTAAGGTACTGTTCCGATTAGGATGAATAATGGCTGACTAAGACTACTACTAGTACGACCATCGCGACGACGTGATGGGGGTTGTGGTGGACGCCACGACTGGTTGGGGCTAACGGCGGAGGTGTGCTGGTGTTGGCTATCGATGTAGCGAGTTGGACAAGGTCTGCGACTACTCATATCCGGTATGACAACCTCACTCGTGATAACGTCATCTCTGTGATAACGTCACCTAACAGTGTCACTTACTTGTTTCTCGAGTCTTGGTACATGTTGCCGGTGCGATTCCAATGCGCTGCATCTCCAAATCAAACAGGATGTTGTGGTGCATCATCACATTTGCCCCTAACACTGCCATAAAAACGAATTAACAAATATTTATATATCCATAGCCACAACTATCAATAAAATATTGACAAATATTTATATATCCATAGCCACAACTATCAATAAAAATATTGAACCAGACGACAGACCAGCGCTTTCCACATATAAGTCTACGTAGTATCAACAACGACTTCCCACCCCACAAATTGCCCCTCTTCCTGAAACGAATCCACCAGCCAAAACACCCCATTGTATGTCCATACTGATAATGATAAAATTGAATATTTATTAAAACACTATTTCATAAAATTAATATATATAGGAACAATACCACACACAACTCGACTCGATCGATACTAGTGTACCCTACCTCCTCCAATCGTCGCTGTCCCGCGTCGAAATCCAACCACTTGCTGGGTGGTGGTGCTGCTGCTGCTGCTGTCTGGTACAGTCATCACATACTGCTCTGGTAGCACCACCAGTTGAACGGTTCCTGTTCCTTTTGTACCCCCACTTAGCACCAACCGCAGCGTGGGTAGCTTGGCCATCACGAGTGGCGGCACGACGACGTTGGTGCCCATTCCAAAGGACGCGATGCCGGTGGCTTCTTGGAGGACTTGCATCAGTTTGTCAAACACTGGGACGGGAAGCTGCGAGATGGTGGACCCGCTGTCGACAATGAACGACTGGCCAGAGCTTTGAGTGCCCCCAAAGCCAACGTACGCGGTCGAGTCGAGCCCGAGAGACGTCGCGCCCACGATGACATCCACCACGTCCACAGAAAAGTACTTGCTGGATGGCGGGCGAACTAACGGGACGTACTGCATCACGTCGTTGTGGAGGTAGTCGTCGACGCCGCCGAGGACGATGGTGCCGGTGCCGAGCGGCGCCAAGCAGAGCGAAAATGCATTCCGACTGACGCGGCCTTGGCGTACCATCGCGGCGAGAAGCGTTGACGGGTCTTGCTGCATCCCGAGGATGCCATTCTCTGGATGATAGGCAAAGCCTCCTGTAGGCAAGATTGTGAGCCTGTGGGGAAATATATATATTGTAGATGGTGGACAGATTATTGTCCATATATTCGGAATTGGAATGAGCAGAATCACCAAATCGACAGACGATCGACCAATCAATACCCAGAACACGAATCAAGTGGCCAATCAAATTACCAATGGAAAATCGAATTAGTGTGTGACTTAAATTAGTGTGATACTGAACGATCATACTAAAGTCAGGACAAAGAATGGACCATCGATGATAGATTTGGCAAAGAATCCGCCCCAAAGGCAACCTAATTTTGGGTAAAAGAAGACAATACCTGACACAGACGTTTGACAGCCTACGGACATTGTCACTCCGTTGGCTTGGACGTACGCAGACGAGAGGCTTCCATTGAAATTGCCAAGCAGAGCTGTTTCCGCCACCAGGTACGCATCGAACGAGCTCGAGTCTGCATATGTCTACACACGAATCGAGTCCTGTGATACAGGCCACGAGCTTACAATGGAGGCTCGGGTTGACTGTAGTAGTACGAGTAGTAGTAGTAGTAGGTTACTAGAAGCCAGAGCAGCAGCGGCTAAACATACTGTAGTAGTGCTTATACCTGGCTCACCAAACACTGTTGGCTCGAGCACGATGTGCATATCGAGGAGTCGCGACAGGCCAGTGGTCGCGCAGTCGTCGACTTCGCTGGATCATATGCCGGTCGATTGTGCGCTCCGCAATTCTTGCATCTATCCATATCGCTATATGTTGGCAGTCCTGGAACAAGCAGCGTACGTACGTCGAGCACGCGACTGCCGTGATGGCACTTCCTGTGTCGATAACCACTGTGGCTTTCTGGGGTGGTACACCCAAGTACAGCTCGGCCGAGTGCGATCTATACCAGTCGTCAGCAAAGATGGGAATGAGTTTGTGTCGCACGAGAAGGTGCCGTTCAAGCGCTGCTCATTGTATGGTGACCCTTCCAGTCTCCTTCGAGCGCTGGGCCGAAGTGGCAGACGGAAGAGTGTATCGGTAGCGGTGGCGCATTCTATCACCACAGACACCGTCATGACGATTGCCGCCGCTATTGACCACATCGATGTCAGCATGTGGTATCGTCAAATTACTGGAACGTAACAACATTTATTTTTGCTGGACGCACTTCAATTTCCTTAATTCACTGTCAATTTCATTTCGCTGATCCCGAACCCCCGCGGTTACATGTAACTGTACTAGGAAATCACCAGTGAACAATAGATAAGGGAATACGTCTTATTGTTAATGCGATAGTATTATACGACGAACGCGAAAAGAACAGACTTTTTCAGGTCTTACTACAGTATCTACTATGTCTAGTACTACTACAGTACTGTAACTCTATTAATAAGTTATCAATATAGTTATATGTATTAAAATAGTACATATAACTATACGTAGTATGATCTGGTCCATGTTAACTCCCCCCAGGTCCATTTTAAGTACGTCTAAGACGAACAAGGATATTTTGACGTCCGTCAAAGTCGTACTTAAGTAAATATATATTGAGCTAAATAAAGACAGAACAAAATCGCCCCTCCTCATGTCGCTCTATATAATTTCGTCAACATTTCTTCTCTTGATTTACGTTAACATGTAAGTAAACAGGTTTCAGGCAAATTAGTCCATTCGTACGTACGTCTAAGACGAATTTTGGTCCTATACATAGGGGACTTCAAAATAAAGTATCTTATCGATGAATACGTAGTACGATCAATACCGACCTCACTTAGTATTTGTATGCACACATTTTGGTTAATGAATCGTCTCTATTATCTATTTCTACCTATCATATTGTAGTAGTATCTTATCCTACACCATTTTGACCAATCAAAGTCATTTAGGGGTAGGGCTAGCTGAATTCTGTCAGTTCCGACACATTCCAACGAACTTTCTCGGAATGGAATCTGAAATATCCTGGTAGTTCATCAAACAGTTCGCATATTCCGACATTTCGGCAGTTACCAATCATGTTTGCTAAATATAGGAATGCGATATCATAGGAGGCCTCTGCTCATTGTAGTTATGTTTACACGTGAGCAAGTGGCATTGCACCTTACTCTCACCATACCTACGAAAGACTTACCCGACGGACGCAGTAGGTCTTCATTCGAGGTGTATACGGTATGTGAGCCCTTGCGCTTTCACTGTACCCTTCCTACTTAGGAGTATCCAATTGAATCGTTGTCGGAATGAGTACCTTGTTCGAATACTACGTAGTAATCATGCTATCGCACACAAACTCATTTTCGAATTTGATTGGTGCAAATGCAATCCTCTTTGATTGGCTACTTAAAGCGGCGTTAAATTCAATTTGCTGGTGAAAAATGGCCTATCAAAACAGAAAATACATATCAACCCGCCAAATCTCAACTCTTTTTTGCCCACAGGTTCAACTTGATGTCTCCAGTACCATTGATGCACTCTCAAAGCTCTGTCGTGTCTATTGCGCTACATTTGACGCCAAACATGTTCAACTGTCGCCAAGCACCATATATGTGTATGGCCACAGCGCTTACATCAGTTCATATCTCGTCACTTACCTTGCATTTTATCATTTGCTACATACATACAGTACTTCGAAGTACATACACACTGCATATATTACAGTAATATTATCTAGTTCATACTATATATATTATACATCGCTCTTGTCATGGTGCTTGATCTTCGTTTGTCGTGAATGCATGAACCCCCCCATGAGAATCAAGACAACTCCCACACCGACAAGGACCGAGTGATCCGCTGGTAAGTAGTCAAACGATCGCCCACTGCTTCGAAGGGCGGCGGTGCCTTCCCCCACGGCAACTTTTTCACGGTTACCCATATGCCAGTTGCCAAGCAACATTTCGACACTGGTCGGGTCTGCGTACGGCACCCAGTACAACTGGCGACACGTGTGCGCATCCACTTGGTCTGGGGCGAACGTCACGCCTGAAAACTCGAGGTACTGGTCCAGCGACCGCGCCCTTCCCATGGCGTACGTCGTCGTGAGCTCGAACGTGTTGACTGGGCCCTCAAACGGCCAGTCCACCACCAGTCGAAAGCGGTTCTCGGCCATCGTCCGCTCCCGCGTCCGCACCGCTTCGTCGCTGACTTGCATCTCCTCGAACCGCGCCGGGATCGACGTGTAGTTGTGGTACACGACCGATCCAACTCGAGACGGGGAGTACATGTCGTAGCCAGCCGTCCACAGGTGCGACGACCGCAGGAACTCCTCGCCTTCAAACATCCACAGCATGTACGGGTCGACGGGCACACGTTTCTCGGCATGGCACTTGCTGAACGAGAACCCCGCCGCCCACAACGCACTGAGCTGGGGGTGCTTGGACTCGACGATCAGGTCGGCGCCGATGTTTCGCACGAGTCCGTTCGTGCCGCGCATGGTTTGGCACACATGCGGCAAATGGTCGGGAGCTACACAATAAACCTCAATATGATGGAGATGCCAAAATATATTGGAGGAATCAAAAGTTTATATTCTAAACTGGAGCGACATGAATCATCGGCAGCGATGTATGTTTAGGCAATCAGATTGCAGGAAATCAACATCAATGCTGAATTAGTGTGTGACTTCAATTAATATGACACCTATCACACACCTGTTTTTGTACAAATTGCAGTACAAAGAATCGATAGATTTAGCGATTTAGCACAAAAGTCCACATTTTGGGTAAAAGGCCAATATCGACCAAGGGACAAGACACCAGATGAACCCGCGAGGTAGAAAACGAATCAAGATCGATTAAAGCAACACGGCAATGGTGAATGGATTTACAAGTGATATGTTCATACAAACGAGATATACACAAACATTATGATCTTTTTCCTATTGACCAATCAAAAGCCAAAACTCTGTCAAGTGGCCAATCAAATTCCTGCCACAATTGAATATAATAAATGGCTTCACACATTTTACATACAAATAATGTTAGTACAAAAAAACCGACCGATTTAATGACACACCACAAATATCGAAATTTTGGCTGAAAGCGCAATATAGACACAATTACGAAAGTGTCGTCGACTAATTAGTAGTAGTAGTAGTAAAAAGGGCAAATATTTTTATAGAAAACTGATATCAACAACAGGAAATGGATAATAGGGATAGGAACACATGCAGAGATCATAGTTCGCACCGTTGTTGGAGCCGTCGTCGCTGATAAAGTTGTGCAAGTCATGCAAGTAGGTTGAGAGTACAGCCATCTCGTTGTTCGTGGCTTTCCAGTCCGACACGACGCCCAAGTCCCAGTCCTTAGTAAAGGCACTGTGTGCATCCACTTGGAGACAGAATTCCTCGTCGTGGATCAATTTCTGCTGATGGTGGCGCGCAAACACGGGGCCGCGGGCCGAGTCGGCGTGGAGTTCGTCCACGCGGATCTGGGTCCTGAACCTGCAGTCGTCATATGGCCATTCGTTGTGGGCCAACTTGCAATATTCGATAAGACATGTCGTATCGTTCTCCAAGACCTGGTCCACAACACCGAAGAAGAGCCGATTCGGCCGAATGGCTCGGAGAAACCCAGTGAAGAGGGTGTACCCACATCGCTCGCCATCGCGGAATGAACTCAATCCAACAAAGATGTCGTAGCTGTCGGGAATCCGAGGTGGCGGCGGACGCAGATGTTTGCTCAAGTTGTCGACGGGGATGTTTTGGGTTTCTGGGTACAGCATCACGTCAATCTTCGGCTCCTTCCAGTTTGGGTCGTAAGGATCCTTGGGGTTGTGACTTTCGTACGTCAGGGTATGGAATACTCCATAGGGCACCGGGGTGGACGTTCCCGCCATCGCACCAAGCCGTGTCTGGAGCGCCATGACGACGAAAGCGGACAACGGAAGTGCGCCAAAGAATCGCATGGTACTGTCTGTATGCTGTCAAATTGCAAAATGACGACTTCCACGGATTGTAAGAGCGTGGTCTCCGAACAAATCGTTCTTGCTTTTGTATCATTCATTGACCACTTCAGACAGTTTTGATTGGCCAACGCCACGTTACACTGTGAGTAGACATTGTACACCGCTTACACAGCTTTATACCGCATTCTTCTACTACGTAGTACTCTTAATAGTAGTATAAATAGGATTTTAATTGCACTTAAATGTAGTACTATTAATATGTATTAATACTTCGTATTAACACTGTAAAAGAGAAAGAGAAGTCATCTCCGAAATCTCCCTTAATAAGTCAATAATATCCACCCCGATTTCAAGTGCAATGTCAGTGTTTCTACAACCTACTACGTATACGTAAAGGCCCAAACAGGGAGATATTTCGGATTATCATTTTTATGTTGTTAATACCCACTGCATATTAATAAGTACTTAAGTACTACTGTAGTACTACGAAATACGTACTATTTCGAAGTACAGTACTGTACTATATATATATACTACAGTAGTACGACGGTAAAAACTCGCCCCCGATTCACAGGTCGGAATAACTAATTAACAGTAAGGTAGGTAATTAATTTCGGGCCATACAAACACCAAGTAAAAGTGCTTGGTCGTTGAACAGGCCTCCTCCGGCACTGCCTCGGCCTACCTGCCGCTTTTCCTGACGGGAGGAATTGATTGGACATTCGATGACGTGTACGACTGGGGCTCACTCAGGCAACGCCTGCACAAAATTATACACATGACCTACGCTATGCTCCGTCGTCGCTCGCTACTGTAAAGCTTCGTTGTTGGAAAAAGCTGTTGGGTAAAACAAAGTTAACAGTAAATTTAGGACTAGAACCCTCAACCTCCTCCCGGTTCCACGTCTATTATTAATACTGTAGTGCAATCCCTCGCCCAAATCGGCAATATCGGCAATATTAATACAGCATTGAAATTGATTGTCTTGTGTAATATTGTGCGTTCGAGTGAAATTTCGTGTAGATGAGCTCAAAATTATAAGCCAATCAAAACCTTCTAAATGAAATTCAACCAATCAGATCGATTGTGGATCGGTTTGGTCGGCGCGATCCCCCTCCCCAAATTTGTATCAAATCGAATATGAATTAAATTAATTAATTAATTCGTACTAGTACAGTGGGACTGAGGGTCAGGGCTACATGTACCGGTATACCCACCCACCCGTACGCAGTAAAAAGTAAAACAGAGATCCGGATAATTTTAAATTGCCCAATCAAGTATCGTATTATCCGGAAGATACCACAACCCGATCGTTTTTTACATTTGCGCGAGCCAGTCCACCACATAAATAGCGTGGAGATTAGAGTCCAGTGTCATACTTCTTGGCGCGAACGAGACGGCGGACGCGGCGCCACAGACCATCGTTCGTGTACACGATCACCCCCAGCACGACCATCACGACGACTCCCACGGAAAGGACGTTCACATGATGTGGCTTGCGTTGTTGCCGCAGCATTTGGGTGCCAGCACTTCCCACAGCTTCGGCAGGACTTGCCACTGATGACAAGTCCAGTACGGGGGGAGCCGTTGATTTTGTGGATTGCGAAGAACGACGAGGAGTCATGGTGTAGCCTGGAACGAGCGCTTCAACCGAGGTCGGGTCGGAGAATGGCACCCAATGCAACTGCTTGCACGACCCCTTATCCTTCTGTCCTGGTTCAAACGTGATGCCTGAAAAGTTGAGGTACTGCTGCAGCGTTCGCGCCGTGCCCCAGGGGTACTTTTCCAGGTCGAACGAATCCAGCAACCCCTGGAACGGCCACCCCACGACAAACTTGAAGCGGTTGATACCCATCTCTTGCTCCTTGGTCTTGAGCGCTTGGTCCACTTTCACATGCTCAAAGCGCGCAGGCACGGACGTGTAGTTGTGATACACGACCGATCCAACTTTACTGGGCGAGTACAAGTCGTACCCGTGCGTCCACAGATGCGACGCGCGCAGGAATTCTTCTCCATCAAACACCCAGTGGTTGTGGTTGTCGACGAGAACGCGCTTTTCGGCATGGCACTTGCTGAACGATAGCCCCGCGCCCCACAATGCAGACATTTGAGGATGCTTGGGCTGCAGGATGAGGTCGGCGCCGATGCTACGGACGAGGCCGTTGCCGCCGCGCATGGTTTGGCAAATGTGCGGCAAGTGGTTCGGGGCTACATACATGCAATGCAAAGTCAGAGTTCTGTAGCAGTTGCCAGATATGGGTAACGCAATCGTAGTCGTGGAATGGGTACTCTTGATTTCAACCACGCGTCGCATATAATATGTCAAAATCAACACGATGATGCAATGTATGACGTGGCACACTCCCAGAGCATCACAACCAAACCTACGACATGCAAGATTGAGTAACGTACGCTTGTTCGTGCCATCGTCCCCGATAAAGTCGTTCAGGTTATGCAAGTACGTCGTGAGGACGGCCATTTCGTTGTTGAGGGTTGTCCAGTCCTGCATCATGCCGACGTCCCAGTCGTTCGTGAACACGCTGTGGGCATCCAGCTGCAAGCAGAACTCTTGGTCGCCGACTAATTTCTGCTGGTAATGGCGCGCCAACGTTGGCCCGCGCGAGTCGTCGGCCAAGTGCTCATCCACACGAATATGCGACTTGTACTTGCATTCGTCGTCCGGCCATTCCACCTTTGCCAGCTTGCAGTACTCGTCGAGGCACTTCAAGTCGTCGGGGTTGACTTGGTCTACAATGCCGAAGTACAACCGGTCCGGGTTGCGCGCGCGCTTGAACCCTGTGAAGATGGTGTACCCGCACCGAAGGCCGTCGCGGAACACGGAGAGGCCAACAAAGATGTCGAAGGAGGACGGGATGCGCGGTGGAGGCGGGCGAAGGTGCGACAATGTCGGGTCCAACGGGATGTTTTGCGTCTCGGGGTAGAGCGTCACGTCGGTGTTCGGCGCCTTCTTGTCCTTGCTGTACGGGTCGTCGCCGTGGTTCTGGTACGACAGAGTGTGCGTGACGCCGAATGGTGTTGGCGTGGGGGCACTCGTGCCTGCTTGTGCTTCCTCTGCCGACGTCAATGCACATAGGGCGGTAGCCAACGCCGCGGCGGTGGCTGTGATTCTCATCGGCTTAATCTCCAATGCGGTGGTTTGCTGACGTGGTATGACTGTATGGGAGAGCGACAAGGATATTAATATAAAACTCCACGTTTGTTTTACAAAAATATAATAAAAACATGGGAATAAGTTAGTTGTTGGCAGTGTGTTTAGTGAACTGCACAAAATAATTCACCGCACAAAATTTGAAAAAAAGCATCATTGAAATATATCATTTCAATCTGATAATTCTTACCAAACTTGAAATGTCCAATGCGACGCCGTTTTCCCTGGCAAGAGACGACTGGCTCCTTGACGTCGACCACGGCGAGTTGGAGCGAGCACGACGACGAAAAGGTCGAACACAGCGAGAGAACAACACAGAAGCATGGGCGACACCAGAAGTACCGCGAGGAAAAGAAATTCAAAGCTCAAGAGCTCCTGAAGCTCGAATTGACGGCGAACCTCGTGAGACTTTTTCAGGAATCCACGAGCATGTTGTCGTGGAATTTGTACCGTCTAGCGTAATACGTGTCGGACGCTTATATGAGTCAGACACCTGCAACCTTTCATATCCATGGCGTTTTAGGACGGACAATACGACGACGCGTACTGGGCGAATCGCGAGTTGCGCGTCCAGATCCACCAATTGGATTGGTTCATGCACGATACTGCGACGCACATGCACCCGGTCGTGTCACCCGCGCGCGAGTATGTATGTCGACCTCCTCTACGCCGAATTCCGCTAACGGGGACCGAACCGATGCAAACCGTTTTGTGGTGCGCCACGTCGACGTCGACGACAGCCAGACCTCCCGCCGCCGTAACCCCCAGCGCAGCCGCACCTTGTGGTGATGGGGGTACTTCGAAGGTCGAGGCTGAATGTAGTGTGTCAGTGGTTCGATCGATCGACTACAGTACTTTCGACTGGAGAATGAGTACACGAGCAAGTGGTCACATTTGCGTCGCACTGTTCCTACAGCCCTTGGTCTTGGATGCTGAAGCGAGCGCGGACGTTCGGCATGTTCCCTGCGCGACCTGCATGAATGGTGTAACGACATCCCGCTGTCTCCTTTACATAGTTATGATAATTAAATCTTATACTATTAATACATACCTCCGATTGGAAATGATTGATAGGTTTCACTTTGTTGAGCCTTGAACAACTGTATCTCAGTCAAATTAGGTTATTGCCTTGACGATGGGTGTACTTCCAGGTAGAGATTTCACTAGAAATCCGATTTCAATGCTTAGACAGTCCTAATTAGAATATCTGAGAAGTTATGGTAAAAAGAATTGATCAGGAATGATGCTCAATTTTCACTGTTTTTCCAGACAATTTCTGTACACCTATATCTGATTTCTCCTGAACTTATCTGGTTATAGAGGTTTAGGTGGGGTACTACTGTACAGCAAATATGACAATATGAACGAAACATGCAAAATTGGGAAATTTGAAGAAAATCGACAATAGAGTAATATATCGATTTGTTTCGAATTTATATTTATGTTTTTGATTATTTTGATGCTTAACAGTAAATTGGAATACATAAATAATGCCATGCCAATCCACTATTACCATGGAGTTGACGTTGACACAGTCGTGCAACGTGGCGATACGCACGGCATTGCAAGTAGAAATGCATCGGCAACTCCTTGTCCCTTGGCTGGTACATACGCGTACGTTCTCGTGCGTCCATCACTTCACCTATTGTGTGACTCTATCCAATGTCGTGTTTTAGTGTGTGTAGGTAAATAGTGTGACCTCCCTTCTCCCACCCCAAGCTTAGTACGATGTTGTGTTTGATAGTTTGATAACGTTAGTATTAGTGTGTGTGTGTGTAAAAAATAGTGTGCTCAACGGCAGTTTCAAACGTGACGATCTTGGGACTTGGTCGTGTTTAGGTTGTCAAATACCGTTAGACTGACGATTCGGTCGTTAGAGATGGAACCGTTGGAGCGTCTTTTCTTTTGCTCTTGAGGCCAACCCACCAACGTTGCTCATTTTGGAAAACGCAAAGACATGGATAAGTTTAAAGAAACATTGCAATCCGGGATCGATAAAGCTCAAGCTGGAATGGACCAGGTCCAATCTGGAATGAACAAGGTATTTCGAAGTATACATAAATACTACACGACTTTCCCTTGACTCAGCCGCCGCATGTACGGCACATGTGTAGGTGAAGAGCTCCATCATGAAGGAAACTGACCAGCCGTCGTCGGACGCCCCAAGCTCCATCAAGGAGAGTGCGCAGGGCTCGTATGCATCCGCCAAGGACAAGGCTTCGGAAGCCCACGATGTCATGAAGGACAAGGCGCAGCAGACGAAGGAGACGATGGCGGACAAGACGGAGCAGGCGCAAGGTACGATGAAGGACAAGGCGCAGCAGACGAAGGGGACAATGGCGGACAAGACGGAGCAGGCGCAAGGTACCATGAAGGACAAGGCGCAGCAGATGAAGGGGTCAGCTGAGAGTGCGCAAGACACGGTGAGGTATCGTGAATGACTTGTGGAACTCACGGGGGATTTAGCTCAAGGACATGGGGGAAGCTGCCAAGCAAAAGGGCCAAGCCATGTATGAACGTCACGTGGGGGGCGGTTCCAGTTAAGTTTGGCAAGGCGTCGACGGGACTGACAGGGGTCTAACGCGATGTGGAGAGGAGCTGGGTTAGAACAGTTTGTGATAAGGCGACCAGCTTAATGAAAACGCGTGTGCGCAATCTGCGAATATTATTCGCACACAAATCCGAACTCGTCAAGGTAGGTGGATTAGGATCACTCGCGCAACGGCGATATTCGTTTTGTCTAATTATGTCATTGCATCCTATGGATAATACAAGATAGGTCAGGATGTTGCTCCAACGACCTAAACCAAAGCTATACTGGTCTTGCTATTTTTCGCCAATATCGACGAAGAATGGGGTGCGGAGGGGGGTATATGTTTAGTGGAGGGGGGGTTGTTGTTGGTGTGTTATGGCAACGACAACTTTTCACCCCCATAAGCACTCGAAAATACTAGGGGGAGTGTACGAGGACAATGATATGGTATACAGTATAACCCCATTCAAAGACCCCCTTCCTGACTGCAGTGTACTGGAATATCGGAAAATGGGCATGTTTGTACAGTACTTCCAGCTGCTGTACAAGTATCAGCAGCTGGAAGTACAACAACGTCATGCTTCTTTCGATTACAAGTGACTTTTGGGAATACTGTGATCTACACCTTGCCGCAGATTTGGCCGCTTCTTGGACGAACGGGGTGCCGTCACCACTGCCAGGAACGACTGCAACATCATCGCATTCAATTCTGGGTACCCGTCCATCAGCGCCAGCAGAATCTCCACATGACCACGAGGAAATGGTGTCACGACGGCGGTCGCTCCAATTTGATTCTACGACGACATAGTTACACGATATTCCACCTTGAAAAAACATAAAGAATTTATATATATATATATATATATATATGAAAGAAAATATAGTTGTCCATATTGTTACCAAATGCGTGGCAAATTTTTCGGATGCGCTGAATGGTACGACCTACAATGATACTGTCAGTTTCCCGCATATATATAGAGTATGTATGTACGCTAGTCCTTACAAAATCATCCTCGCCGTGAAACAGGTACATTGGGGGCAAAAATGAAGCTTGTAACACTATCACAGCAAGAAAAGCTGAATACGTTTGTGAAAGTATATATGTTGGAAGCGATAGTAGTACGGGGGGAGTCTAACACCAACGCCGGGGGACTGAACGTGTGAAAGTGTCGGGGGCCGTGGAACGAAGGATGCAGCGGCGATATGGCGTGCGCTACCGGTATAAAGTTACGGTGGAATCTCCATTTCGTGAAAAAGGCAAAGTGATCTTTGAATACTTCGAAGTATTGAAAACGCAAACTGAACTTTGGCAAATAATATATTGAATATGGACCATGCCAAAGGGGGTTTCACAACCGGCAAAGCAGCACATTCGTACCTCGCACATATGGAATGATGGCGCGATGGCGTTCGAATTCGTAATGGTCGGTGATGTCGTACGGCCCACAAAGTCCGATAAACGCTTGAACGTGGAGCCCCACGCTGCGGTCGTTGGTGCCAACCTACGCCCAATAGTGAGACAGGACTGACTTGTTATATGTATGATATAGTACGCACTTGGGTGGAATCGGCGCTGCAACGAATGGCAGCTTGGACCAGCATCAACGCACACAATTGCGCTCCTACATGTGCAGATTTAACACCGTCGACATGTATATATGTCGCGCATACCAGACGAGTGTCCGCTCAATGTAATGCGGGTAGGGTCTCCTCCGTGCTTGGCAATATTTGCCACGGTCCACTTCACCTAGGGACCAAAGTGACGGGGGTGGATGCAAACAAATGTGCTCTTTCGTGGCCATGGACGAGGTCGTACAATCGCTTCGAGGTCGTCCAGCATTTCTTCGACATCACCATGAGGAAACGTGCGGTAGCTAGGGACGACGGTGACAACCCCATGGCGCTCGAGCGTTTCGCCCACAGCGCCGTAATGGAACTTGGAGCTGAGGGCCCACGCGCCGCCGTGAATGAAAATCACCACTGGCTTCAGGTCATCCTCATCCTTCGACGAAGTCCCGTACAGATCCAACACGTTGCGCTCGTGGGGACCATAGCTGAAGTCTTTGGTCGACAGGCGCAGAGTGCATGCCAGCGTGCGAAGGGCCAGCGTCGGCGAGGCCAGCCCAAACACGAGGTTGCCTGCGTCACCCATAAACACAATCGTCGCGTAGACCCACGAACTTCGAATGGCTTTGATCCACGACTGGTGCGGAAACCGTTTGCGCAACAGAACAACCCCCTGGTACACTTGCAGCAGATGCTGCCACGTTGTCCACGCCACCAAGGCCACGACGACCCTGGAGAATGAGTAAGCTTACAACGTGCCACGTCATATAGACAGTACTTAAGACAATTGGAAGCAGAGCTTGTCGGGGCAGGTTGCAACTGGTCATCATGGCGGACTACTCCGTCGCCGCGGGGCGATGGCACCACGCGATCACGTCGCCCCAGCATTGATGATGACTTGCAATCGTGTGCTTCGTGCTCTGATTGGTCCAAATAATTCACTTTCACCAATCGATTTCACATCGTTACGGAAATGATTGATTGATGTAACTTACAGCTTGTGGCGCTCAAAACTCCAAAACTGTGTTTTTTCAGTCAGATTTTAGCTTTTTAATCCGGGACTCAAACTGTAAATTCTAGCGTTGACGCTATTCGGCGCGCTAAAGTCAGATTATTCTTCAGATTGGTTAGAGTTCTGACCAGCATACAATCAGCAATACATTTTCATGTGCATACAATTCCCAACACGTTTAGGATTACCTGGTTGCAATGGCATGACGCCATGTCGGCCAAGTACAGGTTCGTGCGTATCCTCGTGGCCCCAGTAGCGCAAAGCGCCGCTCAACGCTAAGTTACAGTGAGTCTATGAGTCCTATCTTGTGTGTCTCATCGACACGACGGCATGTGACGCTTGTATGATGAAGGATGACTGCCGCATTGTCCATGACGGCAGTCGTCCTTCGGCATGCTCCAACCTCTCCGACCGACGATGTTAACCTTATTGCGATTCTTGTAGGAAGCACACTAAAAGTTGGCGCCTGAACAGATGCAAGGACGACCAGGTCACGTGGAACCAGCGCCTTGCATACGTTGTACCAGCACTGCACCCGCTCGCTCGTGTACGATGCCCACATCACAGACACTGGTTTCTCGACCAACGAAGCATGCCCCCTTCCTCTCTAGTGCGACTTCTGGGCTTCTATTAACTCATGCGTAGACTATCAATCAAATGCTGTGTATCGGTTCGTTTTCAAGCGCATGTAAGCGTAACCGCGATTATAGGTCGCAACCGCATTAGTACTGGCAACGGATGCGGCTTTCTGAGCGATATTCCCTGCTAGTAGTTCACTCACTGACTTGTTGGCATGCTTTGCCCTGAACTACTTTTATCCAGGCAATTCTGATGCTTGGTGTCGTGCATCCATTGCGAATAGTGTTCAATCCTGTTTGGCAACCGGTGTGAAATATGATGAAAAACGCTAAATTATTTTGCGTGATCCCTATTTAGATCTGGTTTTAGAGTTTTGGGTTTAGCGTCAGGGGTGGGGATGCTTTTACTTGAGCCTTGAGCCTCGCGTCGTGTACATTGTTGATAGAATCGCGAGCTGAGCAGCCGCTGCCCATTGTTCCTTGAGCTCATCGTTCTTGGAGCCACTCAGACCGACGAAAGGGAAGTCGTGAGCTGCCTCGTCAACTTGGAGGACGATTGTCACGATAGTGTGGTCTTCATGCAAGGTTATGTCTACCTTGAACCAAATATGGATGTTGAGAAAGTGGAAACGCCAACTTTCGGCTGCGGTTAAGTCAATTCTGGTGGCAACGTAGGCATCCATTGTACAGTACATGTTGAATGGATTTGAGCAAATCCAATTGGATCTAACGTCCGGCCTTTTTGATCAAATCAGTGTGCTTCAAACGTTGAATGAAATGGGAGCCATTGAAAGTCTCGGCAAGTGGAACGTCGTTCAGCGCATTCGAGTACGTACGTATTCGTGACCAACACGTAGAGCACCAAACCACGCACCAGCGTCGTGGCCGCAATCAAGCTGTGTTTTTGCACTTGTACAGAAGCACCTGACCGGTACTTGACTTGCAGGACAGCATGATGAGTCTCGGTGGTAGTACCTTGCGAATTCTACTTGTACGCTTGAGCAAGTTCAGTGGTTCGCTCAGCATCATCAACATTGGTGAGCACCGCGTCGAAGACTGGGGTCACACTGTTCGGTGCACGCGACATACAGCCAAGGAGCTGAACCGATTGTAATGCGCCTGGGAGCACAGGTGAAACTTACAACTTGATGGCTTGTTCAATGATCGACAGACAAACGGTTTCAGTGGCATGGTTAATGAGTGCAACGCGTACGAAGTCTTGGTTTACGATGCCGGTCTCGCTAGTGAAGCACAATTCGATGAACGTCCAAACATCGAAGTAACTGGTATTGATGTTGACGACACGTTCGATTGAAAATATGTCTTCCAGCCGGGCGAGTGGTACGATAGAGTGGTGGATGGAAGTTGGACTCAAGACCAACGATTGGCTTGCACCGACTTGGGACGAAGGATTTGCACGGAGAAACAACTCGGATCGCATGGCGTCCTGGTGCCTGCCACCGCTGCCATGAAACTCTTCCATGGTTCGCCCATCAAATCAATACCGGATTGTTGCGTCAAAACTTGTTCTCGAGGTTCCAATGCCGCGCATGACGTATTGAAATTGGACATCGGCTATGTTGTGGGCTTCATCGAGGGCGTCGTACATGGGGCTGATTGCTAACAGTACTGTGGGCACACGGTACTCGGTCCCTTTTGTAACCAGTACAGGAACCATTAATGCACACATCGTACTATGTAATGTTTCAATCCAATACAATCAACCATATAAAACATACAATACAGTACACCCATGTACGTCCTCACTGGGTGGTGCTAATGACGTCATTTCACATCTCCCCCCACAAGCTCCAGTAATAAGCTGGAGTCAACGTCGGTCGTGAGATCCGCTATGTCTGAAGGTGCGCGACCTTGCCCATGCATCTCTATGACTGTGTCGTGTAGATGCGAGTCGTCGGCGGTGTGCATGAGCTCCCATCGACGGGGTTTCTGGAGGTCTTCGGGGTTCCAGAAAATCTGTCGGTCGTGAGATCCGCAACGAGTCCGCTACGTCTGAAGGTGCGCGACCTTGCCCATGCATCTTTCTGACTGTGTCATGTAGATGCGAGTCGTCTACACTACGTACAATGTATATACGTTTATATCCAAGACGTTCAAGTCTGGCTGTTCGGAGGTTGCGAACGAACCACAAACTTACAGCCATCTGTGGACACTGCCTCGAGCTCCCGGTCAGTCACGGATCCATGCAGCGTTGAATTGTCGTGTTGAAGTACGATGTGCTTGTGTGCACTCGAAAACGATGCCTTGATTGCAGGTACGACCTTGTGAATCATGAAGTCTCGATACACGACAGCATTCACGTTGACGAGCGTGGTGACCATAGTACCAGCTGGACGGTTGCGAGTGTTGCGGGCGGCGGGAGAAAGCTGCACGAAAGGCCACATGCCCAGTTTGGCGTTGAACATTTCACCACGGCCAACATCATAGCGGGGTCGAGCGACAGCAGCCAAGAACATCACCTTGGGAATGAACCGCTTGCTCTTCTAAGAGCGAGCACGAAGGGTTTCGCCAGGCGCGAGGTAGGTCTTGCGTCTGGCCTTGTCAGCGTTGAACCACTTCTCGTCAATATGAACCACGTCCCATAGAGGCTCAAATTCGAGGGTCTAAAAATTCTACGCGTTGCGCCTTGTTGTTGTCAGTCAGCATCGGCTAAATGCGAGTTGACCGACTTTCGAACGTTGCACGTTTCAGATGACGGCTGAGGGTGCCCATGGTGAGACCTGTCGCGGCGGATATGTCCCGCATGGTCGACCTCTGGTCGGCAGGCACAGCACGCACAAGCTCCTGGACCCCGGTAATAGTGTACTGTATTGTCTTTTTAAATACTCAAGAACATGAATACTGGCCAAGTTACGAGAAAAAAAAATCGACTGGACAAAAAGCTGGACACCCAAATTGGACAGAGTACCGATTTCATCACTTCTACTCATTCATTGACAGCCAAACGACGAGGTAGAACCATCTAAACATCCAATAAGGCTTACCCAACCTCTATAGATTCCTAAAGGTCTTCGACTCTCCGAAGAAGAGCGCGGGGCCATCCTCGCCTTCCACAAGGCAGAATGGTCCATTCGTCGCATTGCCAAATAGCTTATGCTCTCGCATGGAGCGGTCAGACGCTTAATGCGAGAGCCTGAACTCTATGGCACTCTCCCACGTGGTGGAGCGCTGCCCAAGTTGAACATTCGTGACCAAAGGACCGTTCTACCCGCTGCGTCCAAGGCAGACTCAAGCTACTCACGACTCAAGCACGACCTTCAGCTCGACGTTTCTGAGCGTACAGTGCGGCAATTGCTTTCCAAGTCTCCCCACCCCAAGTACAAGAAACGCAAGCCGACACCAAAGCTCACAGCGGCCCTCAAGCTGGCTCGAGTTGTGTGGGCAAAGTCCCTCGTCGACCTCGGACTTGTGTGGAACCAAGCTGTCTTCTCCGATGAGAAGAAATTCAACCTGGACGGCCCAGACGGTCTACTGTATTACTGGCATGATCTTCACAAGGAAGAGCAGTCGTTTTTGAGCCGTCAGAACGGAGGCGATAGCGTGATGATCTGGGCGGGTTTTTCCCGCAAGGGGCTCACTGAAGTTGGGGTGTTGGAGGGGCGCCAAAACTCATTTGCGTATAGCTACACGCTTACCAACTATCTTATACCTTTTGTGCATGCGTCCCATCCTGATGGATACGTTTTACAACAGGACAATGCCAGCATTCACACGAGTCAAGAGACCAAGGCGTTTTTGGCCGAGCAAGATATTCCACGTTTGGGCTGATCTGCTTTGTCGCCGGTCCTGACAGACTGTGAATCCGATCGAAAACGTGTGGGGCTACTTGGCGAGGAAGGTGTATGCAAATGGACGCCAATTTGCCACGATTCGAGACCTGAAGAAAGAAAATTTGCGTCAATGGGAACTCATAGACAAGGAGTTCCTCATGAAGCTTTTAGGGTCCATGAAATCTCGTTGTATCGCTGTCCTGCAGGCCCAGGGGGCTTCTACGAAGGATTGAAGTGCAATACAGTGATTGATTTTGTGTTTTGTGACTCTGGGATGGCAATATATGAAGTGAGTGTGTCCAATTTGACTGTCCAGGCAAAAAGTACTCAAATTTGGCAATTCGTACTTTTTGAGCCGTACCTTTGATCTTGATACTATCCAGGTTGAACAAAGTCGACAGTGATAGCCACAAGGGTAGATTGACTGCAGGCTAGATTTGTACCATGTCCATTCTTGTTCGTTTAGACGACATGAAGGGTATGTCCAATTTGACTGACCAGCACTGTATGTAACTGTTCGGCGGGTGATGCCAACCTCCGCAGCCGTTTTTGTGAAAGCGCCACGGACTGGCTTTCCTCTATGGAGGAATGCCTAAATGCGTTGAGTTGATTTGGGTATGTGGTGTAATTTTATTCGGGTGGAGGAGATTCGAAGCCGATTTAGAGCGCGAGATTTGAATTTTGGAGGCTATCAGCCAATGAACTATTCCTTTACTTTTTTATGGTCTTCAAAATACGATATCTTGTATTGAATTTAGTAAAGAAATGAATTTTTGGGGTCGATGAGAAGTTCCGTGTTAAGAGTAAATGTGGGACAGAGGAGGTAACCTGCAGTCAAGGCAATAACTTATTTTGGCCGAGGTACAGAAAAAGTTATACTATTCTTTTTTTTTGAACCTGAGGCCACACTGCGTTATGACACATGAGTAAAAGGATGCATGTCGACATTCTTCGCGAATGATACCACTCGAGTCATATGTATCGTAAGCCTATAACGACGGTTCCAGCCAGCATTACTAAGCTTACTTGTATAATGCAATGAGCAGGGCAGAAGTTCGAGATTCTACCTGATGATCCACTGCAACAATACAACGTTTGGATTGGTTAAAAAAGCAATATAATGAAGTTTTGATTGGGTTAATATATTGCCGTAAAATAGGGCATACCCAATGCTTGCCTACTATCGCTTAGGGTACATACTCCATGGGTGCTAGGCATGGCTATGACAAGCTAATGATGGAATCTAGCTCGTGCAGTACCGTATGAGTGGTGGTACTGCCATCAGCTCGTTCATCTTGCCATGTTACAGAACACTTAAGTGGAGTTTCATACAAATTCCTATATAGTTTGAATCGACGGGATCGAACATTATTACGAGTATACAAACATCAAGTCAAACCAACCTACAACCCAGCAGCGTGGCGTAAACGACCATCTGCCGTTTTCAAGTCAAGTGACGAAGAATGGACCACCTAGAGGACAAGAAGACGCCACTCGTGGGCGGCCAAGATCCGTCAGACGATGCGCCCATGGTCACATCCTATCAGACAGGTACATCATGCATGAAGGAGGAAGGATGATAAGGACTCACGGACGATGTTGTGTCTAGAGGAACTGCGAGGTACCCACATCCTTCCATCTCCCTCCCTCGGAATGGCGGAAGCTCACCTGTTGGATCTTCATGTAGGCTACCTCTTGAAGAAGACGCGCAACGGCAAGTGGCAGAAGCGATGGTTTGAGACGAACGGGTGCTTTCTCACGTATTACAAGGTACAAACATCTCCTCCACCTACGTACCTCTCCATGTCGAACAACATGGCGGAAACGTACAGCATCGTCACCATCAAACGGAGACAATATCTCACATGGCGTGTCTAGAAACAAGGGCAAAAGTTACTTGCGGCGCTGAATTTGCCGCAAGTGGGCGAGATCGTGACCCTACCGGAGGACACGGACGACGGCCCTGGGCTGTTCTCCATCGAGCTCAACGAAAGAATATACACGATCAAAGCCAAGCACCAGGAGGAAGCGGCGCTCTGGGTCGAGGTATGCTCCCCCATGTCCACTCATGGCGTTTCTCATGTTGTTGCAGGCGCTGGTGTGGCGTCAAAAGGGTGGCGTCGTCGCCCAAACCAACGGAGGTAGCGCTTCCTCCATCGATTCCATACTCATGTGTTTGTAGACGATGCGCTGTTCCTGCATGCCGCCGCTTCCGCCGGCGCGGGGGACGACGGCGACTTGTCTCCCAAGGCTCCAGGAGTAGTACCCTCCGTCCTGCCCAAGGCCAAAGAGGAACGTGATCATCGCTTCAATATCCATGATCCGGTATGATCATGCTAACATGCTGCGTGTGTAGGTGGAGGAAACCGAAGACGTCCGTCGATGCGGCTGCGGGTGTGCGATCCAATAACCTAACAAGACTGTATGTATCTAGCACCAACACGAATCAGAATGTGTGTCCTTCAACATGAAAGAATGCATGCATTTGAGTGTTCTTTTTTAGGTTCTTTAATGCAGAATACTAGGATCGATTGTTCGACATTAACGACTGTTTCTTTTTGCGATGATCATGCTTTACTGTTAATGCAGCCAACTCTACCGATAGTAGTACTACTAACTCCACCGATAGTAGTACTACTATCGGTGGAGTTGGCTGCATTACTAGTAGTAGTACTACTAAGTAGGAGGAAGTGTAATACTAGTATTGTAGTACAACGCCCAACTATTAATATATACTACATACTTGCCTTCACTCGCTAATAAACGCACTGCTATAATGGCATGGATAGTCCGTGTACTAGTACAACTACAGTACTGTGGTACTTCATTGTTGCTTATTCGACATGCGGATGCAACGTCGAATCGCCCGAGGGAGGCGCCTGCTGCTGCATGTTGACAGTTCGCAGCACTTGGCTCTGCACCCTCGTCACGTCAGACACGCGGTCTTCGACATGGCACAAGCGTTCTTCTAATATCCCCAAAGTCCGAGTGATGATCTCCAGTTGGCCCACAATGTGGTCAAACGTTGCCGTGAGGTGGTGGTGGTCTGGTGAGTTTTCGTCTGCCTCCCGTCGGTGCAGGGATGACGAGGACGTCGAACTCCGTCGTGGAGGAGGGGAAGCGGACGCCGATGGAAGCGGCATCACCCGAGGCGGCGACGGCACTTGGGGCAACGACGACGCGGACGCATGCACATCTTGAATGTCGAGCTCGTCATTCTCGTCGTGGCCATATGCACCATCGGCGAATTCATGTTGGGATGAAGCCATAGTGTGGACAATCGCCGACGGATTCAAGTAGTCCTGGCTCGGCGACCGGCGGTGCCCTTGTCTGGTCTGCGAGGAAGTAGGTGTAGTAGTACTAGTAGTACTCGTACTAGTAGGTCTAGTGGATGTGGTGGGGGGTTGAGAGGAAGCGTGTGGAATCGCATGATGGGGTGGCAGAGGCGGGGGGGACGCAGGGGACCTGGGCGACGACGGAGGTTGACGACTAGGAGAGTGATGCTTGAACACTTTGGATTTGGGCAACGCCGTGGGAAAGTGCGTGTCGTTTGCATGCAAACATGTGTCCAAGTCAGTGTCCCACAGCATCACGAGCGCATCCACCGACCCTGTCGCCGTGAGCTTCGAGTCGGCCGAGAACGTCGCGCAGTTGACCGCGCCGTTGTGGCCGTGCATGGTGTACAGGAGGTGGCCTTCCCGGATGTCCCATAGCTTAATGGTGCCGTCTGTGGATGTGGACACGATGTAGTAGCCGGACGGGTGAAAGTCGATCGATGTGACGCTGCCGTCGTGCGCGGGGTAGTGCTGGATGAGTTTGTGCGACCGGATGTCCCACAGGTTGAACGTGTGGTCAAAGCTACATGCACCCACGGTGTTGCCTAAACGAAGCGTCACCATGAAGATGGGGACGACTGAGCATGGAGCGTACCGTCAGGATGAAAGCGCACGGCGTTGATGATGCCGCTGTGGTCAAAGAACGTGGCGAGGCAGTTGCGTGTCGCCTTGTCCCATACCTTGACGGTCTTGTCGTCGCTGCCAGATCTAGGGAGGTCGTATGTGAGGGATGAGTTCATGGAATCGTTATGGACACTTGAAGGGATACTACGTACACCAACACGCGGGCGTCGGGACTGAATCGCGCAGACCGCACCCAGTTGCTGTGGCCGTTCCACGAGCACACAAAGCGCCTCGTGGGCAGACTCCACAGTTTGATTGACTTGTCGTCGGACGCCGTGAGCAGCTCGGCCGAGTCGTACGAGAAGTCGACACTCCGCACCCCACCGGCATGGCCCTTGATCATGTGTGACTCTCCCTTCACGGACGGGATCCACAGCCGCACGGAACGGTCCTGTGACGCTGACGCTAGAAGATCCCCCGATGGCGCGAACTGGACGTCAAACACCGGTCCCTTGTGCCCCAGGAACCGAAACGCGCGCATTTGGGGTTTGAAGTTCCAGATCATCACCGTGCAGTCCAACGACCCTGACGCCAACTGCCGCATGTTGGGACTGTACGAAAGGCACTCCACCCCCGACTTGTGGCCGCGAAAGGTGCGCTGCAGCGATGGATCCATGGGAAAGCAATCGCTCGAGACCGCTTCCGTCCCGCTGTTGACCCGCTTTGTTGGATCCCACACAGGATTCCGGATGTGTATCCGAAATAATCCTTCATTTAAAATAAACTATCCTTGGTAATTATAATATATTTATGGTTTTTAAATTGAAACTTCATTCATTTACGTAGTAAAAAATATTAAAGTACTTCGTTGTTCTCCCTTAAAATTGATTGTTTAAAATGAATTTGAAATACGTTCGTGAGTAGCGCCTGTTCGATCTTTGGTGGCAATTCCAAAAGGTCAGAAGATCCACCCTTCACCACGACTTCAGTCATGCGACCCCTCGCTTTCGTCGTCGTGGCATCGACCACCATTGACTTGTGCATGGCCGAGTGCTGGCTACGCAGCGATGGAGTACGCATCTGTAGCTCGGACGGGCTAGAATGGCTCGCGATGTGGTGGTTTTGGTTTGCCGTTCTTTTCTTTCTCTGCGCTTGCACCGGAGGTTCCTACATCTACCACCGGCGGTACGACACTCCCTCGACCGTTCTACGTGGTATTCACTCGGTGTTTATATTGTAGGCACTTGAGCTCTCTTTACCAGCAAGGATTTGTCACGTACTCTGAGCCGTTGATCCTCAACGACAACCTCACCAACCATGGCATCAACTCGGCACATTCGAATGACCGCCACCTTGGCTCTTCTCCGTCGATCCAAAAGATATTTTATCGTTAATGCAATCAATGCAACTGTCTGGTGTGCGCTTCACAATACAATAGCGCTGGCTGGTCGTTTCGTGAGATTTGGCTACCGAGAGCAGACTCAAGGGTAGTACGTATGCACTGGTAGTCGTGAAAGGCTAGGGTTGATGGCTCTTCACCACTTGGCTTCGAAACCACACTTCATACATGACGACTGGTCGTAAACGAACACATACCTACACTAGTTTCAGTAGTTAGCAATCTTATTGCCAAATTAACTTATGCCCGCATGGTGTATATTCACAATGTAAACCTGGTGTCGCATAGTCTGTTTTAATTGAGAATTGCCTAGGATTCTTGCGCGCTGGGGAGGATGCTGCCGCCGTCTTGGTCGGTTCCATCAGGCAACGTCCACGAGGTTTCTCCCGTCGATGGGTTGTAATAGTACGTGCAGTTGGTGGCGTCATCCAAGCACACCTGCCACTCTGTCGCATACGGAGCTACCGGAAGTGTCCATGACGTTTCGTTTGTGAGTCGGTTGTGGTAGTAAATGTTGCCGCCTTCGTCTGCCACCTCTTGCCACTCCGAGCTCAGAGAACCATACTCTCCATCGTTAGAAGATGGCGGTGGCACTTCTATAGGAAACATAGTTTCCAGCATGACTTCGTCAGCTTGCAGCTCCATGGGCTTGTCAACCACCACCGCTCCTACTCGCCAACCAACCAAGCACATTATATATTAAAACTTCAAACTCGACGTTATCGCAGACAGAATAGCACACATACCCGTCATGCGATTCGTGTACTGAATTTGGTTGTCGGCATCGTACGTTTCAATCCAATGCCGAGACCGCCGATCAAAGATACACGGGGGCTCGCCTACATGTATGGCATCATCGTGTTATAGGTTGAGATGATCGATGATGCAAGAAAATGCGAAACAAAATACGTCGACCAAATGCGAAATACAAACGGACCCATGTGCTCGAGGTAAACGTTCATGGCGTGCCACTTGGATTGGAAATGCGATGTGAGCTCTTTATGCGAATCGTAGCTTTTGCCCACACACAATTTGCACGGAAACGCATATTTGGGAAGGGCGTACGGGTTGTCGGCGTCCACGACTGTCTTGACCAAGTCGTCCCCAAAGTCATTGTACTCGATCACGCAAATGTCCTGATTGTCATAAATGATATATCATTTCCAGAATGATATATATATATCATGTCACAAAACGATATATATCATTCTCGAGATGATATATATCATCTGTTTTTTGCTTCGCCCGGGTGTCAACAACGTACGGTGGTAAGCGCGAGAATGACTTTGAGCTTCTTGACGCCGTACGCTTGCAAACTCAGACGTTTGTGGGTCACGTCTTCGTACAACTTGGTAAACTTGTGCAGTGGCACCGCGTCTTGATTCCGATCTAACACTTTTCGAATGTCCTTTTTCAAAATGCCAAACTGGTTGCGCAAGTTTTCGTCCGACGCAATGTGCAGTTTGAGCGCCTACGATACAACACACACGTCAAATTGCCCACATTACGATTATTTCACGGCCACTTTGCAATTGTCTAGACCCCCCCCACCTGCACTTTCTCGGCCAATTCCGCGTCCGCCGCCGCCCGCTCCGCCTCCATGCGCGCCTCGTCTTGAGGTGCGATCGGGTTGGCTTTGAACACTCGCCCCTGTTGTGTCGGCAGATCCTCCATCGAGTCCAATTCCTTGATGTCGTCCACGGTCTTTTGCAGTTGCGCCTCTTCTTTCTTGTAATAATCCAAGCTTTCCGACGTCGTGGCTAGGGCCGCAGCACATACTTTTGCGCTCGTTTGCAACTCGACTAACGTTGCTTGTTCGCGCTTTAACACGGCCTTGAGACTCTCCACCACTCGGAAATGACTCATGAGGCGGTTGTACACGGGAAATATCTCGCACGCTGCCTGGGCATACGCAAACGCCGCGCGCACCCACCCCACAATCTGCCGTCAAGTACACAAGTGATTATATACCCCAAATATGGTCATGTCACATGAAAGGAGAGTTGTACGTATTGTCAAGTCGATTCGAAATTGGTGTGGGGTGCTCAATCGAATTGAACAACACCAAATCGACAGACAATCGATCGACCAATCAAAGCCCATAACGCTAATCAAATGGCCAATCAAATTCATTATTCGACCAATTCAATACTGAATTAGTGTGTGACTGAAATTAGTGTGATACTGGGTAAGAATCGATCGATAGATTTGCCGAATCAGACCAAAAGTCCAAATGTTTTGGGTAAAAGGACAATATAATACCCAAATATGGTCATGTTAAATGCAAGGAGTTGTACTTACCACGGGGATGGCGGGGGACTGCATCGCGAGGCGGAGGTTGCCCTGGCGCAGGCGCGGATTGTGCACCACTTGCGTGACGCTCTGAAGCATTTGGTGACGCGCCCCTTCGGCAAATGAGTACACGTCGAACAGCGGCAGCACATACAGCGCTTTCACATCGTATTTGTGAATCAGACTTTCTTTGTCGCCCTAGGTGTATGACACTCAGACGTACAAATCAGATGAAGGGTCACACGGAATTCTGATGCAAACGAGTCATTGTTGTGGGCAAAGTATGCATCCTCATCGAATCAGATGGACACCACAGTCGAACCAGAAGGTCCACGACCATGTGATTAGGATCGAATCAGAACGCATCCACAACATCGGATTCCAGGAAGATTGTATCCGTGGACGAACCAACATCGCATTTTCCCCGCTGGACCCGAGCAACGTGAGCAAATCGTCCTGCTTGGGTTTGTATGGCACCCCTTGAAGGTCCATATTGCCTTTGAAATTCAACAGAATGGCAAACGCTTCCAACAGTGCCCGCATGTTGTCGTCCAACTTGCTCTTTCGTACCTAAAAGTACAAAACAATCGACGTCACCGATCACGTCACTCGTGCCATAGCTATGTTAAACGTACGCGATACCAATCCATGACTTCGATTTCGTTGAGCGCGAGCACTGCTTGCTTGTACTTGGCCTCGGTTTTCTATGTACACTATAAGACTCGTCTGTGACAGGGTTTTCCTCTTGGACGTACCCGAGGGTCGGCCTTCCAGAACCGCTCGATCTTGAGCTGCATGTCTTCTTCTTTCTCCAGCGCACAGTCCAGATCGATGGCGACGTCGCGCACCACCCGCGACTGATCTCGTACACTTCGGGCACTCACTTCGACGTCGTTGCGATGCCGTTCCATCGTCGCGACCAATTCCACGACCTTTTCAGAGACAATGTTGAGCTGGAGGACGGTGCGGTCCAGCACATCTGCGCCGACCATGACGCTTTGTGTCTTGGCGAGCAGCCTACCAAACCCCTTAAATACAGACGATTTCCCCCAGCAAGTTGTTGACCGCCTTGGGAATACACCAACGTACCTCACAATCGCTTTCACAAACGGGTCATCGGGGTCGACCCCCAGGGGTAAATTCGGCAACATCCCGGCCACCATAACCGCATATGGCGACTTGAACTTGGGTTTAATCAGCTCGATCTCTTGGCCAGTGTTGACTTGGTGAATGCGCGTAAAGTACTGGACAAACGTCAGTGTCGCATATTTGGTTACGGGGCGGGACAGCCACGTCGTGCGCTCGCCTAACCAAGGTTGGTCGGATCAGAATCAGATATAGACTATAGAATCACAACATATGCTTGGGGACGAGGATCCGGATCAGAATCAGGTAGACTGAACGAACCGTGCACCCACAGCCCCACGCGCATCACGGGCTCTGCACCTTCCTCCACCGAGGTCCGAGTGTAAAACTTGGCCTCTCCATGGGGCAAGTCGTCCACAAACGGGCCTTCGTATCGGTCGCCGTTCGGATACGTCAAGATACCTGCACCGTGTCGCTTGGTGTGGCCAAATTGGCCTGCATAGTGACGTCTATCGCTGTATTCGCAAGTGCCTATCGATGGGATTAGGAATCCAATGACACTGTTCAGAAGAACCCAGTGCGATTTCATTCCACGCATGCATAAAGTAGCAAAGGTCAAGTTGCCGTTGTAAGGGGCCTGAAAACACCACCAGATATGCGACATGTTCGTACCAGGGCCATCCAGCGACCCGTGCTCAAATAACCCAATGATGCGATCGCCAAACTCGTTTGTGCGGACGCCGTGGCCGTGCCACTTGCCATATTGAAACGACCCTTCGTATCTCGACTTGTCGTCGTACACGATTAACCCTACGCCCCATCGAACATAGCGTCACGACGACGACGAATACCGGATGGGGATAGGGGTAACTAACAAACTACCTTGGCCATGATACACGTCAGCGACCCAGTCCCCTTCGTAGCGCTCTCCCGACTCGTAAATTTCCACTCCATATCCATCTCGAACGCCATGGCTCCACTCGCCCACGTACTCCCCTGACGTTTGAGCCTTTTGCATAAACAACGTGCCTACACAATATCAAGCGTATGTTTTTATTTCATATATTATTGCATTTCACGGAAATCGATATGGCCCGTAGAATCAACCATTTACCGAATCCGTGGAAGACACCGTTGACAACTTCGCCCTTGTACCGGGTGTTCAAGTGAGGGCACTGGATCGTAAACGTGCCCGAGGCTGTGGGCGGTGTGAACTGATTGTTCACCTCGTCCCCTTCCCACTTGGTGCCATCCGGACACAGAAACGAGCCCCAGTGCGCGTCGACGTGCACCGTTTTGATTGGCTGCACCCACGACGGCTGCTCGTACGTAATGTCTTCAACCCATGGGCCTTCGTAAATAGATCCGTCGTTGAACTCTATTTTGACCTAAACACAACCACAAGTTGGATATATATGTTGTCCTGTACTCGCTTCTAGTGTAGCTTGACGTGTTATTACATCGCCGTGAATCAACCCATTCACAAACGAGCACTCCAAGCGCACGTATTTCGTCGGCGCTGTCGCCCGCGGCCTTTGTAGCCACATTGGCATGCCATCCCTACCATACACCAATTTTTTTGGTTCAACAACAAAGAGCGACCACACACATACGTGGCAAGCTTGGCAGCCTTCAATTCCTTCCGTTTTTGAATCGCAGCTTCTTCCTCCACGCCTTCAACTTCAACGTCGTGACGAACGAGCGACGCTAACGTCACGCCTTCCGCTTCCAGGTCCTTTTGGCGCCCACGTAGCAACCGTTCGTACAGCACTGGATCTGTGTTTGCAATTTGGAGCGCTTGATTGTTGGTGGTCACGGGCGAGTACAATTCGTCGTCGCCTGCCATCCATCCATTGTGAATGTTTCAATATATAATACATATATATCATAATGTTTCAATACATAATGTATATATATCATAATGTTGCAATGTAATATATATCATAATATTTCAATATATATATCAATATAATATATATCATAATGTTTCAATATAATATATATATATATATATATATTGTATAAATTTATATATTCATTATATATAACATATATATATTTATATCATATTGTTTCCATATTATATATATATTATATACATATTATTGAAACATTATGATATTATATATTATATAAACTTATATGTTTTATATATAAAATTTATATATTATATATAGATATTTGGTTTGCAAACAGCAAAGTGCACCTGTCCCAAGCAAACGTACCGCCATTTTCACGAATAGCCTGCCGCTCGTGAAACAAACTCAACTGTTCGTTCCGTAGCACCCTCAACTCGTGTTCATCCTTTTCCTGACTGTCGTACAGCCGTGCGATTTCCAATTCCGCTCGATGCCTCAACTGCATTTCCTTTAAATGTGCCTTGAGCCGCTTGAGTTGCCGCTCCCGCCCCGCCATCGCCCGGTCGTGGGCCTCGAGGATCTCCACCTGCTCGACGTTGTTGTTCATGAGCTCCACCAATTTGTCGTGTAGCGCCGTCGTGATCGCCGCGTCTTTTTCCATCACGAGGTGCGTTTGATGGCTTGACTGCGAAAGCAACGACCGTAGCTCGTTCATCTAACACATACGATACAATGAACCCTTAGACAAACGTACATGAATGGCTAGGATATGAAGACAGCAAAACCTTGACCACCAATTGCGTGAACGGCACCAACTCGGCCACGACCGCCGTGAGCCGAGCGATTTCCGCCTCCATTTTTGCTTTTGTGGCGATAAATTCCTTGTCGAACGCGTCCATGAGCTCTTGGATCAGCTCCTTCTTCTTGGTGGCGGTTTTCTTGTCTTTTTTCAACGACTGGCGCTGCCACGCTTCTTCGGCCGCGGCCAACCGGTTCGTCTTCATCTCAATGTACTCGACAAGTTCGGTCAGTTCGTGGGTCCACCCCGCGACTTTGAGCTTTGCGTCAGCAATGTATTGCACCAGTTGGTCCTTTAACTTCTGGAGCAGTGCCACTGCGTCGTCGCGCAGCTTTAAATTCACATCGGGGGATAAAAAGTCGACGCCAAACAAAGGGCTCGGGGGCGCCGATGCTGCCTCCAGGTGATTCCGCCGGCGCTGCACGCGATCGGTTTCCCGCACGAGGAGATGGTGCCGGTTGTGGGCTACACAATGTTATGATGATGATTCATTTGGTGTGTATATTATAATAAATGAGTGGTAAAGATAGGGGGACGTACAATAGGCTAGCCACGTCGTGACCGCGCCCTGATACTTTGTCTCTAAAAAGTACGCTTCGCCTTGATCGGCTTGGGGGTGGGTGGGGGGCATGAGATGCCGTCTGGGTTTTTTCAGGCAGTAGTTGGGCGACAGCTCAAAACTGCGCAGAAACAGCGGAATCGTCGCCTCGGTGACGGTCAGTTTGGTGTTGGTGCAGTGCCAGATGTGATACCGCAACGCTTGGTACGTAGCGCACGGCTGCGCACAGCTCGGAAACGGACACACGAGCGGGAGCCCATGGACCATCCCCATGTGCAAGTCCAACTCTGGCGACTTGTCAAACCGCAAAGTGCACACCATGCACGTGTGATGATGAATCCATTCACGCGTCGCTGCCTCTTCCTTCCGCATGCCCTCGACTTCCGCGGCTTCGATATCGGACGTGTCGACCGGGGGCGGTTCAAATGCAAACGCCAGATCGTGGCCAATGGCTACGGCAATATGAGATTGTTCAGAGCTATTTAACTAGTAGTACTAGAAAGTCGAGAACAAACCCATGGGTGGCTCCTGTAGCGACATGAGTGGACTTGCCAAGCCCACCCCGCGAGCGTTCTCGGCTTTGACGGTCAGCTTGAACTCGTCGTCCATGGAAATCGGCCCGATGGTCAGTTTGGCTTCCGGCGCGGCCAGCCGCCCAGTGATGGCGTCCCGCTTGCCGTGCACAAACAACTGACCCGTGGCGGAGGAGGTTTCCCAGTCCAAAATATACGCCTTGATGGCCGTGCCATTCTCAAACGGAATGTCCCACGTGACGTCGATCGCCCCTCCAACTCGCCACTTGCGGAATTCCAGGCGTTTTAGCTTGACTTCCTGTGGCTTTCCAGCATTCTCCAACGCGTCCAGTGCCTTTTGTTGCTTTTCTAGGTCGGTTTCGACCTCGTTGTCGTCGATTGCAGTCGTCGATTCATTGCCTTTTGAATCTGCGCGATTGTCAACTCGTTCGGAGGCGACTTTGTTTTCTGTACGACCTTGGACAGTGTTGGTCCATTCCCCTTTCTTCGACTCCACCTCGTCTTGTCCCGCCTCTCTGTCATCCTTGGCTTGAGCTTGTTCTGTGGCTTTTCCCTACAACAGTGTAAATCGCGATGCGTTGATAGCTAGAGTTGTCATCACCTCGTCAACCACTTCGGATGAGGACTCTCCACTCGGTTGAGACGACGGCACCTTTTTGGGTCGGTTTTTCTTTGGAATGAGCTGAACGAGCTCCACCGAGTAGTCGGACGCCATGAGCACGTCGGCAGTGTACTTTGCCCCAAGCCCCACGTCTAGCGCTACGACTGTGCCTTCATGCCACGCACCGTCGTCCAATTCTAGCTCGATTTTCGTCCCCAGCGCCAAAAACGTCAGTGCATTCTTCATGCTCGGCACGATCTCGACCCCCATGACCATCTCGGGCGGTTGGGCCTACAACAGGAATGAACTCGGTTCAACCAATTCCAAACCATTCAACTAAACTAACTAAACCCTCTTCTGATTGTACCTGCAACTCCCTCAACACAACCCCGTGTTTGACCATTTTGGCCTTGAGCTCATGCATCCTCCCCATGACCTCTTCTTCGGCTGCAAACACCGTATGCATTTCCGCCATACGTTGAGCTTCCTCTGCTTCCCATCGTGCCTTTTGCTTCTTCATGGCGTCTTCAATCTCGCTGAGCTTGGCGTGGCGCTGGGCGTACCCATATGGCCCTTCCTTGGCCCTTAAGTCGTTGTACTCTTCCTGCCGCACATGTATGGTCGCCCTTAAGCGTTCCTCTCGATCTTTTTGCCGCATGGCGCGCACAATCGTCAACGCTTTGAACTTGGCTTCTATCGAGTGTTTGGAGTCCCATTTCTTGTCACCCCCAATGCCTTCGAGGAACTTGGCTACCCCCCAACCGTGGGGGATCAGCTTCGTGGTCACCGACGAGGATGGATGGTCCAGCAGCGTCTTGTTGTTGGCCGCGACGAACACGCCGTGGACGACCGCCCACCCATCCGAATTCGTGTACGCGCTATGTTTCAGCTGTTCCAGCTGGACTTGTTGGACGTATATGTTTTTCTGCTCAAATGTTCGAACAAAATCGACACCCCCGAGGAATCTAACAGCAAGTCAAGACGGCGTGCTACTGAATCAAGACACGCATTTGCCACGGAGGAAAGAGTAACTGTATACATGTTCACGATAGACAGACTTGGTGAACATCAAGTTGGTTGTCCAGACGAAATATTGTAGCTATGGGGGCACCACAAACATTTACCGTGCGAGCTTGGCCCAGCCTTTGGCCGCAATAGCCTGTGCCAAGGCTACGTTGGTGCAATTGCGCAGTCGTCGCAGCGGTCGAAAGAGTAATTTGTCCAACACGTTGTGAAATCGGAATGGCATCAACTCGTTCGCAAAGTCCCCTGGGCCGTTGAACACGATGGCTTCCAGCGTCGCAAACGCGTGCTTAACCTCTGCGCGCTTGGCTGATGCTTGTTCAAACTTGTCTTGGAGGATCGAAAGCGCCAGGGGGGTGTCTGGGAGCCCTCTAAAGGCAAAAGACCATAAGTGCAAGTCCAATTCGTGTTTAGACGGAGGCAGTTTTACTTGGGGGTCGATGTCAGCAGACGGAGACGGTGGAGCACGCAGGCCGTGCGTTGGTTGGCCATCCCCAATGTTGTGAGCAACCGAACCAACAAAGCGTCCCTTCGTGCCGTGACTACGCCCTGAGTCTGCAGTTCTAGCTGATATTGGACACGAGCTAAGTACACTCGCGCGGCGCACTGAATGGTCCGCGCAGCTAGGAAGAACTTGGTCTCTAGACGGATTTTATCTGCATACGCTGCCAAGCTCGCCTTCCACTCGGCTGTGATGTGCACGGGGGCGTCAAAATACAGGGGGGGGATTTTGTAAAACACGGGCTTGGGGGCTTCAATGGGCGTGGCTTGGGTGAACAGCGGCAAAAACTCGAGGACCCCGTCGCTGTCCATCTTGATCTCTGCCATTTGAATCTCCGAGTCGGCGTCGTCTTGGACGTGGAGAACGTACGCGGTCTCCCCGCATCGGGGGTGGCCGGCGAGAATCACCCGCACCGAGTCGCCGTGGGTGACGGGGGTGAGGTTGACATGACTCGCCAAAGACATTTCCGCCGCTTCGATCTGTTGTTTCAACGCTTTCACCTCGGCGCTGGTGAGCGTCGCCTTGTTCTTGGCCTTGGCTTCCTTGGCAATGGCCTGCATGCGAAGAAAGTACCTTGTGAACGAAATAAAGTCCGTTTTGATTTCGCCCAGCAGCGTCCCCATGTCCATCACAAACGTCGACGGATCCAACCCAAAAACCCTTAGAAACGACCGAAACAGCGCTTGTGTCTCCCGCGTGTGCGCCGTGAGCGTCCGCAGCCGCTTCGACTCGAGGTTTCGACGCGCGTATATTTGAAGGATCGTCGCACGATGCCGCCGCTTGGCGCAGATCTTCCGCCGTGCCAGCTTACCTCGAAAGGCGGCTTGCACCCGCAGCGCACATCGTCGCAGGCGCAGAAATTCCTGTTGCTTTGCAAACCACTTGCGCGCCTAGAGTGGCAAGATATATCGTGTGGTTAATCATACTTAGGACTGTACACTCCACGCAGAAATGTAAATGATACCATGTAACCCCGGCCGATGCGTTGAATTTCAGTGGCCGCAGCATGTCGACGTCGTTCAAGGTCTTCGCGGTCGCGTCGTCGTTGTTCAGCTTGGATCACCATCATCTACATTGGGTTGTTTGGTTGTCATGTTTCCCGAATCTTCATAGACCCAACCACCCAACCAGCACAAAATACTGTAGGGGGATGGGCTTAGGGGATAGTGGGGGGGAGTTCTTACCTCTTGCAGCTGACGGCGTTGCTGTTGCTTTCGAATGTACACCATTTTACGCAGCTGTTGGTAGAACGACCGGCCGGCTTTGCCTCGCCAAGTGCGTTGAATGAGCAAAATCATGTTCAACTGCTGCCGGTACACTGCCGCCGCCGCGTCTTCGGCCTCCATCGCATCCCATTCCACCTCCATTTTCTTGTACTCCCGCAGCCGCCGCCGTCGAGTCGCTTGGCGGAGCAGCAGACGCGCAAACCGCCCGCGCCAAGCTCGCTGCAGGGATACCGCCGCCCAAATGTAGAGAAAGTAGTGATTCTCCGTGTCGTGGCGACTGAGCACCCCTCGCCACAGGGCCTAATGTGTTTGTATATTTTCTTATTCTTGATAATATTATTCCAGCGGCGAAGTAGGAGCTTACTTGAATCGTGGTCGCCGAGTGCATTTCGAGGCGTCGCATCGCTTGGTATCGAAGCCACAGTCGAAAACAACTTTCGACGCAATGGCTTTGCATGCGACTTCGCATCTATCAGATATATGTATTATATATATATTGGTTTCAGGCATAAAATTTACAATCATCGACACTGCTGTGATATATATTAAGCAGTTTCGGAACAAATAACAAAGAAATCACCGACCCATTGGGATTAGGAATATACTAGTGCATATATATATATGTACCTGGGCCACAAGGTACTTCATGTCTTGTGCATGCTGCCGCCACGCTAGAAACACACGAAGGACCACCGCTCCGCGAAAGAATGCAAGTGCACGCCTATACAAATCACAACGTTAGAACTGGATGTTCATTTCCCATTAATCGTTCAACTAACCCTGCAATGGCCTTGGCATAGAGCTTTTCTTCTGCGTACTCTCGCCAATGGGCCACAGCATTCAATAGTCCCTGATACGAAAGTCGCGAGTATATGAGACTTGGGATTCATTCATTGCCTGTCGGGGATACGCACGAGATTTTGCATCCGATGAGCAACGCGCAGTTGTTTGGCTTTCTCGTCGTGGCTCATGGCCACTGCTTGCCGCCACGCACCAAAGCACTTGAACACGACGTTGCCCTGAAAGTGCAGCGACGCCCGCTTGATCGCACGTCGGCGTGCCACGTAATGCTGCCACGCCAACCACACATGATATTGAGTCCGATGGGCCAGTCGCGCCATCAACCTTTTGGACTTTTCATGTCGCCGCTACATGCAACACGGTGAACAAGATGGAATCAATAAAATTTGCAGACCACGTACCTTGCGCTCATTGACGCGAACTTTCCACGTGCGGAATGCCCACGCTTCGACTTTCTACCACCGAAGAATATCATTGTGAAAAGTACAATCAATAGTACGGATTTATAAAATGTGCAAAGTGCTGTGTTCCACATTATAAAATATATGAATAACTGTTGCGTTTACGTACATTGGCAAAGATGGCAGCCGTGGCTTTGATGACAAACAGTCGCTCGTGTTGAATGAACACTTTCCATCGCTTGAGTACATTGCGGAGGTAGAATCCGTGGGCTTTTTTCGTTTGAAATAGTTGTCTTGACGAATTGTGGGTTTCCAATGCTACCGTATTCATCCTACACATTTACATATATTGTCAAATCGATTCGAAACTGGAGCCCTCGGGAGAATCTAATGTCTTAGAGAATCATCGATTAAAGAACCGTTGAGCCAATGAAATCACGTCATGAAATTTCTACCAATCCAAACGTTTGACCCCTCCGCATTGGGCAAAACCAATATGTACTCATATAGTATATATTATGTACAAGATTAAATAGGATCAAATGGATTCGAATGCTATTGGGTGAAATGACTCTCAAGTCCAAATATTTGGGTGAAATGAGACGGAATAGATATATAATACACTTTCACTACTCCCAGCAACATATACCCCAATTTTTTTTACTAATACATACAATGATAGGGGCAACGTACCATACAACGACGATGGTTTTGCGATACCACTTGGCCAATTCAACTTGCAATTTCCAGTGCCGGAAGCGTTTGGGAACTGTTTGCGCTGACCACAGCCCTTTGGCTTTGGCCAAACTGGCTTGCTTTTGACTTACAACAGCCCGCCAACTGGTAAACACACCGCGCAACGTCTTGTCCGACCATAAACGCATGGCTTTCAGTGTCGCAGACGACTGCCACGCCTAATGTCGTTCACGATATGGTGTGGTTGACGACTTGCTTGCTGCGAAACGGAAAGATTCGTACCGCGTCGCGCTCTGCCATCTCAGCGCGATGCGTTGCCTTCCATGCTCCAAAAGTGAGCACGAGACACCGTTTGGTCCAGAACAGCGTCGCACGGGTCATTCGTCGTCTCATATTATGTTTGCGGTACCACCGCTGAATATGGCGCACCGATCGAAGCTTGTAACGCATCAACAAGACGGCCTGTCGTCGATCTAATACACAATACACGGATCAATAAATTACTTCATATGTTTGGTACTAAGTTTTTGTGTGTGGATGGTTCAATGCATGCGCCTCTGGAGGGTAATAATACATATAATATATATATATATATATGAATGGGTTCGTGGACAGACAAGGGGTCACAACAACGATGCGTAGTAGTAACCTCGATAGGCTCGGAAGCCTCGTTGAATCCGCAAAATACATCGCGACGATTCCACCAAGTGCGATTGAAACTTGAACTGGTTCCCGGACGTGACAACGCCCGTCATGTACAGTTGCTGGATCATCCTGGCGGCGCTGTGTTGCTTTCGGGCGAGTTGGACCAGTTGGCTAAAAACCTTCCACATTCCAGTGTAACGAGAGGGGGACACCTCCATCGTTGCTGCCGGGGGCTGTTGACGGTGACGCACATGCAGCTGGAGGCGATGCTTCGTTCTTGCCATGACATCCAAGTCGTCGGGGGTGATACAACTGCAGTCGGTCACACACACCCGGGTCATAGCTTTGCACGATCGGAACAGTTGCCGCAGTACTGCGCCAGACACCCGTCCCGCGCCCTTTAGTTCCAGGGATTCCAACCGCCAGCACTTTGCACCGAGGACTTGCACCCCAGAGTCGTCGAGTTGGGGGGTCGACAGTGTCAACGAGATGAGGGAAGGGGGAAAGAACGCAGTGCTGTCGGAAGTGACGACGTCGCTCGCCAGATGAAGCGACCGGAGTTTCGTGAGGGCGCGCAGAGGGTACAGTGCGTTCGTGTTGATGGACGCGCAGTGGCACAGGTGGAGCTCCGTCAAGTGCTGACGCGACTGCCGTGCGAGGGAAATCAGAGCTTGGGGGGGTAAGTTTGGAATGGACCCCAGACGCAGCCGTTTTAAATGAGTGCAGCGCTTGCAAATGCGTTCCCAATGTCCTGGCGGAACAGCCGTGTCTACTTGACTCACCACGAGCGTCGAAACGTGTCGGCAGTGCTCGACAATCGCGGCAATTGAGCCGGCTTGGATATCAGGGCACTGCGATAGCTTGAGGGTCACCCACGGGCGGGTGCGTGGCGCTGCAAGCACAGCCACTACCGCACTACACTCTCATAAAGCCAGTGAAATGGTTGAGTTTTGGTGTCATGGTTCGAGCTGCATACGGGTCTGTGATAAGGGGGCAATTGTGCAAAATCAGCTTTTGAAGGTGTGCGCTGCCTTGGAGCGTCTTGAAGCCTTTGTCGGTGATGTTACTGCAGTCTGTCAGGTTAAGCGATCGCAAATAGGGACAGCCAGCTGTGATCCTGCGCCAATTGCCATGAGATAATCTTGTGTCAATCAGAGAAATAGAAGGATTGGCTGCACCATGAAAGTGCCAGTCCTGTGATGCCGTCGCATCCTGTGAGATCGAGTTTGTCTATCTTGTAGGCCACTCCAACAGCTTGCGTAAACGATTGAGGCGGGTGAACAAGCGATTCAAACTGCAAACACGATATATCATGACTAGTCGCCCTCGTTGCAGTAGTAGAACAAGGGGCAAAGTAGTACCGCAGCGTCAGTGAGCTGTCGCGCAAAGCGTAAGCGCAGCACCCGCACAGACGTAGCTTTGGCTAGGGCTAAAGCTGCCACCACGTTGTCGGTTGTTTGCTAGTTCAAGCGTCATAGTCCATACCATCGACACCCAAGTGAATCAACATGGGTGATAAAAAAAGGACGAGAAGTACCTTGGTCAGATCCGACAAGTTTAACGAAATCAAAGTTCGGCCATAGGTCTAGAATCGAGGGTAGGCATGATCATGACAATGTAAAGTAACAAACGATGATAGTACTGAAGCAAGCTGCGTGATGGCTCGTTCACTAAGGTAGGTACAACCGGCCACGGAGACGGAAACCAGTCGGGGGATTTTTTTCATGACGAGCGCGAGGCCAGGGTCCGTGATGTAGCAGCAGTGGCTCAGTTCCAAGGTGGTGAGGCGGGGGAAGGCCGACGAGATCACTCGCAGCAGATCTAGACGACACAAATGTCGACGAAGGTGGCTACTATTCGGACACACTACCATCGGTAACATCGCGGCTTTTGCCCAAGTGCAGCTGCTCCAGCAGCGGACAGACACTTCCAATCGTTTTATAAGCAGTCGTCTACAATCGCTAGTTGAGTGCTTCGAATGGATATGAGACACGTACGGGGACTCCAGTGACTTGGTTCAAGATCAACGTCGTGAGCCGGGGACATTTGGAAAAGCAACCATGGACCACTAATGCAAATCTTGGCTGACATATTTGAACCTTCAGTTGGTAGACATACCTGGCACGGCAATGTCGCCTTGCAATCCCGTCAAGTTAAGCGACGTACACGCACTTGTCAGGTGTTTGGTCAGCTGGGCTAACAGTGAGTTGCCGTCCATGACAGTCCACGCAGACAAGTCGATGGTCGCACGGGGGGTGTTGCTGAAGGGTTCGTAGAATATATACGGCACAATGTCATCTACAAAGAACCAACGATGTCTCACATTTACGATACGTTGCCTGAGAGAGAGAGAGTGATCTACCATCAAATGCCACTGTGCGTTCACTTGGCTGACACATTTGATTGGATACGTGTTGGTGTTGTTCTCGAACTGTCGCTTCGGACGAAACTGGTCGTCGGGCAGTGGGCACAGCCTCACGTGCCGTGTCGGTGGCGCTCTTGGCTCGATAACGATGCACTCTGTAATGTCAACAAGTTGTCAGTGTCATATATATACGATATGTTCAAAGTGTACTTTTGAATGTCGTGGAGCAAGGAGGCAATCTCGCCTTTGTGTGTAGCCAATCTACATCCGACGACGGTTAGGATTAGAGTGCACTTGTGATACACCTTGGATGTACCTGTCTACTTTGTCCAAATTGGGGAGATTCGGGGGCAACGACACGCGCTGCTTTGGTGAGGTTGATGGCAGGTGGCGCTTTCGTTTCACCTGGGAGGAGGATGCCAGTTCGTCGTGTGTTTCAATGGCCATTCGACGATGGCTGGACAGGTCTAGCTTGGGCCACTTCCGTTCGTCTTTGGTTTGCTCGGATTGGATCCACGCGTCAAATGCTACAGCGCAGTCAGCATCCAAAGCGGCTGGGGTTGACAGCGTTGCTGGTGGTGGTGGTTGCAAGGGCGCTGCTAGGGAAGGCCCTCGACGTTGCTTTTGCTTGACAGGGGACCCTTGAGGTTGTTTCGGTTGGGCCGCCCCTTTGGTAAACTCAATCGATCGCTTCATACCAGTACGATTGTGGCTGCTAGTGGATCATGCGTGCAAGTGGCGTGAATCTGAAACGCCATTATTCGATCCACAGTTGATGAAAGGTCGTGGCAGGATACTATTATCCCAAATAATTTGACCGCATTTGACCTGCTAGCAGGTTAATATGACCTTTTCAGTTTGACATAATGCAGTGTACTTTTTTTGGCAATTCCAGGGTTAACATGTAAATTCATTGCTTAAAAATTTCTCACGCTTAAATAACGTCTAAAGTACGCCGCAGTATCTTGACTGTGAATAACTGTTGGGTGCGTTGTTTAACATGTAAAGTTACTTCACAATAATGCGATGATTGGTTGGTTTTACAGGCACTTTTTCCTAAAACAAGTTGTTGGCGCCGTTTTTATTCTGGCAATTACCTCGTACAGGTCGTCGCTTGCTTTTACGAAAAGCAGAAATTTCCTACAGTAATTGACTCCCCCTACTGCACATGACCTCCCATCCGTGATCATTAGAAACATTAACTACTCCGAGTAATTTATAACGTTAACTAGTTAGGGATATAGCTACTGTAGTTCACATATGCTAGCTACATGCCTTCTCATACCGCTTGTCTTAATGGTGTCGTCGAATGCGGCGCTGTTTGGTGGTGGAGATGTTAGTTTGGGTCATTTCGTCCAGGTCAATGCAATACGAATAAAACCCCGACTGAACAATGCGACGGTTGTACGCAGAGTTGGCTTGGTGCGTCTGCCACAGCAGCTCCGTCTGGGTCGTGCCTTCCGCAGTGTACGGGTACCACCCCGTAGCCTTGCCGTCCACGAAGTTGTCCATGTAATACTCCCATTGGCCGCTCGCACCCGCCTCATAGTCGACGCGAAGCAGGTCATACTTGCCGTCGAGTTGGGCGAACGAAGCGCGATTGGCCCACGCTTGGGCCGTTTTGTCGTGGAATTTTGCCTCGAACAAGCCTTGGGCTTCGATCAAGGTAGGGAACGGCCCCTCCATTTGAGTTTGGCCGAGCGTTCCAGTGCGCCCCCAACGCGTAAACGAGTAGTAAACAGGTGGCGCAAACAGCGAACCCATCCCTTGGATGACTTGGAGAATGTAAAACTTGTCCATGTTTTGAGCCAGGTCCACCAACACGAGCGACGCGTCCATGTAGTCCCCAGAAGGCGTTGTAGCGACGCAAGGCGAAGACAGGGCAAGGCCAGCGCACAACTTGATGGCCTCAGCGTCGACTTGGCCACGTGTTGCCGGTGTGGAGTTAGAAGCCAAAGGAAACTTGGCTCGACGGGCGGCTGGCTCACGACCCTTTGACAGCTTCTTGGTTGAAGTTGGCATGAATAGGGCGGGCGCAGACTCGTGCTTTGAAGTCATCTTCACGGAGCGGCGGCGTCTGCGGTACATCTTGCGAGGTTTCCATGTAAGGCACCAAATGCAGGAGCACGTGGTGGATCGTAGAGGCTTTGCAGTTGCGCGCGTAGGACGGGACGACATGCTGCGGGTAGTGACGGCCATTGTTGTCGTTGCTTGGAAAATGAATTGTGGATGTGCCTGAGCTATTTTTGCGTTCAACTTGACATGTTTTGCATTTCAAAAGTACAGTGTACAAGTGCACCTTTGAGTGTTGGTCAAAGTCACTTTGTCGTAGTATTTGTATGTCAATCAACAAGGTACGGAGTGATGGTCTGCCTTTTCCAGTTTTGGCAAATCCTCTTACAACTACTTACAGTACATACTTATTTGAAGTACTCACACTTTGCCTTGCTCTGCTAAAGTGTACTAGTACTACCTATTCGAAATGACCATTGACAATTAACTCTACACAGGAGAACGAAGCCAACGGGAATTGAGTTTTTACCCAAATTTGGACTTTTGTGCTGATCCGTGAAATCCATCGATCATCGATTATTCGTTGTACTGATGTTTGTATGTAAAATGTAGTCTTGTTAGGCGATTGGAATCACACTAATTTCTGGCACACACTAATTCAATGTTTGAGATGGTTTTCTGCAATCTGATTGGCTAAATCCTTCTGGCGATTCTTCGGTACATTTGGTTGTGTTGATTCATTCTCCATGTCGCAGCCACTCCAGTTTAGAATAAACAATATTCATTTAACAACAGCTCTCAGTCATCTTGTTCGTTGGGGTGGCTAACATTGCCATCTGACGTCGGCACTTGGGACGGGAGTTCAGGCACCGTTCCTTGGCTCTTGGTTTCTTCATCATCTCCGCTCTTCTCCTCGTCGTAGTTATGCAACACTGCCGACACCTCACTGGACTCGTCATGCTCTGTGAGTTGCCACGTCGGAACGTCGTCGTCCACGTCGTTGTAAAACGTCTCCAAATCTTCATCCGGTTGAATCGCCATCTCAATCGACTCGAGCGATCCCACGTCATAGTTTTGGCTCGCTAATATATTACAAACTCCCTTCATTCACAACCATGGCGGCGCAATATATATATATCTATTGGACATGACTGTACGTACCTAGCACGGGAGCATGACCTTGGTATGTCACTATCGTGTGGTATGTGTGTAGGTCTTTGGCGAACGCGTCGCCCAACGCCCGTTGCCTACAACGATACCCGTCCCCATGAGACGACCCACAACACCCCAGGAAATACTCATTTTCATCTATTCATTTCATAAAACACCCCATACTACGAACGAAATATACAATTTCATCTATTCATTTAATACAACTATATAATGCACCATTTCATCTATTCATTTAATACAACTATATATTGCACAATTTCATCTATTCATTTAATACAACACCCCCCATACTACGAACGAACTGCACACATTCATCTATTCATTTAATTCAACACCCCCATACTACGAAGGAAATCCACATGTTCATCTATTCATTTAATACCTTTCGACATAACGTTGGTTCATTCGCTGCTGCTTCTCCACCAACGTCATGTGCTCGAATTGTTCTAGTTCTGTTTGCTACACAAAAGATATGCCAAATGGATATGTACGACAGGGGGTCGTCCAAGTGTCCAATATGGATATGGATGGCCATTGGACAATCGAGGTGGACGACACATCGAGATGAATCATGGACACATCGAGGAAAGATGGGGGTACCTGCTCCATGGCAAATGTAGCGTTCTCAATCACCAATTGCTCTTCAGTCTTGGACCTATCCAAAGCCCCATGTGAACATGCAACGGAATCTAAACGCATGGCGGAAACGATTCTGCGCATGATGATATGGACGTACATGAGCAGCTGTTCGACTTCTTCCATGAGCGTGACCAACGACGCAATCGAGTTCCTACATCAGCCATCGCCGTCAGAGCAGTGGACACGTCCGTGGCGTCAAGACGAACCGTACCGAATGGATCGAATGCCGTCCTTGATGTGCGCAATGTTTTGAAAGTTGTGCTGGAGGAACATCACGCTCTGAGCTTCTGCCGTGACCCGTCGTCGCGTCGTAGTGAATACGTCCGACAGCTTCTCCCCGCTACGTAAGTGACGATGAGGCGATGAATGGAAAAATGTCGACGATGTACGGACTTACGTCTCCACGAGCGCGTGATGTCCCACCAAGACTTGTTGCTGTCGATGTACAAAGGAAGCGAAGAAAGGTCCCCCCGCCACTTCATCTGGCTCCTTCGTCCCCAGGACCGAAGCAGGTGTTGTCGGTCCAGATGTGGTCGACTTGGCGACGGTCGAGACAACGTTGGTCGCGGCTGCCGCCACCGCCGTCAACCGTTCGGACGCACTGTTCATGTTGATGTTCATCTGGATGCGCTGCTTGTTCATCTCTGCGCTATGCTCCTCCAGGGTGCTCTTGAGCTGCTTTCCGCCTTCCAGCATCCGATTCTTCAACGTCCCCAACATGACACCACTGGTCGGTCGATCGCACAAACGGAAATGAACGATAAATAGAGCAAATTGCAAATCATCGTAAAATCATGGTTTTTAATCTCCAATACATTTCGCAAGTTTGTGTTGTCGAAATATTAATCTCTCACCAAAATGGAGTCAAAGTTCCACCAAATGACCCACATGCAAAAACGCTAAAGGGGCGTGGCGGCTGCTTGGAGCTCATCTCACACCGCAGACTGCACAAAGTGCATGCATGACGCACGGACAAGCGCCATCATGGATGGGCCTCTCGGAACGAGTCATGTCCCCCACTTCATCATGACGGTAAGCTGAGCTACGTCTATCAGCGTCAGCCCTTGAATGTTTATATTTCCCGTCGATCTGATCTTTGGGCTGCATATCGATGTGACCGCCTCACAACCGCACTTCTAAGCACGAACGAAGTCTAAACACTTTTGGTGAGCCTCCCATAGTGTACGTACCAACCACGGTGTGAGTCCCAATTCCGATGTCTATTTTTGGCATTCAGCGTTCCATACACAGACACCCTGTTGCATCGCTTTCACAATTCTGGCACGTTCGGTTGACCGGGTGCCAACACGACGTTTTTTGCAGCTCAGTTGGCATGGAGCCTCCAGTTGCAGGCACGTATGCTGAGGATAGGCTAGCGCATGACGAGGTCCCGTCACTGCCGTCGCTTGCTTGTAGTGGCGATGGCACCACCATCCTAGCCTCATCGTCGTTTCGGGTGATGCCTCCTCCATCTACCATACCTTTCCGTCGTGGGAAGCTTCATCTCGATGATATATTGGTCCTGGTAGCTTGCCCGACCGAGCTGGATCGCCACGACAAAGGTGCCCATTCATCGCAAAGTTATCCACCCCGCGAGCGAGTGGAAGGCGGAGCTGCTGTTGCCTCTGGCCCGACCGATCGCGCAGCTCGAAGTGATGACCAAGCCCAAAGTGATCCAGCTCTTGGTCGTGTACTACCTGTTTGCGTTTGCATTTTTGCCCATCATCGCGCTGGACACGTCGTCCACTGTGGTGGCCACTTCGCCCTTCTCGTGCACAGGCGACGGATGCCGCCATGTGCTCGCTCACACCCGCGTGTCTCCTTTCTGCACGCACATGTCGCTGGTCGTGTCGGCTCTTTCCCCGGCGTTGGTGGCTTTGGCTTCTGACGCCCCCCCGTTTGCCACGGCCACGCTCTCGATAGAATCGATACACAATGGACCGTCGCAGTCGCAGTCGTTTACGAATTGGACCACCACGACCACCTCGTCCGGAATCACGACGGTGGAGAGTCCGCCCTTTGCCGTCGACTACGACACGTTGTTCGGCGTGGACATCAACCTCTACTCTGCCGTGAACGTCGACCTTGCCCTCGACTCGTCGCGGCACGTCCCGCCGCTTGAAACGCTCACCATGACGTGGCACCAGTATTTCGTCTCGCCCTACGTCACCTTGTACTGTTCGAGCACGGTCATGGCTGTCGACGTGGTGTCCCTTGGCTACTTTGTGCACCGCGTGCGGATGTTCCGGAGCTCGCAGCCCCACGTGTCGCTGCCCCAGTGGTGGTGGATTCCGTGCCTGCTCCTTTCGCTCATGCTGCAAATCCAGATCCCGTTTGCTATCGCCCAATTCGTGTTTACGATGGCGGGGGCGGCCATGCCCCAGGCGCTGTTGCAGCTCAGCTTTTGGCTGTACCTTGTGGGCAAGAACACGACTCGGTTCTTTGTCTTGTGCTTTGCCGACGGGATGGACCGCACGTCCGACAACACCCTCAATACATCGGACAAGAATAGCACCGTTCGGTTTTACGTGGTCAAAGCGGCCACCGTGGCCGTCCTCACGATCGCCCAGGGGGTCAACTACGAGTGGGTGCTCAGCCAACATGTCACAGATGTACTAGTGCTCGTGATCACGGTACTGGAATTCTGTACCCAGGGCGTGATGGTATTGTGGTACTGGGTGCGTCGAGGGCGGGAGATTCGAACATTTCCGTACAAAACAGCAAAGTTCCGGTATGTTACGTATGGCGTGCTGTCGTTTTTGGTGGTACCGGAGGCGATCGGGTCGTTGATCACGTTGATGAAACGGACGACGGGGACGCACTCGACCCCGACCGCGAAAAGCCTGGCGTGGCTGGCGGCGCTTGTTCGGTTGCAAGCATTTGCGTGGATGGTGCTCAAGTGCTACCTCCCCCTCAAGGCGTCCCAACTGTTGCAGACATCCCCCGAGCACCGGTCTGTAGCTCTAGACGACGAAGCGGATGGTGCCCCCTCCTCGGCCTTCCGAACGTTCAATCTCACGACCGCCGTGACGATGCTTAATTGCAGCGTCACGTGTTACTTTGACGATGGTTCATCGGGTTCCCCCGATCTTGGCATCCCCATGACAACGGAAAGCTCGAGCCGAGGGGGTCTTCCCCCCACTTTCCCTCGACAGCCCCCGTCTCCATCCTCGTTTGGACGCCTTGGTCACGACATCATCCACCCAACTGCATACAACATATCGGTCCTCCAGGTGTTCCACGACGCCGTGACCGACACGAACGCCTTGTTATTGCACGATCGAGAATCCGACCGGTACATTTTGAGCTTTCGGGGCACGGGGAGCCTGAAGAACGGCCTGACGGACCTCAAGTCTCGGCAAGTGTTGTTTCCTGGCATGCAGTTTAAAGCCCAGCGGGGCGACTTGAAGCGGCGATACCACCGCAGCGACGTATATGTCCATGTGGGGTTTCTGCAGGCGTACATGGCGCTGCAAGTCGACCTCCACGACGCCGTGCGTCGGCTTCCCCGACCGACCAACCAACCGCTGCAGCTGTTTTGCACGGGCCATAGCCTCGGGGGGGCACTCGCTACTTTGTGTGCGCTCGATATGGCGCTAGCCCAACCAAACGTGGCTGTAACCATGTACAACTTTGGCAGTCCGCGCGTTGGCAACCATACGTTTCAAATGTTGTTCAACGCAACCGTCTGTGGGTTTCGCGTTGTGAACGACGGCGACGTGGTAACGCAACTGCCCAAACGCGACTACACGGGCGTGGATCGAAGCGGCGTGGGCATTTACAAACACGTGGGCGTGGAAGTGGTGCTGCTGTCTCCCGGCCGCCAAGTCGACGGCCACCATTCATTTCGAGGAATTGTGGTCGCCCCCACGATCGTCGATCGAGTGTTTGTGTTGGCCATGCGGACCAAGTTGTCCAGTCATGGGCTGGAGAGCTATCGCCAGAGCTTCCGATCGCTGATTGCCCACGAACCAGCCTTTGATGAGGCTACGTTGATTAGTTATCTGAACGATGCAGACAAAAACCAAACGGGTCACGACACTGCCGTGAATCGAGTTGCCCCGAAAGGAATGACATATGACGACGAAGTTGAAGAAGACGACTTGACTGACGGGGACGACACGTCGATGCTGCCTACAGAAATGCTAGAAGTGTTGGTCGATGTCGTGCAAGAACAAGTGCAAACAACTGTCATACGCGACGACGAATAGAGGATAAAGCTTTATCCCTTGAAAGGTTCATGAATGAAGGCTTTTCTTCTTGTTGGAATTGCACCGCATACACACTATTTTATAGCCTAAACGAACGAGCGCCTCGAGTATGTTCATTCTATGGACAAGATGCATGGTTCTAGCGGCGGGACAGTTGAAACTAGTGACGATGACGACTCAAGCGTAACGGACACAAAACATCGAACAACTGTAGGCAAATCAGTAACAGCCTCGCGACTGCAATCGGTCATTCCGCAGTGTATTGAACAACTCGATCGATATGGAAAGCAAAGGAACGTCCGCGGTGGTGGATGCGTCCGCATTGAGTAAATCCGTGGGCAATTTGAAGGCAGCCAAGTGCCACGACCGCCCCGACGCCTTGGCGTACGACCGCGATGTCGCCAAACAGTATGGTAAGTAGTAGTTGATCGTTGAAATACTAGCGGTATTGACAGCCCCCTGGCGCGATTGAAAGTCAATTCATGTTGACATATGTGTGTGTGAGTGCAGCGGCCTTGTACACCAAGCACGACGGCAACCTCCACGATATATTCAAGGTACTCAGTGTGCATTTGATGGTATAAATGTCTTGGAACCAATGGATGGATGGATGGTAGGAGTTGGACGAAAGCCCCCGAAAAGCCCTCAAGCACCCCCCCGAGGACAGCGACGAGTTTGGGATCAAGTATGCCCAGGGGTTTTACTCGTACGCTGAGGAAAAGTAATCGCCATTCGAATGAACCAAGAAACTTGTAGCTTACAATTCCAGAGTTTCGTTGGCATAGGCAATTTATACTTGTTTGGCCACATGGCGTCAATGACATTCAATAAAGTGGAGCTGGCAGACAGACTATCGTTGGTTGTTGGTTCAAAGTATTACTACGTAATGCTATTAATAGCACTACGTATTATTAATAATAGTAAGTCCGTTAATACAGTACGCCCACCTTGCAAACTATCGGTATACATTAGTCACGATAAAGTTATTAATACATATGTAGTGATTTATAATGTCTACTAACGTGAGTACAGTTGTACACCTTTACTTCGAAGTACATTGTTAACATGGTAAATTCCAGTACTACACTACATGGGGGACACTGCCGCGGGGTTTCGAGGGGTCGCACTCATCATAGACTTTTCGACCAACTCGCCATGCATGCGCTTGGCTGCTTTTCGCATTTCCACCACCGCATTCTATCCATCGACCGTTCTAATATCCCTCCATATACCGAACAAAACAATAGATCGATAAATGTATGTACGTACCTTGTACTTTGGATTGGCCTCAATGCTGTACGTTCGCACGGGGGCTGTGAACGCTTCCCACGTGAGCATACGGTCGCCGGTGTCTCTTGTGGGGGTGTCGACAAGCCACTTGCGAATCAACATACCAGTGGAGGGTAGCCGCTCAAAGCCCTTTTCTCGGTCCACTTTGGAGTCAAGGGGCACGGTCTTTTCAAACTGACCGGTAAAGTCGGGGTACTGCGGAATCGTGCTTATGTCGTCGGAGGACGCGTACCGCTTGCGGAGACACACGTTGCCAACACACGCGACCGCCGATGCTCCTAGCAGCGACACGACGCGAACGACGAGCCCGAGGGTCTTGTCCAGAATCGGCCACAACAAAGCGCGGATAAACTGGGAGAGGAAGATCGAGCACGCCGCCATCACAAACAGCGCAAACATGGGAAACACATTGGTCCGAAAGATTTTGGACGCGAGTCCGTTGCGCCCGAGGGGGTCGTACGTGGCTACAATGTCTCGGAAGGATTCGTACACGTCGTTGACGTCGCTGACGGCGTCGCCGTGATTGAGCCCGAGGCTGGTGACGATCCACTTCACGTCGAGGAGATTCGACTTGAGAAACTGGTTGTTGCCGTACATCCACGTGGAAAACCCCAAGTGGATGAGCAGCGCAAACGGGAGCATCGAGAGCGCCAGCTGACCCAGCGCCTAGTCAGTACAAGCGAGGGGGCTAGTTGGGGGGAGAGGGGAGGAACATCGGGGGGGGACGTACTTCGTCGTACGCCGTGCGAATCGAATACAACCGCATGAGCGTGACCTTGTCACAGGAATACGTAATCAGACAAGACGCGGCCGCGATCGGAAGCAAAATTGGAATCCCGCCACAGTACATCATGGTCACAAATACCGTGTTGAGTACCAACGGATACCTACCCCCAGGCATAGCACATGTCACATTCGGTACACACCACGGCAAAGTTGAACACATAACAAGTTCATGGAGAATATTCATATACACTCTATCGTGACCCTCTATATTCCAAGCATGTACTATACCGTAGGGAAATGTCAAATGGGGGACCAGCGTACACTTCATCGAGCTGCTTTTGGGTGATGGCGGAGCGCTGACCAAACCACCGAGAAATCGGACCAATCACAAACGTCATCATGGTTGGGGCGATCTGGGGCGCCACGGAATTGACCAGCATTGTCGTGGCGATGCCCACGCCAACGGCAACATACCACTTTTGCACAAAGTCGTCAAATTCGCCGTGGAAGATTTTCTCCAGACTGAGGGGCAGCGGCACGTCCGTCCAGTTGGCGTTCACAAGGAGCACGATGACACCTATATACACATCAGCATTCAAAACCACGGTATTCTTGGGGGATAATACTAGGAAATTCCATCCCCCTAGCGCCCCATCTCCACATACCAGTGTTGAGCAGTTGCGCAAAAAACAGCTTGAACACGAGCGCCGACGCGCGCTCGCTCTCGCTTGTGTGTCGCTCAAACTCGCCAAACGCCCTTATAATCGTTTGCAAACACAAGTTGACGATGATTACGATGCCTGCAGCCACGACAATCGCGCCGTTTTTCCGGACGTAGCTGGTCAAGTACTCCTGACACGGTACCTGGTTCTGGTACATTTTACGTGGCCCTTCGAAGATCCCATACAATTTGATCGCGTTCGTGAGCTTGGGCCCGCAATAGCACTGCAAAATGTCGGACGCTGCATACGTCGCACACGGCCGAGTATATTTATTGACTAAATCGGGGCGGAAGCAAGGCAAGGTGTTGCATTCGTGGTCGATCGACGGGTCGAGTGACACACACGGATCCATACATTGCGTCAGATTCGACCCGGGGGGAATGGCTTGGGTCACGCGAGGGCTGTTCATGAACGTCACGTGAAAAGCCTCAATATTGGGGCAGAGTTGTTCGGTCGGGTATGGGTCCCACCCCAACACCCACTCGTAGTGCGAGATGTTGTCGTAGTCGCCGAGGAAGACTGCTGGAATCGCTTCGGCGCAAAAGTTGGGAATCCCTTGTTTTGAAAACGTTTGCTGGGCACTAAAAATATCGGTCGGCGAGGGTAACAAGAGGAGAACTGTTGTACTAACTTACCTCTGCGCCACGGAAATTATCGCACACGACAGCAACAGGAGTAGAAACGCAATGAAGTTCGTAAATGCCCGTCTACATACGCACAAAATCAGCACGCGCCACAGCAGGCGCACAACCCAAGTGCATACCGATAGCGTCGTTCCTGGGTCGATACTTCGAGATTTTCCCAAATAATGTCAGACGGCTCAGGCGCCGGTTGAATCTGTAGCCGGTGAATGCCCTGGAAGCGAAGTGCCTTGGGTTGAAAGTACCGGGCATACCATTTGTGGCTCGTACGGTAATCTCGCACACACCTACCACCAACAAAATCATATGGTACTCAATGATATTACTGCTATCTGGTCCAAAAAGTACTCAATCATATGATCCTAAACTGTACTCTATGCCACTGCAATTTAATAAAAAATGCAATCTCACATACCGGCGCTGGGACTCGACGCAATTAAACACGACAAAGGCACTGTCGCATTGGGTCAAGTACACCCCACCGTCGTCTTTTTTCAACGCTTTGAGTCGATTCGTTTTCTTTTCCAGGTGCAGTTGGACCTTCTTGAGCTTCTTTTCAATCCTATATCATCATCACCCCCCCTCATCATCAAATTTATAGTCGTAGCCTCGTCAAAACGCCCTGGTCTCCTACCGTGGAGTGACCTTTTCAGCCACTTGTTGCCCTTTGTACGTGTCGAGAATGTCTTGCAACTCTGCGGCTTCGGCCGTCAAGTCATCCATCGCTAGAAACGTTCGTAGAAGCCCCCCCGAAGGTCGGGAAATGCTCACTTCGGCAATCCACTTGCCTTTATATAGGTCGTTTCCGCCCACGTGATCCAAGTTGGTCACCGGTTTGGACAAGTGACCCCCCGTCGTGAGGTGCCGCCTCTCGATGGGGGGCTTGCGCTTCCCCCAACAGCCAAAGTACAACGGGAGTTCCATGTAGTCCTTGAGGGGGTCGTACAAGGCGTTGAAATGGGCGACAATGTCCGCTTCGGTTGCCGATCGAGGTAACCCTCGTACAAACACGGCATACTTTGCCGGCGTGACGTTTTCCGCTTGCTGGGCCACGGCGGTTTGAATTTTCATCTAACACGAGGGAAACTTGGGTAACGCTACCGTCCACAGTATATATATGCTGCTGGTCATATAGTACCTTGAAAATCATAATGAACCCTACAAACGCGAGCGAAAACAACACGTCGAACGACGTCGTGATGTAGCTAATGTAGTTGGGGTCATCAGTAAACGGATTGTCGATGCACCAGTCCGTCGTGGCGTTCATGGTCGAGTTCACGCCGAGGTTCGCGATGCTAAGCGTGGAAAACTTGAGCGGGTCGACCATGTCTATCTCAAAGCCGTGGCCGCTGGCATTCATGACAAGGGCGGGCAGGGCGAGGACTGACATGACGCAGAAGCACACACCCATGTACTTGGTGAACATAAAGTACAGGTGGATGCCCGTGCCGAGCTCGGAAATGTCTTGCATCGTCGTGTGGATAAACGGTTTGCCGGCGCCGAGCCGCTGGGACATGGCCAGCCGCTTGGCGTTTTTGATCATGTCTGGCCGCGTCGCCGCGACGGTGCGGTTCGCCAACGCCCGCACCGACCGGTGGTGCATCACCACGGCGGAATCCACACAACGGTTGGTGCTGGACGCTATGAAGGATGCAGTGGACGATTCCGCCGCGTCTAGCTGGGTTTCTTGGTTCCCCACGAATTCCGTGTTGAGGTTGGACAGAACAACGTCTTCTCCAAACACGTTGCTTCTAGTGTCCGGGGGTACTGGGGTTTCGTCCACGATCAAGCTCGAGTTGTCGAAGGGAGGTATATTTTCGGTGGCGGTTGGGGGGATCGTGGCTATGGGGGGTGAAATGGGCGGAAGGTGGTGCGGGGCGAAATCGTCCAGCGTCAAAGGCCTCCCGACGGTTTGTTGGGGCGACGGGGCAAAATCGTTTAGTGACAACGGGCGACCAACCACGACGGGGGCCACAGGTGGTGGCGCAAAGTCGTCTAATGTCATGGGACGACCCCATTGCGCCGGATCGATTGGTTCTGGTTGAATGGTGTTGGTATCGGATGCTGCACCGTCTTGTGTGGCCGGTGAAGTTGGCAGGTCCATGGCAACTCTCCACTAGCCGAGTTGCGTTAGAGGATGAAACGGAGATGGTTTAGAATTTGTAACCGTTTCGCAGGTTTCAGAATGGTGCCAAATGGCTATTTTGACGCCATGTATGGTTCTGTAATTGACAGACTACACTTGACTTATTATTTAGACTAAATAATATGAGCGGTTGACCTTTCATTACATTTCCGCACCACCAATCAACAATTGCAATTCCACCACCATGGCCGCCGACCAACCACCGACGTCGTTGAAGCGACCTGCGGACAGCACCGCGAGCGGCAACGGCGGACACAAGAAGAAGAAGCCTAAAACCAATGGTGGTGGTCCAAAGAAGCCACTTCCCATTGCCGCTGGCAGCAACTGGGCCAAGCTCAAGCCACTCGTAGTAGCTGCCAACGCGAAGCCAGCAGCGACCCACAACAAGACCAACGTCCCCCAGAAGAAGAACGACCTGCGCCACGTCAAGAGCAAAAAGGTCACGTCGGATAAGAAACCGAAAAAGTCTCAAACCATCGACTGGATCGACTCGAACCTGATTGTCGCGATGGATTGCGAAATGGTCGGCGTCGGCGTCGGTGGCACGCGCAGCGTGCTCGCTCGATGCAGTATCGTCGACTTTAACGGTGACGTGGTGTACGACGAGCACGTCAAGCCGCTGGAAAAGGTCACGGACTACCGCACCCACGTCAGTGGGATCCGATCCAAGTCGTTTCGGAATGCGATTTCGTTTGCCCAGGTAAGAAGAATTCATGTAGTGCAATACGTCGTTGGATCGATGGCGAAGTTTTGGGTATCCGATTCAGCATATTGAACCGCGATATGGAGTGTCTCGCGCTCGATTGTTCATGCTGTCTGTCGTAAATGATATATGCAGATTGCATCGTCATCTGTGTGTCGTGTATAGTGCCAAGTGGACGTTGGCGCGATTCTCAAGGACAAAATTCTAGTGGGGCATGCCGTTCGCAACGATCTGCAGGTAACAAAACCATACCTTTTCTTCCCCCACGCTCTTCTATATGTATATGTACATCTATAGTTATTTGTGATGCTATCTATAAACTATATTCGATATATATATATTTGTGATGCTATCTTTATTATATATTATATATATATATTTTTGATGTTATATAAGTGAAGCTATCTATCTATATGATATCTATGTGATGTTTATGATATATTCTGTCGGTAGGCGTTGATGTTGACACATCCCAAGCCAATGTTGCGCGATACGACCAAGTACCGCCCGTATATGCGACGGAGGGTGAACGGCACGGTATGACGAAGTAAAAACTAGGTGGAATCCTCTGGATACCAAGTCATGGTGATGTGTTGTCCATAGAAACTGCTGCCGAAAGCATTGCGACATTTGGCGTTGGAAGTGTTGGACAAAACGATCCAAGCTGGCGAGCACGACTCGGTGATCGATGCACGCACGACGCTCGAGCTATACAAGAAGGCGATGGTGCCGTGGGAGAAGGCGCTCAAAGCGTCCAAAGTCCCCGGGGGGCTAGTGGGGGTCGTTCCCGTGAACGTCCAGGCGAAGGACAAGGCCGACAAGGCCAAGCGCGCGGCGGCGGGGCTGGGCGAAGACTCGGACGATGACTTTGAAGCCGCCGTGAAACACATGCAGGACAAGTCTGTCGTGACCAAGTCGTCGTTGCGCATTCCAGATGCCCATGCGCTTGTCATGCAGGAATACGACGAGTAATTCCAAATGCAAATATACTACCTACACCCGTCACTACAGGATCATGCGTATTCGTGAGAGGACCAGCAGTCGCGTGTTAGTCCGGTGTTGAGCCAGCTACTTTTGTAAGCTTTCGACGTTGTACGGTAACATGATACTACCGACTTTTTGATTTGTGTGGTACGAAATGCAATTGGGAGAGTGAGTTGACGAGGTTTTGGGACTTCCAAAACTAGAGTTAGATTAGTTAAGGTCCAAGGTATTATTACTTTATAATTCAAGTAGTACTACGTAGTACCAACCTAGTATCGACTGCAGACAGGCCTGTCTCGCGTTCCGATATAGACGTGGGGATTTGCTTTTTCTGTCCAACGGGTGCACAACGCTCGTCCAGTTGTATCAACTGGCTGGTGTCTCCAACCATCACCTCACTTTGCATTATTGGGCTTGGCCACACACATCGCTGCATATCTCAACGGAAGTCATGGCGATAGCTCCGACATACTCGGCGACGCAGGCGACGCCACCCCCTCCTGCTGCTACCGCCCCGCCGTCAATTTCCCGAGGTGCTGTCTGTCTCTCCCCGGGAGGCTACGCCAACACGATTGTCACGCCCAAGTCGTTTCATGTTGTCGACACCTCGTTGGTGCCCGACGCGACGTTCTACCATCCCCCACCGCCGGCCTGCTCGATCTTGTTCATGGTGTTTCTCGCTGCCCCTAAGATGGCCATGAACATGGCATGGGCTGCTCAGTGGGCGGCATTTGGCCCCCTTCTCGAAACGCTCTTGCCGTCGTGGGCCGTGCAACTGGTGCAAATCATTGGCCCCCTGACTGGTCTATTGGTGGCTCCCACAGTGGGGGTGCTCAGTGACGCGTGTACGAGTACGTATGGCCGCCGCCGCCCTTTTCTCCTCTTTGGGGCTGTCGCGTCCTCCACGTGCTGGCTGGTCATGTCGTACGCTAGGGAAATCGGCGAAGCTATGGGGGACGTCCGGGGTGGGGCTCGCCAGCCGTGGACGGCCGTGTGGACAGTGCTGTGCTACATTTGGATGGACATCACGGTTAACATGACGCAGGTCCCGGTGAGTTTGATCTTGGCTGACTTTGCAGGCGACCGGCAAGTGACGGCGGCGTCGATCGGCCAGGGATTTTCAATTGCCGGGTCGTTTTGCGTGTCGGGGTACATTTTGTTCTTTGGGCCTGCCCACGAGTCCATTCACGCGTTCATGTTTATGCTGGTGGGTGTCATGCTCGGCACCGCCCTTCCCGTGTGCATTTGGGCCAAGGAGGAGCCGTACACGTCCCCAGCGGACGCGACACCTCGGTGCCAGCAGCTCCAGCAAGCGTTTGCCGCCGTCTACACTGGCCTCCGCCAGCTACCACGCGTCCTCGTGTCGTTTTGCGTGTGCTTTTTGCTCATTCAGTACGGCTACACTGCGTATAACGGCGCCAAGGGGCAATTCTTTGGGTTGCATGTGTTTGGTGGCAGTGCGGACGGGGCCAACATCTGCGGGAAGGTTTGAGATTTCAATTTCTTTCATCCGAAAGCAACGAAACAATTTCATCCCAATATGGGTCTAGGAATGCACGGGCCCCCAACTAGCGTACAACGACGGTGTGCACCTCGCAGGGGGAATCACAGACACGATTTTCAACGGCGTGGGGCTGGTCTACCTGTGCATTTTGCCCTGGCTCGTCCGAACGTGTGGCGCCAAGCGCGTGTTTACGTGGTCTATTTTACCGCAAGCGATGCTGATCGCGATGGCGTTCTGCAAGGTCGTTGAAATGAATGTGACGATTGTAGTGCTGTGCGCCATCACACAAAACACGGTGTTTGCGATGCAAATTCCAGTGATTATGCATGTGGTTGGGCATGGCCCAGACAATCAACTGGGTTTGTTTGCCGGGGCGTTCAATTCTGCGAATTGCGCTGGCCAGCTGCTCAACTTTGTGCTTGCGACGCTGCTGGTGCAAACGGACATGGGACACGCGTTGCCCGTGCTTGTGGGCGGCATCCTCAGTCTGGGGGCGCTGCTTGTAGCCCAATTCACGCTTCAGTTGAACATGAAGTCGTTGTAACAAGTGAATCGATGACACTTATAAACTTGGTGTTATCGATTGAAGTTGAGCTACTGAACGACACGGAAACAAAGACAACATCCTGTACACTTGGAATTTCTCCATGTTGTAACTCGGACCAAGTACGAGAAAGTAGCTGACTTTGGGTGGCTAAATATAGCCACCCTGCCCCAAGTTCGTCATAGTGAGCTAGCAACATGGGACCGAAAGCCAAGAAGAAGGAGCTCGAGCCTGAGGACAACGGCGTGACGCGACCTATGGTCGTGGCCAGCTACACAAAGATGTGCAGGTACATACCACAAGACAAGTCCTCGTCAGTCATCCACAAAACCTAGGGCGATTGGTGTGCCCATGAATTCGCACGTGTCCGACATGATCAAAGGCAAGGGCGAAGAGGCCGATGAGAAGTTGACGCAGGTACAGTAACAATCCCCTTTACTCACATACTGTAGTGCAAACTGACGTTGGCGTAGATATTACTTGACGAGGAGTTTGGCAACTTGGGCAACGGGGGCATCCGAGCCATGACGTGTGCGTTCCTCGGCACTGTGCCACACAGCAACACGGGGCCGTATCAGCATCTCGCGAACGTTCGCGTGTGGAACAATCCGATTGGGGACGAAGGCGCGTCGGCGATTGTACGTCCAATGAACCAGCCCCCCCTCAACCCCCAACGTCCCCCCTTCATGCTACTCCCGATTTTGTCGATTTGGCACTTCCTTGATGGAGTATTTGTGCGGTAGTCAACTTTGCTTTGCGAGGGCCATGCACTGGTAAACGTCGTGTACGTCGAGCTCATGGATTGCGACATTGGTCCAGAAGGGTTTGTCCACATCATATTCTGTTACCAACTGTGTGTGATATGTGCATCGTTGGGTAGGTGTGCAATGTTGGGCAACGCTGTCAAAGCCGAACACAAATCGCCTTTGCAAACGTTAAAGCTGAATTGCAACAATAAAATTGGCGACGACGGCGTGACTGCGTTGTGTCAAGGGCTATTTGAAAACAACGCGATCAAGGTATTGTCTATCGACTACTGCGTACAACTACACATATCCGCGGCCTTCTCCTCGATGGTTCAAGCTTGCGTTGCTAAATCACGTTCCTTTCTATGGCAGCAACTGCACTTAGATTTTTGCAACATCTCGAGCAACGGGGCGGTAGTTCTGGCCCAGCTCCTGTGCATGGCCAAGAGTGGCTTGCAAACTCTAAGTCTTCAAGGGAACGTGTTGGGGGATCCGGGGCTGTTGAATTTGTCCAAGGGGCTCAAGCGGTCCCAGTCTCTTGTCAAGCTCAACATTTCCGACAATGGCATTCGAAAGGTATTTTAATAAAATTGTGCAAGTACAGGACGGAAATCAAGTGGTAATTCGATTTGCATTTAGAATTTGTATGACGTATACAAATTTCGAAGTTGATTTTAGTGTTACACGATTGTTGTGACACTATTAGTTTGTATAGCTACACAATATTTTTATTCTCAAAATATGTTTGAGTACCACTGGGTGAAGATTTCCATCGTTACCTTGTATACTGGTAATCAACAAGAGTTAACGAGTGGTGTATATATTTAGGATGTAGAAGCGCTAAAGACGTTCCGCGACGCCATCCTACGCTGCAAAACGCTGTCGACGATCAAGTTTTCGTTCAACTTGATTGATGTTGAAGGGGCAGACATTTTACTGCCAGCCCTGGAATCGGTATATTTGTTTTACACTTTTTTATAAGAGGAATAGTGGCTTAGCAACTTGCTGTGCGTTTGGTCGTTTTAGGCTGAAGGGGCACGAATCAAAGTATTTGAAGTCGATGCGTCACTCCCCCCCGAAGTGTTTAAAAAGCTCAATCGCAGCGAAAAGGTCGACTCGAAAAAGAAAAAGGGCGGCAAAAAAGGTGGAAAAAAGAAGTAGATGTGGCGGCCCATGAATAAATAAATTCTACTAGTACTACGTATTAATAGTAGTAACTACTAGAATTCTGAAGTACAATTAATAGTATAACGTTACTTGTTCACAGTTAGTACTATCGGTACCATGGTTGCAGCGTAGCTCAACCTTGGCGAGGCGTGGCGTCGTTTGACCTGATCATCGGCGTTGACTGGCATTCTGGAAGTACAAGCTCACTTTTATGATTGGGCCTGTCTGGTAACTTTTCAAAAATATAACACCATTTCCTTTCAAAATGGGATTAACCAAAATGCTATTCTCAAAATGGAGGTAAATGGTCAATTTTGTAATATGGCGTTTTAAACCTCTTCGACGAGTAAATCCCACGTGGAATTATTGGATTTGGGTTAAAACGCTTCAAGCAAGACATATTTCAATTTTGATCAGATTTGTTGAATTCGGCCCCAAAATGGCGTGGGCCAGAATATTGTGTTGTGATCGAATAAAGTGGGACATCTCATCCGACTCAATTCTGATTGGATTAAATTCGACCTAATTATCTTGCCTTTGCTTGTTGCTGCATCATTTGGGGTCGGTCAGAGTGGTGCGGAGTATCCGCCAGAGGGAGGATCCCCCTGACGGATGCTCCACACCTCCAGTAGTACCAGCCTTACTGTCGTTGCTAGCTGGCGGGTTGCAGGCAAAACTACATTATGTTGTTCATCTGCCATGGTCAAAATGCACTTATAACCAATCAATGGATACAGGACATTCGGTCCGACTGTCTTCTGTCAATTTCTCACGTCTGATTTTGACTTCGCTTTTGTATATAATTAATATTACAACGAACAAGAAAGTCGGACAAACGGTCCGACGATCACTTGGTTCCTGTATATCCTATCCGACTTTTTCGACTAATGCAACATTTCGGGTTGCCAGACGGGCCCTTCTTCAGAAGTAATGCCGAAATTCTACGATTGGCTATACAGGTTTCATGAATATCGATATTGAGCCAATCAAAACGCTTGATTTGCCACGTTTTGACATTGCTGGACACGAAAGATGTACGCAGGTACCGACAAGTACGGCGGCGGCGTCGTGGGCGAGGACTTCAAGGATGCCGAGGCAGCCGCCCCCAACTTGGAAGATATTCTGGACACTGCAAGTGCCGAAGAGACGGTTGTCACGAGCATGCCGTACTCGTATTTGGACGAGGACACGAACGAGGTCGTGGAAGGCGTGAGCTCGGTCGTGCTGTCGTCGCGCTTGAATCCAGAGAGCGGCGGGCTGATGTGGGTCGAAGAGGAGGATTCCGCCGAGACGTACAAGAACGTCGTGTCCATGTCTCAGATGACGTCCATGCTGCGGGATCTGGACCGGAACGCTGCCTACGAACACGGGATTCGTCGGGGTATTGAAAAGTTCATCGCGACGCACCACCGCCGTCCCATCGTACGTCCCATCATGCTTTTGTTTGATCCAGCTAATGGAGCTCTAGGTGTTGGACATTGGTACGGGCACCGGCCTTCTCGTACGTACTCAGTATTCACCGCCATCCTCCATATCCTCTGTGATGACGCTACTCTCCTGTTGTAGGCCATGTTAGCCGCACGCCACGGAGCCGAACACGTGTACGCTTGTGAAATGTTTCAAACGATGGCGGACATTGCCGGCGCCGTCATCGACGCCAACGGATTATGCGACAAGGTCACTGTGTTCTCGCTGCGGTCGACCCAGCTGACCGTGCCAGAACACCTTCCCGTGCGCGCCGACATGATGGTATCCGAGCTATTCGACTCGCTTCTTCTTGGCGAAGGGCTTCTACCGACGCTCGCCCACGCGCGGGCGCATCTCTTGACTCCAGACGCCGTCGTGGTACCTCAGCACGCCACCGTCTTTGCCAAGCTTGTGGCCTCCGACACACTGTATCGCATGAACAGCTTCGACCAGACCCACATCGACTCGTTGGCGTTGGCACGTTCCAAAGACGCGTGGAAGTGCACGGGCGGCGCGCGCGTCGCGCTGCCTCTGCACATCAACACCATCCCAGACGTGGTCGACTTGACCGAAGTGGTGCCAGTGCTGTCGTTTGATTTCGGAACAACCCGTTGCTCCAACAAAAAAGCCACCACCGTTGTAACCGCCCTAGCTAGTGGCCGCGCGGACGCGATCGTGATGTGGTGGAGTGTCGACTTTGGCGACGGTGTCACATATTGCACGGCCAGCAGCGGCGCGCAGAACTGGCAGGACCACTGGGTCCCCGTCGTGTTTCCCCTCACGACGCAGCACGTCGTCGCACATGCCGACGCCGTCGAGCTCACAGCGTACTCGGACTCGCTTCGCATCTGGTTTAAGGTAGCCCATCCCCCCCAAGCAGCCACCATCAAGCGAGCTAAAGTAGACGAAAAAGATGATGATATTGCTGCCGCTTGCATCTGTGGCCTCCATTTGATCTGCAATGCTGAGCGAGTGAGCATGCTAACCAACACACCTCGCACGGACGCGTACGCCGCCGCCTTGCGGGACATCGTCGCCGGACGAGTCGCCCATCCGACCTCTGAACAAGACCGTTCCTCGCTGTCAGTTCTGGACATTAGCGACGGCTCGTTTGGCGCGCTCTTGGCGGCGTCAATAGACCAAGTGGCCAACATCACGAGCATCGAATCCAAGCAAGTGTCGGCGTTGATCTTTGAGCAGATTGCTAGCCACCACGCCCTGGACGACCGCCTGACCATCTTGGGCTGCGGCGTCAAGGGTCTGCTGGTGGAGCATCTGCACGGCCAAGTGCCCGTGGACATTCTCGTGGGCGAGCCATTTTACTACGCGATGCAAAACCTCCCCATTTGGCAAGCGCTCAACTTTTGGTACCGTCGCAGTGCGGTGGCAGGTACATTCATTCATTTCCCATCCCCTACACTTTGATTTCTCTTTATATTACCACGTCCGACTGTGCAAGTTTACTTACAGCATTGCTGCGTTTGACCTTTGTGGGGGTGAATGAGTATGTACGTTGATACGCCCAAACAGGTTTTCTTTCAAAGGTACCGACTGGGCTACCAAAAAATATGATATTTCAAGGCGTCAAGGATTTGGCTTGTCAAAAATGATATGTATAAATAAATGATATACGTGTCCAAGCTAGGACTGTACTACTTATTACCTGCCCACACTACGGTGATATCTAGGTCTTTCAAAGATACAACCAACGTGCTATGTGCTTTGCTTCTTAAGTGTTTTACTATTGTCTGTAGATCTGCTGTCGGCACGCGCAGTGGTATTGCCGTATCGAGCCAGCATTCGAGCGATGGGTGTGCAGTTCGATCACTTGCACGAGTGCTTTGGGACGGTCAACAGCGTCAGCGGCTTTAACCATGCGCCGTTCGATGCTCTCCAAGGCGGGTACTTGGACCGAGATTTTCCCTTCCCCACCTACATGTACCCGTACACTGCCGGAACTGCCGCCTTCGAAGTGATGCCCCTGTCCTTCATGGAGCCAGTGGCCCCGTATGACGCCGCCATCAACGTGCCGATCACTGGGCCCGTCAACGCCGTGATTCTCTGGGTCGAGTACCAGCTAGACGCGGCAGGCCACCACCACGTGGCCACTGGCCCGTCCGTCGTCCATGCCAAGCAAGCCGTGCGGTTCCTTCCACGGGGAAATGCATCCACTGTCGTCGAAGGGTTCAAAGACGGGGCGTTGCAACTCACAACTGCCGTGGACTTTCAAGCGGCTGAGGGGGTGCTCTCGTACGCGTTTCACGTGGCGAAAAGTAGTGCTTTCTAGTAAGAATAGCCAGTGCACATGAAAGATCAGTAGAGCCTCGTCAGGATGGACGAGTTGTGAACTATGTTATGAGTACATTGTCTATGGCATTATATCGGAATAGTACTACGCTGCATGCCCTACACAAGACCTCCGCCTCGGGTGACGCAATGTTTATCATCGTGTACTACATACTGTACATTTAGCATCCTGCTACGTAGGAGTAGCACCCCCCCCCCTTGAACAGTTGCGGTAGTGATCTCGTCGTATTCTACTTTGCATACACAGCACAGTATATATGGACGGTGGGCAGCGACGCCCCCAATCGTATGGTCGGTGTGCACCCACATCACAGTGACACTACGGTGAAGTACATATGTACTACCGCCAAGTTAGATTGGTAATTCAACCCAAGCCACCAACCGATCAAGTTTGTTCGAAGTGTTATATGATTCATTGCGCTGTAGTTCTCTTCTGTGTATATCGTTGTGGCCACGAGAGGTTGGATGGGCTCTGTAGAAATTTCACAACGTTGAGATGTCCGTTGTTCTTGGCTTCCTGCATCGCTCCTATCGTGCTCAGCCGCGCATGGTTTGTGTGCAAGAGGCGCACAACGTCCACGTATCCATGTCTCGCGGCCGTCTCCATCGCGTCTCTGGCCGCACTTTCGTCAGTTGGGCTGCGCTCATCGAGCCATCGGACGACCTCTACATGGCCATTCAACGCAGCGAACACCATGCATTCGCTGGCAGAGCATCGCTCAGGTCGATTCACATGGACCCATTGGACAATGTCCAGATGACCCATCCACGCGGCGCATTGCCCAACGTCCCGCGTGCACCCGCCAACGTTGTGTGCGTCCAGCCATTCAACCATGTTCAGGTGCCCGTACTGCGCGGCTACGCTCCACCGCTCGATATTTCTGCTGTTTTTATCCAAGGGGATGTGCTGCGCTAAATACTGAACCACCTCTACCTGGCCATACGCGACAGCTTCATCAAGGGAGCTCTCAAAGCGTTCGAAAGAAGCGTGGCACCCCTCCACGAACCAGCGCACGACGTCCACGGACCCCGAGGCGGCCGCCCATATCAACAGGTTGCCTGTCGCGTGTCGCGGCAGACATGACGCCAGATAGTCCAGTCGGGACGTGCGGTATTGGCGATACCATGGCTCGACGACGGCAGCGACCTCATCAAAGTCCTTGCGGAGGTCGAGTAGAAAGCGGCGACGTTTGAGGACGGCACTCAACGCCACCACTTCTTCAGGAACCCCTGTCTGGTACGACGTGATGAGAGCCAACAGATCGGTGGACCGCATCACACTAGACTCGCTCTTTCCATCGGCAAGACGTGGGAACTCTTGTCCTTCCCACGTAGACGATCGGCACGTGTCCATGGCAACGGTCAAGTGGAAAATTCACGTTGTTCTTTCTACTATGGTACAGTACAACTGGAACTGCCGTATTTCGTTTTGTTTTGTATATATTCTCTATACAGTACAGTGCACGTAAATATAATTTTGGTAAGTTATGTACCTACCATATTTTTCGTTGATTTGCACGGTGCAAAATTAAATAAATGCAATATATTTTAATATATTCCATTAAGTATTAAAGTACTTACTAGTACTGTACTATTACCCCTGAATTGAAATCAATTGTTCAAATTGAATTATATGGTGCAATGGTACGGCAAATACGGTAGTCATCTTTCATTGGTTAATAAAGCGCCAATCGTTGGTTCGAAACCGCTCAAAACTGGAATTAAGCACCAATCATATGTGCGAAACGACGGAAAAAGGTGCGACCAAACGACATGCAGCATTCATTTCGCAGCAAAGTTTGATTCACATATAACCTAAGCCCCCCCCCCTTCGCTCTGTTAGTCGTGGTGGCCCTATGAAGGTCCAAAGGTGGTAGGCAAGGAATCGTCGAGCTTGGAAGAATCTGTCTCCGACTACTTCAAAGGACAACTGGTAGTTGCAAGTAGGACCTGAACCAGTAACATGGTTTACACGAGAGCTACGTGGCAAGTCGACTCGTCTAGTTAGCGGCCTTGCCAAACTTCGTTCGAACGGCCGACAGCACAAACCCATACAAGTCTTCAATCAAGTCGTCCGACCAGCCTTCATTTCGCGGTTGCGCTACATCATAGGATTCGAAGTCCAACTACGAACCCCAATATAACAACGAGTTTGTGTTTTACCTGCCAGCCGGGCTTTGAGGTCATCTGGCAGCGTACTTTGCACATGATCAACTGCATCCCATACAGATACTTTTTGCGGCAACCGAGTGAGCACATGGTGGTGGGCCAGAAGGAACGCCCCAAGGAGCACCGCGTCCTCGTCCAGTTGTTGGAACGGCCGCTAATTTCATTCCATGGTCAACAAAGCCAATATCAACTTTTGAAGTCGACTCGAAATATAAAATGACCTAGCCAATTAAAGTGCACGAACCAAACATTCATCCAATCATCGATTCGTTTGGTTTGGCCATGTTATATAATGTCACCTTCAAGTGTGTTGTATACCAAAGAGAAAAGTCTAAGCCAATAAAAAATCACGTTCTGTTCCGTTTCTGCCAATCCAAACGTTTGACCCCTATGCATTGGGCAAAACCATATACCGTATAGTGCATATGTATTGCGACAGGTGATATTTTGTTAATCCATTGCGTCATACAAATTTGAAGTATATTGTTAACATGTTCACAAGTAAATATCAGTTATTACAAAAAAACTATCAGTCGCAATAGATTAATCCGTCGCAATACATATACACTATACGGTATAAATACCAATAGCTGTATACAATATAGTTTGTACAAGCTTAAATGAGATCAAATGGAGTTTCGAATGCTAATTCGCGAAATGGCTCACAAACTTGGGTGAAATGCACACAATACGAGCCAACACATTCGATGCATTAATAAATATACCAACTTGTATTGTCGATTTGATACAAATTTGGGGAGGGGGTGCAATCGAATCATTGCGCCGACCAAACCGATCCACAATCGATCTGATTGGTTGAATTTCATTGAGAAGGTTTTGATTGGCTAATAATTTTGAGCTCATCTGAGGTAGCCAATCAAATCGATTTAAATTCCAACGAGAAACCACAACACAACACAATGAAATTTGCACAATAGAACCAGCTCAAACATTGAAGTCGGCCGGTGACTCGAAAGGGTATTATTAGGGTATTATTCATCGGTATCGGTACCTGCACAAAGAACTCCTGCACCAACACCCGAGAATCGAGCACTTCCTGGTCTTCTGGCTCTGTATCAAAGCCAAAGCCTTTGGCCAGCGTCACATTCTCCTGAATTGTGTGGCCTTCGATGATGGTGGCACGGATGTGCTGCATGCACTTCCACAGCGCCGCGCGTTGGAATGGCGGGCCGCGCACCGACGTACCCGGCGCCAAGCAATCGATCGCAGGGTATACCTACAATGTATTCATTCCCATGTCGATGTATTGAAGAGTTTGTCTTCGAAACAGGAGCGACATTTGGAGAAAAGGAATCGACACTACACCAGATCATAAATGTATAGAAGAATTGAACCAATCAGATGGTTGGAAATCATAATCAATATCGAATCAGCGTATGACTTTAATTAGTGTGTATTTGTTTGGCATCACCACAGGGCATTTCTTTACATTCAAAATGTAGTCCAAACACCCGATCGATAGATTTGGTGAATCAGCACAAAAGTCCATTTATATATGCTGGCGATGAGTGAGCTTGGATATTTCTTGGACAATATCCAAGCTCTCTCAATGCCAGCACGATGTATTCCACAAAATAAAATAATATATATATATGGTTCTATCGTCCTCCAGGTCAAATAGAGAGCGCAAAATAAAACAAAACTATATATATATACATATATAAATATATATTTTATCCATTCCATGGGTAGAAACAATAGTCACGTACGCGTCGCATGGTCAAGTTCGAATCCAACAGCACGTGGTCGTCCACAATCGAAATCAGACCTTCCTGAAACACTACACAGACGAGCATTAGTAGTGTATACATGTACTAGTAGTAATACTAGTAGTAAATATACTGCGAACACGTACCACTGGCGACGTCTTCCTTGCCGGGCGTGTCGGCCAGCACGAGCGACGTCAAGGAGGTCCCGCCGCGCTTTTTGGAGAACTGCGTGGATCGCTCCATGAGGTTGGCGTGGCCACTAAAGCTCAAGCGGGCGGCTTTCGGCAACTTGACCATGTGAATCAATTGTTCCACCACCTACACTCACCATTTAGTCCATGAATGAGGATAATGGTTCCCCGGTTCAAAAAGGATCATATATTCTATCCTTTTTGACTTTGACGGATATATATATATATATATATCCGACATAACCAGAAGTGACGCCTATATCAAGAGATGATATATCTATCATCACTTCCGAAACCCGCCAACAAAATGCCCCAAAAATGGATAGTATGATTTTCACACAAATCTGTCAATTTTGGTTGGTGATGGTTGAAATCGCCAAAGCCATCAAAACAGTATGATTGGCTAAAATAAAGAAGGTTGCCTTATGATTGGCTAAAAAGAATGTAGGTTGCATCTTAAACTCCGCTTTATATCATAAAAGTTTCGGCAAATTGGTGAGCGATTTATTCAACACAACCGTACGATGATATTTTGAGTAGAACAAACCACAATATACTTGTCAAACAAACCAAACAAGAGCACTTTCCCCCATATATATATATATATATATAATTATCGATATATATATATATCATTCGCTGCAATAATACATTGATTGTTGACTCGTTGTCGTCGTTCGTATAGTACGTACCATGGTATGCGCAGACAAGTCGTCGTACACAACGATAGCATTTTTAGTCACGCCATCTTGCAGCCAGGATTCGGCGATTCGGCAGCCGGCAAACGGCGCCAGGTACTGCATGATCAGCGGCTGGCGGTCGTCGGCGGCTACCACGGTCGTGTACGGGAGGATGTCGAGCTGCTTGAGCAATTGCAGGATCTGAGAGACGCGCGTCGGAGCCTTCCCAACTGCCACATACACGAAGCGCGGCATGGCGGCAGCGTTGTTGTCGTGCTTGTGTTTCAGAACTTGCTGCGCGAGGATATCTAGCGTTAGCCTGGTCTTGCCGCTGGCTCTAAACGACGTAAACAGGGAAACCAAGTTAAAGTTGTTGTGAAATATATAAAGGCACACAGATATGGCAACATATGACACACATGGGGACGCGCCGCCGCAGAATGCAATGCTGGAAATATCATGCCATGGTTGTCGATTTGATAGTACAAATTTGGGGAGGGGGTGCAATCGAATCGTTAAGCCAACCAAACCGATCCACAATCGATCTGATTGGTTGAATTGTTTGCATTGAGAAGGTTTTGATTGGCTAATAATTTTGAGCTCGTCTGAAGTAGCCAATCAAATCGATTTAAATTCCAACGAGAAACCACGCCACAACACAATGAAATTTCACTCGAAAGCACAATATATATTGTCGATTTTCTTCAAATTTCCCGTTTCTTTACGGTTCGTTTAACCGAGCGCAAACCAAGCCGAGACATCTGATTGGGTAATATCCACTTCGACCCGTCGGGTAGAAAATCGAAATGGATTGTAGCCAATCAGCGACAAGCAATTTCGGATTGACCAATCGGGGAGATTGGTGCCCGGAATTCGATCGAACGGGGTCCGGAAATTCGTACCGAATCTCCAATATTGTGGATGATTCGACACGAATTCCCAGACCCCGTCGTATCGAATATCTCGCCGCCGAATCGAATTACGAATCGACGACGCTATTGGCTAATCCTTTTTTGAGTGGATTTGATTGGCTCGTATAGAAAGGATAAGTAAATTCAACCAATTAGAGCTCCAGCATGATTCAATATTGGTTTGACAAACCACGCGAATTTTGAAAGTTCCTAGCGAATAAATCACAATATTGTGGAAAAGACAGTTGGAGAATGATGATTCGAACCCAATCAAGTAATGAGCCAATCAGATGGCAGGAAACAACCTTCATCAACATCTAAATAGTATGTGTGACTTTAATTAGTGTGATTACAAACACCACAGGACCTGTTTCTTGTAAAACGAAAAATCGATCGATAGATTAGGAGAATCAGCATCCTACAAGTCTAAATGTTTGGGTAAAAGGACAGTATTTTGAATATAAATAGATTAAAAAAAGGTAAATTTGAAATAGCTTCTATAGGATCTAAAAATAATTATACGTATCCTGTAGAAAATTTAGGATTAGCTATAAATACTTTAATAGATATAATACAAGGTAAACATTCTTTTTGTTAAAAAATTAAAAAAGCGAAAAATCCTATTATAAATAGCACAAAGCATTGCATGTCAATGCCAGCCACGTCACGGAAATACACGCTATACAGTCGAGCATACTGTCGTGGATATATATATATACAATTTCGAAACAATTGGGAAATACTTGGCATCCCTCTCATCACATGTGACAGTGTGACGGGAGTGAGTTTGGTTTTACCGAGGTCCGAGGATACCGAAGCGATGGCCGTATGCCAGCGGATGCAAGCAGTCAATCACTTGGATGCCCGTAGTCCATGGTTCCTTGAGCATGCCTCGATCCATCATGGAAGGAATCGTGCTACGCATGCATGGAAGGCGCGGTGTGGACGGCGCGAGCGGCGGCGCAGAGTCCATGGCCTGTCCTAACGGGTCCACGACACGGCCTAGCAGGTCCCCTCCCACCGGAATTGTCAGGTCGTTGTCGATGAGCTCGACCTCCATGCCAAGGGACATGCGGCTGGCGTCGCCAAAGAACGCGACGACCGCGCGTTTCTTCTGGAGATGCAGCACCACGCCTTGTCCGACCTACCCAGCGTCATGCATGATACTGTAACGAGATCAACACGACGTACCACTTGGCGGTCTTCGTCAAACACGTGCACGGTAGAGTTGAGCGATGCGTCGCGCAGACCGGAAACTGTCCCCACACCCTGCGTCAAGGCCAAGAGAAGGCCCGTCGGAGCCAACTCGTCGTCGTCGCGGGTGATGGCTTCTTCCAGCTGCACTTCCACCGCTGACTTTTTGTGCACGGTGCTTCGCTTCACGCTCGTGACATCGCCGACCTGTACATCCGCATAGCCGTACGAGGACAATGCTCGGAAGAAGGGAGTGCTCCGAAAGCTGCTGCGACTGATGCTTCGACGCACCAACGCCGCCGCCGCCGTTCGCGCTGGGAACTTGAGGCCATTCATGATTTGACGTGCTTGGGAATCGCGTATCCGGTATCCGGATAATAAACACCACTCTGTTCCGAAACACATTTCCGAAACACATTTGTCAGGTCTGAACTCGTTTAGTTATCCGGATTTGTTTGTGGACAACGTATTACTATTATTAATAATAGCAGAACTATTAATAGTACTAGTATTACTAGTCTCGGCAAGGAAAGGTAAAAGTTCAACGGCACTACAGTAATACATATGGTGCATTTCAACTAAAGACTACAAAAAAATGCCTTGTCTTTCGGAAGCTATTCCAAATTTGTATTGATATTTTTTAGGAAAATAAGTCGTAATAACGATAGAACTGGTCAAGACCAACAGAAGTTACGGTTCAAAATTTCGATTGGTGAAAAATTGATCGAGTAATAGAATTTAAACCAACCAGCCTTTTTGTATGGAAATATATGGAGCCAGGCACATTTTGGCCGAAAAGGAGCATCAAGTATATCTTGGTCGTTGTATATAGCACTTATCCGTATGAACGTTTCCATTGTATCCGGATTATTCAGGATGTTTAACCTATTTACCAGATAAAAAACGTAAGTTAAATAATTTAACGTCAACATTACGGGGGTTTAACTGAAAATAACAGAGGCGTTTATAGTAAAACGTCTCCTTCTGAGGATGGCCGATCTGTAGTCTTTAGATGAAATGCACCATACCAGTGTATCTCCTTGGAAAAATTATTCCTCAATTGCAACTTCGAGGCCATTACTGGTACACGAGACGTAATGATTGCTTGACAGGACGTCACACATTCCGTACTGCTAGTATGTATTAATAGTATTGTGTATTGCACCCAAATTTGGACTTAGTGTTTTCACCAAATACTACGTAGTATTGTGCTTTCGAGTAAAATTTCGTGTTGTGGCGTGGTTTCTCGTTGGAATTTAAATCGATTTGATTGGCTACCTCAGATGAGCTGCTCAAAATTATTAGCCAATCAAAACCTTCTCAAAGAAATTCAACCAATCAGATCGATTGTGGATCGGTTTGGTCAGCGCGATTCGATTGCACCCCTCCCCAAATTAGTATCAAATCGACAATAGCATTTGAATCGATTTGATCTAATTTAATATGTAAGTTTGTACACACTGTACTACTTGGTATATTTGTGGTTTTGCCCAATACTAGGACTTGGCCGAATCAAACGTTTGGATTGGCAGAAATCGGACAGGACGTGATTTGATTGGCTTAGGCTGTAATTTACTTAGGACATCCAAAATGAATCGAAGAATCGGTAGAAGAATTGAGCCAACCCGATTCCAGGAATTCATCAACAGCTCATTTTAGTGTGTGACTTCAATTACTGTGAATTTCCGCAGACCAAACAATCGATCGTCCACGATGGATGGATGGATGGTATTTACGTATGACGTTCCACAACCAATGGATTTTTATATATTATCAACACAAACATTAATGGTTGGTTCTCAAGCGACGAAGGATAATGGAGACTTGCATCCACATCATCCAACACGAACGCTCGCGGCCAATATATACAATTGGGGCTACTACTACAGACAGTGTTGTTGCGTGGACTAGTAGTAGTAGTAGTACTATAGTAGTCGCCGACAACTACTAGTACTTGGTGCCGACGTTCACTTGGCCATTCTTCTTGTCCAGCTTTTCCATGGTCGAGACAGTCGTGTTTTGATTTTTCACAAATCGAAACGCGAGCCGCATGCCTTTTTTCGCTTCAAATTCGATCGTGTCCGAGATCGCCACTGGCAAATCACGTTTGCATAGCTCCTTGAATCTATATAAAAAAATAAATATAATCAAAATTCACGACAAATACAGCAAATCACGTTTGCATAGCTCGTTCAAGCTATATAAAAAAATAAATATAATCAAAATTCACGACAAACTTTTGAGCTTGTCAATTTCCAACAAAGCAACCAATTTAAACGCACCGTTGCTTGAGCACGAGCACGACTTCAGTCTTCTGGTCCACTTCGTACATTAGACCCACGTCGTTGTTTACATGCAGAAACAAATAGTTGTCATGCAACGAGCTCATCGAGATCTTGGACAGCTGCGCGATGGGTACCACGCGGCGCTCCTTGGGCTTGTCCATCTTGTCCGCTTTGATATTGTGGACGTTCATCTCACCAATCAAAAGCAGCCGAGTCTGGGCCACAAACCTGTCATCAACAACGTGAGATGGTTTACCAATGTCGATTGGATATATATATATATATAGGTCTTACTTTTCGTTGATTTTGTGGGTTTCGCCAGCAAACAACACGTGGCTCTCCTTGCTCGCCTTGAGCAACGCTAGGAGAGGAGTGTGCTTCTTCACATTCAAATAATCGCCCAAGTACACCCGGTCCAGCGTATCGCGGCGCCGCTTCTTCTTGCCAAACAACCTACATACATTTATATATATATATATATACATTTATATATACATTAATATATATATTAATATGTACTTTAATATATGCGTGTTAATAATGATATGGAATCTTAGGAATTAAAAAGTTGTAAAAAAATTCCAGTTTTCTATTTTCACGAAATATAGACAGGACCATTACTAGTGTTATTGTTAAAATCGATACACTGTACGAAAATAAAATACCGCAAGTCAACAAATTGATTGATCCAAAGGGATATATATATTGCAACCAAAGCAATATATATATTTATTGTCGTGATTACTGTATCTCTTGCACTCAATATGCATTATAGATATACACGACTCGCTCAATCCCCAATGACCATACATTATTTATTACCTGTGGTTTATCCCATTCAAGGCGACACAATGGATATATATATATATACATATATAATATCCAAATCATCATCACACAAGACACGATGTATATATATATATATATATATAGAGGAGTATGGAGCGCACCGTTCAAACTCGGTGCGGATGCCAAGCATAGCTTTGTAGCACTTGCGCGCGAGGTCTGGCGACATGTTTCGGCGCGTCTGGCGGCCCTTCCACCGAGAGCTAAACACCTGCACGGCCTTCTTGACCTTGTTTAGGTGGCGCACAGCCGCGTTGCGCTTGGCGTAGCTCGTCAAGAAACTGGCGGCGTTGTACACTTCGCCGGCTGCGAGGTGGCTGCGGAGGCGCGACGATGGCTGCAGGACCTTGGATGCCAACTGGTCCCAGTGCGAGTATAGACCCGCCACGGTGGCCTTGTCCGCAGCCCCATTGCGGCGCATCAAGCGATCCTGGCCATTCATTTCAGTTTGTTGTGAGGCCAACAATTAAAAGAGTATACGAGTGGATGGATGGATGGATATATATACCCAAGAGATGGAACACATGTAGAGTGGGAATGAACACATTCGAAAACAACATATATATATGAGTGGGAATATGTATACTACTGACTGTTGTTGTATGCAGGACACAACACAGGAAGCAAGAGTATTTAAATAAATATTGAATACAAAATAGAGATTTAAAATACAAATGTGTACATATATATATATATATTTATAAAAACAAAATAGGGATTTAAAATACAAATATGAACATATATATATATATATATAAATTGGAAGGTGGGGATATGTGAAGTACTACCTGCAGGTTGTCTCGAATGGCAGAATATCGCGTGTTCAAGTCCGCAAACACGACTGCGTATTTGGCCAACCGCGCACGGAGCTACAAGAGATTTAAAATATATATACCCATTTACTAGTAAAGATCTTCTGGCACAATGTTATCATCCATGTACAGTACAACGTACCAGTCGCCGGACCCAAGCGTCTTCGATGATTTTTGCGATCTGGGGCAGTTTGTCCTGGCGGAGTCGCTCGAGGGAAAAGAGGGCGGCGGGGTGCTTAATGAACACCTTGTTCCGGCCGAGGGAAAAGCACCCGAGGGACTCGATGTCTTCTTTGAACCGAATGATGGGCTGCGGAACCTCGTGGCCGTCGGTTGGCTTGTTGTTTTTGGCCGCCAAGTGCATGTGATACACTTCCAGGGGGGTCAACGGGCGCTGCTGGCCATTCGCTTCTGCCTCGCGTTGGGCCGACACGGGCTGGAGGCTCGGGAGCACGCCCACGTCCTCCGCCGTCAGCAGCTCCACCGTTGCTTGACGCTAATATATATACATGACCAACATGTAAGAAAAAACAATGGCAGCATAGTATTTATTGCAAATACATATATATATATATATATATATATATACATGGTCAAATCCGTTCGAAAGTGGCTTGCTTAAGATTTAGAATGGCCTGCCAATCAAATTTCATACTAGTTTAGCCCCGCCAGAAACAAACAGAAGGACATCTTGAACAACCATGTACACTATACATAGATCGAGTACGCTACATATAAGACATGAATCGATTATATTTCAACGAAAATACATGTGGGGGAAAGAGTAATAAATAATACTAGCTAGTACGAATCGATTATATTTCAACGAAAATAGATGTGGGGGAAAGAGTAATAATACTAGCTAGTACTGTACCGACGAGCAGTTGTGCACAGCTGGCCACGACGTGCGCGAGAGGATCTTGTACCGGTGCAGAAAAGTCGCGTACGTTTCGCGGTAGCAAAAGCCAGCGCGGCGTACGCGAATATTTTCAACTAGCCCGAGGCACTGCACCTGCGCAGTGACCAGTTGCTTGTTGATCGAGCCAGATATCTTGTTCTCGTTGGGCTTGATGCACCTACAACAACAATCATAAACTGGTAAGATGAAATCTAAATAGAAAAGCATGGACAATCATGATAATATCTACATAATGAGCCGATGGTAGCACAAAGTAGGCTGGGCTAGTAATAGAGTTTTCATACACGAGCACTATTAAACTCTTAAAACACACTGGTGGCAGTGGTTGTACGCACTATTAGGTCTAGTATACTCCTACTATTCGTACCAAACTAGTACTAGTAGAATTACTACTACTGGCTAGTACTGGTCTAGTTCTAGCAAGTCTTAGCATGTACGTGGCGACTACCCTCCAATCGATCAACGAAATCATTGGTGACACATTGACCAAACAATACTTTTCCAATATAAATGAAAAAAGATTAAAAATCCAACACCAGATGGTGCATTCATAAATAATAATAAAATACACAGATATAAGTGTACTTAATATTATTTAAATAGATATACGTGTATATGCACTTTATATTATTTAAATAGATATGCGTGTATATGCATTCTTAAATAATATACATTATACACAGAGATGTATAAAAGTACACTTATATAATAATCCATCGAGATTGTATTACCGGACGTAGTGGGGGTTGCACATGTTGAGGTCCTGGACAAGTGCATTCACTTGGGCGCGGAATTGAAACGACGTGGACGGAGGGCGCTTGAGTTTTTCTTTGTTCGATCGTTCATCTTTGAGCAAGTTGCGCACGAACGCGTTCGAGGACTTTTGCAACTCGGTGTACAATTCAGTGAAAAACGAGTCGATGTTGGCTTCGGCAAAGTGGCTCAAGTCGTACTCCACGACCCCTACCACCGCATAAATATATTAATTATATACATCGTTCTCATGGCAAAGCAACGACGTACGTACCAGCATAATGGCGGACGCTGAACACGCTGCCCTTGACGCGAGACTTGATAAAGTGCGGCTCCTTCACGTACGTCTCATTGAAGCGATGCATGAGCACATCCACAGACGTTTGGGAGATGGCGCACTGTTCATCCAGCAGAGGAAAGATCCCAGGCATCTTGGCGTCTTCAATCAAATCGCACACCACCTACAAATCAACCAAGTCATGTATATATATCACACGAAATCAAATATATATCAATCGACGTTGTAGGTGGTGGTGGGTGATACATATTTAATAAAATATATAAAACTGATAAACAGAAGTCAGGAAATCATATGTCAAAACGTACGATTCAAAAAAATATCTTGTTAAAGCATTATATAGTTATGAAAACATGTATAATATATATATATATATATATATATATATATTGTGTTTTAGATATGTCGACACGAACATTCGTTTGAACATATATATATTTTTACAAAAGAAAAGATCCGAAGAAGTTTAAGAATTACTATAATCGTATTTCGAACTAGAGAGCAACCTTTGCCAGCCAGCAAATCAACACACAAAACCAATCCAACGCGACCACTGGTACACAAATCAATACTTTTAAGTATTCTGTATGTATATATGACTGAAATATATATATATATATATATAATGAACCAATCCTACTCGACCACTGGTAAACATATTGATACTTTTACGCATTCTGTATGTATATATATGCCTGAAATATATATATATATATACATTCATCGTACCTGGTTGTTAAAGAACTGAATGTTGACCCACGCTATACCCTCCCGTTTGTACTCGAGTTGTTCGCTTTGCAGCGTCTGCGAGATGAACAGTTGCTGCAGCTTTTCGTTGACGTAGTTGATACAAAGTTGCTCAAAAAGGTTTTCGTGAAAGATTTCAAACCCGTAAATGTCCAATATGCCCACTGTTTGCGACGCCCGCGATGGGTTGTGGATGCCCTTGTTGACCTTTTCCACCAGCCACGTAAAGATGTTGTCGTACACGCACCGCACGACACTGTGCAGCACCTTTTCACCTGCGATCGTCACGTGAATATATATATATATATTTAAATATATATTTATATACCTTGGGCTGCCGTGAGCGGCACTCGCATTTCCGACCGGTTGATCGTGAGCGACTTGAACGTGAACATGTCTTCTAAACTGTCAGCGGATACCCCCATCAATTTGGCTGCGAGTTGGAGCGATTGTTTGGTGGTTGGCTACTCGTAATATAAACAATTAATACAAAAATAAATATTAATTCAGTCCGAAAGATCAAATTCCATTTGTCATGAATTCTACTATGCAATTGAAAACTGAATTTATGTACATATAAATGCCATACGCGGTGTCATATGAAACGTAAAAAACATCTAATTCGAGTTCTTATAATTAAGTAGCAAAATAAATTAACGGCTTAAAACACGTTAATGTCGAAATAACGTGAATAATGTGTGTATGATGACACGGCGAAACAGAAAAAACGTGCATGATGACACGTTTAAACAGTCAAAACGCTTTTGCCGTGAAATAGTTTAGACACGGTAGTCATGAAACTCCCCATCCATCCAAATATATATCTATAAAATCCAACCAACTTGCACACAATCAAATCGTCGACCATTCGATACTATAATTATGCACATAGAAATACATAATATATATATATGTACGTACGTCGATGGCACAGCAGGGGTTGTGGCTCGCGTCTACTTGGCTCACAAACACCACGTTCCCAAGGTGCAAAATCGCAGCCAGCTGCTGGTAAATCTGTCGCTGGTCGTCGTCTGCGATGCCGACAGCCGTCATGTGATGGCCGAGGTCGGCAAACTCGGTGCGGTCATTTACCCCGTGGATCGTGCGCTGTTCATGCTGCAGGAATGCGTATTTCGTGGCGTCTTCGAGGTGCCACTCGGCCTTGTCCGCTTTCGAAGCGCCTGCAAGAAGGTTGTAAAAGCAGTGAAAGTTGCGCTCTCCCGCCGCTTGTGTGATCACGCGGTTCTTCTCAAGCAGGTAATTGTGCACAAATCCCCCCACGACCTGGCCGCTCGGGTTCATCTGCAGCAGCATGTACTTGCCAAAGCGCGATGAGTTGTTATTGCGCACGGTCTGGGCGTTCCCGAACGCTTCTAGCACGGGGTTTGCTCGGATTAAGATGCGCCGGACGTTGTTGACGACTTTGTCGATGGCGTGCTTTTTGTCGTCGGATAGTTTTCTACTCGAAAAACATATTATTTATATATATATATATATAGGATCAAAAATAGTGTCACAATTATAGTCGCTTGATCCACAAATATGTCGGGTAGTGTTCTACTCGAGAAAAATAATATTCATATGTATATGTATATATATATATATATATAGGATCACAAATAGTGTCACAATTATACTCGCTTGATCCACAAATATGTGAATATATATATATATATATATTATAGAATTTCGGCGGGTGGTAAAAAAAAATCAAAATCGATCGACTTTTTCGTCGGAATCAGTTTTTGAATGTAAAACGGGATGTCTGTTTACACACTAATTTCAGGTATACATACACTAATTAGACGTTTGAATCGGTGACAATGATTCACTCGTTGGTGATGACAGAAAGCAACTCTGCTGAATGTGTACATGTATCACAAGCGTACCGAGACTGGTTGACGGCGAGGCGCGTGCGGGCCTTGGTGCTGATGTTGGCGATGTATTGCAGCACGTGCTTGGATGTTTCGGTCTTGCCACTGCCCGACTCACCCGTGATCAAGATGCACTGGTTCGCCTTGAAGTTGATCATGTGCGAGTACGCGCTTTCGGCGATCGCAAACGGATGTGGGTCGTTTTCATGGATCTCGCGCCCGGAAAAGTCTTCGATCAGCGACTCGTCGTACAGCGACTTGCCGTTCTTCTTGATCAGCTTGTACGGGTTCACCGCAATGAGCACAGGGCCGATGTACGTGTAGATGTCGTTGGCTTGGTACCGAGAGGATAGCTCATTGACCACCTCCGCCTCGCTCACTTGCGGCAGCAAGATCAAATCGGACACGGTCATCGCTCTTGTCTACTGGCTTTTCAATCGCAAAGTGATGTTTGTCATCCTTTCCCTCGTCGTTTCTCCCCAAGTGTGTAACCAGATTGGACCAATCAGCAACGACGAGGGCGGTACTCAAATAAGGGAATTTCACCCCCAAAAGATGAATGAAACTCGCAACGGGCGCGTTGTGTACTGAAATTGGACGCGGAGGCACTGGTTGCGGTGGGAATAGTGTGGCGATTGTGATCTGTCCATGACGCACTCCATATTGTGTGCACATGTATGGTATACTAGTGTGGAAGGGCAACTTCGTCGCCGCTTCTGTATGGCGTGCTTGGCATAATTGTACTGTACCAGTACAGTGCCGCGTACCCCCCCCAAGCCATAGTGACTGTCTGCTCAGTCAAGGGAATTGGATTGGTTGCGGATACGATACAAAGCGCAGTACACACTTCCCTACAGTACTACTGTATGAATGGTAAAAGAGCAACGAGTTGGGAAAGGGCCCCGCCGTGTTGCTCTTACGTTTTTACAGTTATTCCCTAACTCTATAACCCAAGACTTCGGTTGTACGAGTACCGTTACTTTATGTTACAACAACAGACTTATATCCGGGCAATTTTGTCCCCAAATCAGCGGGATAATCCCCAAAATCTTCAGTTTTTGGGACCCGTCCGAGCCAAATCTAACGAAAACACCCGGATGCACCAAATTATCCGTAACTTCGAGGTACCAATATTGTAACTAGATTTGGGGATATTTGGGGATGCGGTGGAGAGCACCTCGGACGCATCCCCAAATACAACGGTATGAGGAAGCCTATTCGACTTAAACTCCGACTTAAAATCATGTGGGTGTTCTATAAGTCGACATATAATTTCTCGACTTACAGCGTAAATGCAGAAGTGGGACATGTAAATAGATTGAAGAGTTCGATACTACTGATGAAACATGATTGGTTGCGTTACAAGGATAAATTCGGGTACCAGGTATGAGTCCACTGGCGGATGTCAATATAAAGTTATACTACGTAGTACTAGTACTCCGGAGTAACAATGAGAGATATGGCAATTGATACCGAGTCGTTGTTGGGATGTGACGATGTGAGTTGCGGGGTCTGAGGGGTGGACAAGTTGGTGGTGGTGGTGCCAAGCATTATTTTCGAGCAAACGATGGATTATTTCCTCACGAGGCACCATAACTTATAGTTAGCGAGACTTTCCGAGCGTACTTAATAGGGCACACCAAATCAGGTCAGTTTTAGAGCACTACGTTCGTCCATATGTTTCTAAATTACCGTTCCAATAGACCAAGCCGAAACCCGTAACCTCGGAACCCCGATACCCCATAGCACTGTACTAGTAACCCATTAATCCCTAAATCGCGATGGATATATGGTGCACGCACGTCATCTAAAAACTTCCAACTGGCCAAATCGAAAAGTGGAGGTTTTATTATTTAACGTACATTAAGTGTACGTTAAACCCAAAACAAAATACGTTAAATACCGATTTCATGCGTTTTATCACTGGAGTAGGAGGTTAAAGGTCCCAACTGCATCTGGATATTATATACGGATAAGAGTCACATACAAAAATCAAGATACATCTCAGCGGCCACCCCAATGGCCAAAAATATCCAAACGCCCATGTAAAATACCGCTAACGTTACAGTTAGGTTAAATATCTATTTCAGGACCAATTCATCACCAAATTTGAATCGGAGACGTAGAATTTCTTCACCACATTGAGATCTATCGAGTATACGTCTCAATTTGCTGAAATTTTGAGTACTGAATATGAAATAGAAGTCAGAATTTTGTGAAAAGTTGGTAGTTTATAGATGACGCGCACCATACAGTACATGTAATGCTCATTCTCCGGGGTTATGCACATCGCCGGTGGTTAGCTATCGCTACAGTAACCCCCCGCCAATGAGCCTAACCCCTAGTACCACGTGTGAGAGGTTACTATGTAAGGTATTTTCATTATAATACATGTATGTCGAGTTTTACTCGGAATTTATGGCAAGGAAAACACTTTATGTTCCTATTAAGTACGCTTGAAAAGTGCCTCAGTGGCCCAACTTTGATCGAAATTGCTCAGGCTTCGCTCGGAAATAATCCATCGCTTGCTCGAAAATTATCTTTTTCCAGCCGAGGTCCGTCAGATCTCTAGTCATAACAGCAACGCCAGTCGCCTACACGTGTATGCACTGTGGTTACCTGTGTTCATGTGTCGGCACTCAATATTCAACATTGGATCTAAAATTGGCTGGTCATGCAATAATTTCAGCCAGTAGTTTGGTGCGATTTTTGGAATGCGTTGGGGAGCGTTTTGATTGGCTGTTTGCCCATGTCGACATTTCCTTGGAACAGGTGTGATACTATTAATAGTACTTCTACAGTGTGAGTGGTTTTAACAGTGAAGCGATCAAGCTGGCCGAGTTGCCGCAGACGTTCGACAAGCTCGACATGACGTCGGACAACCGAACGCGCGCGGCGGTGACCGACGCGGCCATCAAAGTCAGCGCCCACCATCATGTTCAAAGCCCCGAGCTTGGAGTTTCATAGCGCCAGTGGTACTACTAGTAGCATTGCCAGTGGGGCACCAAGGATGGAGTCGAGTAGGGGCTTCCCGCCCAAGTCGATGGGATTGGTAGAATTGAAGGGGCAACTCGCCCGCATTCAAAGACATTGACGGATGCCAAGTACGATGAATCGTCAAAACAATACTAGTTTAAAGTATTGTCAATTGGAATCCATGGGTAGCTAGCTGCACTACCCATCGTAAAGTAAATAGAAATATGGGTAGCACATTGAACCGAAGGATGATGATTGCGGTGATTCTTTGATGGATGTACTGTTCAGCGAAGACTGTCCGTGCAAAGAGCCCATCCAGTTGCAGCCTCGCGAATCTGCGGCAAACTCCACGGCTGCTATGTCGACCACAATTCTTATTTCCGTGTGTTGTCGTACAAAAGTTGGTGGGGGAACGTAGTTGCAGCCTTCACTACTGTGTGAGGTACTATGCACAGTACCGCGACTTGGAATACATTATTGCCTTGTACGGTTGCAAGTGTTTTCGCTTCTAGCTGTGGCTTGGTCGGTCTACTGTCGAGGGAATATGAGCTAACTATAGCGTGTGATGATGTGTGATCACGTATGGTAGCATTGAATTCAGTCGTTTGAGAGTGACTTGAACAAGTGCATCGAAACGATGTCACACAACACCCATCAAGTATGCAAGACATGCTTGTGTAGGTGAGGGGTTACTACTGCATTTGCTTGATCCCCGGGTGACTTGTGCCTTACGATCGCATTCAACACCTGTTCGCTGCAAGTGCCCCTTGTTCATTGGTGCCACCGCCGCATCGACCCTTGGAGATCATCACTATGTCCCCACAAGAGGCCGAAATGCAGCTGGAAGCGTTGGCCCTGGACGGATGGAGCTCGAGCATCGTGACAAACTTAGAAAACGCCCAGTGGACGGAGCGCAAAGCTGGCTTTGAGGCGCCGGAAGAAGTGTTCAGGCTCGTGTCGTCGTGTACGTGAGTTCCCAGTCCAAGACACTCAAGGTGGCCAACGTGTACGTACTCAAGAGCACCTGCGATAGCTACCATTGCATCGTTGTGCGTGTCGATGGGGTTGGGGGTCGTGTCGACGATGGTGCCCCGCGGTGGACAAGATGGGTGACTGAAAGGTTAGGGAGACGGTGCGTCCCATGTTCCTGGCGCTGGCCGAGCTCGTCGGACTGGAGTCCGTTTTGACCGCGATCGTTCGGCACAAGTCTGTGATCAAGACGACCCTGGCGCAGTTCGAGTGCCTCGAGTTCGTGTGCGTGTGCGTCGGCGACTTTGGCGTGTCCTCGTGCACCCCAGCAGTGTCATCGAGTACGTTAAGGGGCCGTTCGGCAAGGCGTCGAGCAACTCCGAGACCCGCATGTCGGATGTCGGCCAACGCCGTCTTCGGCACGTTGTACGACCAACTGGGGGACGCCATGCGGCCGCTGCTGAACCTGGAGGGGTGGAAGCCATCGCCCAAGGACAGCGTTGTGGCCGTGTTCGAGGGCGTGGGGTTCAGCCCAATCGTTTGCGGGGTCTCGGGTGGCCAAGACGGATGTGGAGGGAGGAGGGGGTGCTGCGTCATCTGGGGTGCTGCGTCATCTGGGACGCTGTTTGGCCTTGTGGACGTTAGCGCCCAGAACACAAAGGAGTTGCTGGTGGACATGGCCAACGAAGGCGACAAGGTGGAGTGAAAGAAGCGGCTGGGTGCGATGGAACAAGCCCAGCGGATCTGCGACGAAGCGGGCTTGTCAATCGAGGGGGTGGTGGACCTCACCAAGTCACTCAAGGCGCGCCTGAGTGACTCGAACGCCAACTTGAAGACCAAGGCTGTGCAGGTGATAGGGGTTGTGGCCGCCAGTGTGAGGCCGTCTGTGGCCAAACTAGCCAAGCTCGTGGGCTCCAACCCCGTGGTGGGGGTGGCGGACAACAAGGAGGCGATCAGCAGGTGTGTCTCGACTCGTTGCTGCCGTTCGTGGCTATGGCGCTCAAGAACCCCGGTGGCCGCGCCGAGTTGCTCGGGTGGACCGTCGAGATGACGCAGATGATTGGTAGTAAGGTGGATATACGCAGCTTTGTCGAAAACACGATCGACGCGCTGTCGGACAAGTCGGCGGGCGCGTGCGACAAGATGCTCCTGGTCGAGGTGTTCAAGAGCGTGGGAAGGGACACGGTTCACACCGGGTGCCGAGGTATGGTGCCGGCCAAGATGCGTGCGGTCAATCCGATGATTGCTCGCGCGACAGCCACCGCGTTTTGGAAGTGGGGACGTTGAAGGCAATCCAACCAAACCCCCTGCCGCCGATGTGTCCTACTCGTCGTCATATTAGTCTCTCGTCAAAAATGCTGTCCGAGGCGGATGCATGGCAGCGCCATCCCCCCAAGCAAACTGCTTGTCCCGCCCGTTTACTGCCAAACCCACATCACCAAAACAACAGCATACACCATTGGACCAACCAGCACGGGAGCCGCCATCGATGTACAAGACGTCTCGGCTGATACAATCGGCGGCCCCGCTTAAGTATCAAACGGCGACGCCGATTACGCCGACTTTGTCTGCGTTCCAGCCACCCACAACGAGCCCCCCCATCAGACTCCTCTTCCGTCGTCGCCAGCGGGGAACCAAGGGTTGAAGCCACCTCTGACAGGCCCCGTGGTCACTGCCAATGCCCCCAACATTCCCGTGTCGTCGCCCAAGGACCCGTGGACGCTGTTGTTTGTGCCTTTGGAGCGCCCCTCGTGATGCGCCAGGGGTTGACGGGTATTTCCGTCTCTCTACGCCCTGTCGGCGTCCGGGGACGACGTGTTCATTAACGCCGGCGCGACTTAGGGCTCCCACATTGAGCGCCATGTCTTGTCGCTGTGCGTGGCGACCATATCGAGCGGGTGCTGCTAGAGGCAGGTGCGGAATTCTTGGAACCGCGCCTCGGCGGCAAGCACATCATGATGACGACGACCGCGTTGCGAATTGGTGAGGTGTATCCGGCCATGCTCCACGTGCTCGAGCGCATCGTCAGTGGCAAGATGGGCGAGTACCAGAAGCATGATGCGGATAACAAGATCGCAGGCCAGCCGAAGCTGGGGCTGTTGCTTGCCAAGTTACTCGTCAAAACCACGGGGCGGGAGCTGACGCTGCCGACGCCATTTGTCCATGTGGATGTCGTCAGCATCTGGATCTGCTGAGCTGAAAGCGGTCAACCTTAACGGCGGCGGTGGCAGCGTCACATTGTGGGTGCCGATGCCTTTGGCGACATGGTTAAGAACCATCCTGAAAAGAACTATGTGCAAGTGCATGTTCCGGAGCTCGCGGCTCACCTTCCCACGGGGGTATGCTGTCCTGATGGGTTTGCCACCACGCACTACTTCATCCAAATGCTGGTGGGGCACACAAACGAAGACTTCGTCGTAAAGTAGAGATGGTAGTTAATTGCTCTTTGTTAACTACAGTTTGGGAAGTGTATATGAGGACCCCAGGATTCCTCCACGCCACACTTCACAGGAGCCCCCCCTTGAGGGGATTTTGGCCAAGTACTTTATTGACTACAATGAATGGGACCGTGGTACACGAATGCATGTACTGATAAGTACTACGTAGTATATAAGTATATTGCCCATTACATGTTGAGTAAGATTGGTATGTACTTCGAAGTATGTATTACGTAGTATGTTATAAACATGCCACTGTGAGGATGATAGCTGCGGGCAACGATACCCCCACGAGCGATAGGCCTGCGGACGTGACTTGCGGAGCGGATGTCACCTGCGTCGAGGTGCTGCTTGGGGTTGATTGAGTAGTTGGCGCTGACGACGTTAGAACAATGCTAATCATCGTACTTGGCATACTTGATGAGGTGGTGGGCAGAATCGTATTTGTAGTGGGGGTGACGCGACTAGTTGTGGGCATGGGTTCGGTCGCGTTTGCAGTACACAGCTGTGCGAACAACGCTGCGTCGTCACAAGTTGTCAAGACGGCGGCCTTGTGCAAAACGTAGACGCACTCAGGGACGCTGCACAAGGTGGCTTCGTTCGCTTTGTCCACATCATTGATATCCAGGCCAGTCTTGTCGGCACATCGGGACCAAATACCCTTTCCTGCCATCTCAAGAAGCAAGCCGCGTTCGCATGGAGGGCGCAGACCAATTGGTTGGGCCTCAGCTCCGATCAAGGTTAAGGCTGCCGCCGCCAGGGTGAAGTGAGCGTGCATGGTCGTTAAGGTGACTGACATGAAGTTGACTGTGAAAGGGCAACAGATGATGGACTTCCAAATGTTTGCTTATCCGGACAAGCCTTGCCTTGATTTCGTTAAAAAGCGTTTAACGTGTTTCTCCTGTGTTTCGGAGTAACGTAGAAAACCAATTTACAGGTGCTCGAACCATTTACAGTTAATGGTGCACTTGGATCAGCCAATCAAATGTAGTAAAAATACTGGGAGATAACCTCCTTAATCTAATAATTACACGAAGTGAATTTTGGCGCCTGTCATGCACGATCGCGATATACACGCGTTGAGCTTGACAGAGCTGTTCAAGATGTGATTGCTGGGCGAAACGGGAAGCCTGTGGTAGCGTTCTCCAAGATACCCTACAACACCCTCATGAAGTGTGTGCACGCGACAAAGGCCGGCACCACCACGACACCAAAGCGCCGCGGGCCACGCCCTACCATGCCGACAAGCTGTGAAGAAGACCTGTGTCTATTACAGTAGTTTTTGATGTTCTTGCATCGTATCACTCATCAGGAATTATTGAATTGTGTAATTTACTCCAAGTTGTATTACTTTTTTGCCATCGAATGCGACGCATCTATTTCAGCAGTGGATGTGGACGGCGATTCGTAAAGCCATTTTGAGGAGATTTGTGAATGACGGTAAAGTTATAAATACTTTCATTGTACACGTATGTATATATTTCTCACGAGGCTTATTACTACTGTAGTCACGGGTGACTTGCACTCCGAACGAAAGAAGAAGCGAAGAGCGGTGCTGGTGCTGTGCCCGTGTCGCTGCCATGATGGGTCTCAAGCCCTTGCCTAATGGTCAAGTCAAAGCCAACCACAAGAACGCTGTTACGTTGTAGTGTAATTCATCGCATTACATGAAATACCTTTGCATGTGATGTTGGACCTCCAATTTTCGTGCACACCTGGTTGTGGATTCCTAAAATGTCGGACTCGCGTCAATTTCAAAAATGGTCACTGTCAGTTACTCACAACTGTATAATTGCATGACCTGTCTGGATTTAATATTTAACTGCTGAAATTACATAACCTAACCACACAAAAAATATGCAATTGGGGATACAAACTTTAAGATACTTGTGTGCACCAATAACTGGTTCTCACGTTTTGAGAACATTTGCTTCGAAAATGGTATTTATGTCTGTCAAATAGACCGTGAAACACAATTATTTGAATGCCCAATGAATTAACTCCGCTTTGGCCTCATCCAGCACTTTTCGGAATGTGAATCTGATGCATCCATGCTGAGCTTCGTTCCTTCCACCGCAGCGTCTCGGAAAAAGAGTTCTTAAATTGGTTTTCTATGTTAGTAACGTTTTACTGTTAAGAGGTAACTTACAGTGTGCATTTCACCCAAATTTTGAGTTGTGAGTGATTTCGCCAAATAACATTCGAATCCAATTGATCAATCGTTTGCATTGGCAGAAATTCGACAAGACATGATTTGATTGGCTTAGGCGGTTTTTTAACCCATAAATATAAGACATTCGATTCTGCAGAGGGCTCCAGTTTCGAATCGATTTGAAAATACTGTAGTGTTCGCACGACGGACACGATAATCTTACCTGGTATGTATAGATAGCCCTCGCAACGACTAGCTAGAAAGGTGGTAGTTGTTCTACCAGGGTAGTAACGTTTTGCTTTGATGGCAACACAACACACTTGAAGCAACCGGGTAAAAGTGAAACCGCCACGACCATCGCGCCAGTTACGCGATCCACCGCTGGCGCCTTGGTCCTCCTTTGAGGGTCGCACTACATGTCCGCGAACAACATGAGGGCGGCGTCCCCAGCAAAGCCGTCTCCGTTGGGTTCGCCGGCCGGGTTTGCATCAGTCGTCCGCCGCACGGCGCACCTGAACGACTCCATGTTCAAACTGCCTGAATTGATGAAATTGCACCATGTATTTCAACAACGTGGCGCGCTCAACGAAAAGCAATTCGTGGGCCACTTCCACGCGATTCTGGAAACCAACGCGTGGAGCCCGACGCATATCTCGCAGCTGTTTATGAAGATCGACGCCAATTCCGACGGGTCGGTGGACTGGGACGAGTTTACCAACTTTATGTTTGTACATTCGCAGTCCGCCCACGACGCCGCCACCCAACTCGCGAGCGTCGCGTTTGTTGTCCCCCAGGACGAAAATCTCGTACGTACTCTATGTAGTAAGTACTTCGAATAGTACTAGTACGTTGCGATCGCCCTTGCCAGTACCCCCCATACCCCCTCTTGTTTAGTCGTTGTTCTAAACTCGCGCTGCTGTATTACACAAACAGCTACATCAGCTACTACTGTAACCCCTTTGCTGTAGTCCATCGTTGTCGTGTGGTTGAAACTCTTGTTCGTTTTCACACAAACACTGTTACATATTGTGAATGCACCAACTACTACGGTAGAACGACACGCGTCAAGGCAGTTCGTCGTCGTCACAGCCTCGTGTCCGAGATGTGCTGGTGGCTTTCCAGCCGCTGCCCCCTGGCGCTGCCTGTGGCCACTTTGTCAGTTCATCCCTAGACGGCACGATCAAGACGTGGAACGCAGGGTGGACCCCGCTAGCGTCGTTTCGAGCTCTTGGGAAGACCACGAGCAACTGTGTCACAGCCATGGCGTATCTGCAAGCCAGTGGCAAGATCGCGCTGGCATCTCTGCACGGGGGCGTGCAGTTCTTTGACCTCGTGTCCGCCGACAAGACGGCGCAGTCGCACGTCCCATCGGGGGCGCTGCACCACGCGACCCCCCTCGCCCTCTGCGCCATGGTCGACGACGACACAGGTCAGGACGTGCTGTACATTGGCGATGACGTCGGCGGTGTCACCAAGATTGCGTTTGATGCGACGTGGCACTTGTGTGACGGCGACTGCCCCAGCCACGTCACTGTGACAATGCAAGGATGCGTGGTCGCTCGCCATGACCGACATACAGATCATGTGACGCGGTTGGCATTTGTCACCGACTTGAACAGCGTCGTGTCGGCGTCCCGCGACGGGTCCGTCAAGGTAATGTCGAACTGTCTCGTACGAACGACATGATAGATCTATGTCGACACGAAATGATATATATATATATGGCCAACACGGCAGGATGATGTATATGTTGAGAATTGTGGTGGGGGTATGTATATAGGTCGTGGACGTGCACCGAGGGGTATTGAAACGGCACTTTGCCTTTCACCGAGGCGCCGTGTATGACTTTGTCTGGTGCGGTCGTCCGAAATTCTTTGCCAGTTGTGGCGTCGAGCGGGAAATTTTGCTGTGGAGTCCGTTTTCCGAGAGTTTACTTGGGCGACTAAGGGGCCACAGCTGTTCGATCAAGGGGGTTGTGTGGAACGAAGAAGGGCAGAACTTGATCAGTCTCGGACTCGACGATGGCAGCAGTACGAACCTCGTATTTCTAGATCCACTCTAATTAACGGTTCTAGTTCGCGTATGGGATGTCCGACAGCTCAAGTGCCTCCAGACCATCCACGATGCCACGCATGACAACCGGCACACAAAGTTGATTTACTTTGACCAGGCGTCGAAGCACTTGGTTACGTGCTCGAGCACGGTGAACCAGTGGCCTATCCATCACGCCGCCGGGCCGTCCGAGACGCTGCAGCCCCATGAAGCCCCGATCATTAAAGTGCTGTTCAACCCGTCGTTCCTACAGCTGGTTACGATGGATGCCCACGGGCACATTGTGCTGTGGAACGTCTTAGATGGGAGTGTGATCTCGCACTTTTACATGGCCAACACGACCATCACCGCCGCGGTATGTACGACCCCTGGTATCACGACAACCAAGGATACGTACATAGTATATATACAATCGTGATGTACAACCACGATTGGATCATGGTTTGATATTACTGTAGGTATATAATATATATATGTTGTAGGCCCTGGACGACACTGGACGACGACTCATCACTGGCAGCAACGTTGGAACGCAAGTAACGATTTGGAACTTTAGCAACGGCAGCCGCCTCACCACATTATACAAGCGGCGCCACCAATATGCATTAACCTCCTCGACACCACTTGACCGCGTGGCGAGAGCTGCCGCCGCCCCCACCATGCACACCCAGCCGCCCCCATCTAGGAAATCCGCCCCCCAAGCCAATGAAGTCACGGGGGTCGCGCTCATCACAGTGTCCGTGGCCCACTCGAGCGGGCGCGGGTTCACTCAAGCCAAGTACATCCTCAGCGTGGGCTGGGACCGACGCGTGTATGTGTGGCGGGACAGCCTTGACCAAGCGTATGTGAATCGCATGCCCGAGGACTTATCGGTGGGGCACACGGATGACATCCTCACCGTATCGTTTTGTGCGCAAAAGTTCATTGCCACCGGTGGCATGGATGGCTGTGGTGCGTCGCGTATATCAATATTAGTTCTTTGGTTGCCTCAATCACGTACGTTTTGTGTATAGTCATCCTGTGGGGCTTGAATTCGGGCGACGTTGTGGCCAAGTTTCCGTTTTCATCTAGTACGTCTATACGTTTCTCAACCAAAAACGACCCAGGGCATGTTGATGTATTTACGACGAATGAATGCTCTCCTCAATGTAGGCATTGAAACGTTGTTGTACCCCCGCAAGCTGGGCCTTTTGATCGTCGTGACCAGCAGCTCATCTGTGTCGTGGCTCAACCCCCGGTTCAGTTTGCACCATGCGACGGTGGACCTGGCGGCGACGTTGCACGCCGACATCCGCGTCGCCAAAGTCGACACGGATGGCATGCTCGTCATCTTGGCGCTGGCGTCGGGGGAGGTGGTGGTGATGCAAGCCAGCGACCCGCAGCAAGAACCTGCGATGACGTTGCGGCAGTTGCATCGGTGGAAAGCGTACGAACCCGACCAAGACATCAAGGCCATGGAGTACATTGAAACGTCGGATGTGGTTGATACGTTCGTCGTCACGTCGAGCCAGGTCTCGATCAAGCTGTGGACGCTAGGGGGGGTACTCGTGGGGCTGTTTGGGGGCTCCACGTGGCACCTCCACGACGCCCTCTTGATGTCGTTCAAAGCGCCTTCTCGGGGGGTACATAATGGAGTTGTCGTTGATGCCGTCGCTACGGTACACAAAGCATCATGCCATATTGAGCTTTATAGACTTGTTTTCAGGATATACGGGGGTGGTAATTGTGCTCATTGTAGGACAATGCGAAGGCCATCGACACCTACAAACGTGAAGTGAGCGGCCTTGCGACGCGCGGACCCCCCGCTGTGGACGATGTCTGGACGCATCATGACATCCACGGGACGCTCATTGACGTGCTGACGTTGACCTCGATCAGCCGCAACAAAGGGGTGCTGGAAGGGCTGGACAATGCAGGAAATGTCGTGGAAGTGGCGTTCCACGATCTGTACGACATTCAAGAAGATTATGCGACGTGGTCCCGACACGAGTTTCTCACGACGTTGGTCGGCCGCGTGTGGCAAGAGCACAGCTGGGCCATTCCGTTCAAGGTAAGCAAGCAATGGGGAAGAAGAGGGGGGGGTATATAGTTTCTATGGGCAAAGAATCCACCAGCAGTTATCAAGGGAGGGGGGGTTTTGGCTTCCATGTGGAGTTGTGTGTGACACAGTATGTCGCCGCCATGTATTTATGGTTCGACGAACGTCCTTGTTTAGGCCATTCGAGCCCATTTTAACAAGAGTGGGGTGTGGCAGTTGGTCGACACGGCCAACAACATGCACTCTCTTCCATCCGAAGACGCATGCAAACAGATGAACTATCGTCCGTTTCGGTCGCTCGCGCTGCATCGCTTGGTCGGCCAAGCTCAACCCCCCTTCGCCCACGCCGTCCAGCCCACGGGGTACCTCACGTTCGTGGAAGGACACAACAAGGCCACCCCTGTTACAAAGGCTACGACTGACCCCCTCCAACACACACCGCCCTTGTTTTCGCCTTCAAAGTTCAAAGACAGCCCTAACCACACCCGCGCCACGCGACCCCTGGTGGTGCCAGATGTGAGAACCAGCCCCACCAAGTTGTCGTCCGAATGTCGCGCCCTTCGCTTGCCCCAAGTGGCGTCGTCCTTGTCGCCGACCAAGGAATCGACTAATGGTAGTCCTTCCCCAAGTTGCTGGTCCCCCCAACGACAGGCGGCGTCGCCCAGGCAACCCCCCCAACACCGACGGGACGAGCGCAAAATACACGCGTTGCAAGCGGCTCGGGGACCCCCCGATGTGCCACTGAGCAAAAAATGGGATTTTTACCTCCCCGAAGTAGACAAGTATTAGCCCCATGCTATTCCCATAATAACAAGGACTGCAAATAGGATTTGACCGATCCAGTCAACAACACAAAATATAGTCCATCCGCGAATTATACTTGATTATCGTCACAGTGCTCACTTGACAAAATACAAGGTTAAAAACAATCGATAGTTTGTTACTGAAGTTTGTGAAGCGTCCCGATGGTGCTGGCGTTCGATTGGCCAGTTGAATGGTATTCTGGGTTTTGATTGGTTAATTGATTGTCAGTCGATTTGTGGTGTTTCACTTTCGAATCAACTGACAACCGCACTTTGGTATTGCAAATAGCAACCACAAGGCACAATCTATCGTTACACCAGTGTAGTGTGCTTAATCTAGTTGTAAAAGGCAATTTCATGATCACATTGTCGTTTGCTGAAATACGGTAAAGTACAAAATGTCACGGAATGGGGTGTCGAGTACTAGTTAGTTCATGAGGGTTCACACCACCCTTAGCCGCCATCTACTAGCTACTACTACTACTACGTACTAGTAGTAGTCTTCCTCTCTTCCTTGGTCCAGTTGTTCTCGGTTAACCAATATGCACGCCCGTCAGCGTTTTAGCCAGCACTGGCCCCGCCGACGTCTGGATCACTTGGCCCTTGTACGTGGCTTGTCGGTGGTCATCCGTTTTGAGGTCGGCGCTCAATTTTTCCCACACCTTTTGCTTCTTCATCTGGCCTTCCGACACGGGATCGCCCGACTCTGTGGCGATGAACACGCGCTCGCCATTCACAGCGCCTGCGGGGGGCTCCACAAACTCGACCTACCAAACACATCTCTCTTGATCAGCATACCATTCAAAATAGATGAAAAGCATCTATCTCACCACGTCGTGCGCTTCCGACGACGCACACAGCACCATCCCATTGGACTTGAATCCCCCTAGCTTGGCCGCCTTGATGTTAAGCAGCACGAGGCACCGACGCCCCGTCATCTCGGCCAGCGAGTAAAACGGTCGAAGTCCCGACGCAATCTGCACCGGACCAGACTCCAAACCAACGTCGATTTCTTCGCAAAACAGCTTGTCGCTGTCAGGGTGATGCCACGCCTTGATGATCGTGCCAACGCGAATATCGCAAGACGCAAACAATGGCAGGTCCTCCTTGGCTTTTTTGGCGGCAGGTGGCGGCGCGGCGGTCGCTTGCTTGGACGCGAGCGCCGCCAATTCGGCTTCGGACTTTAGCTACATATGGGGTACTTAGTCGTTGCAAGATGGGAAGAATGACAAGCGTACACAAACTACTACAGTATAGTCAGTCGTCAGCAGAATACTCGAATAAGGGAATCGATTACAAAACCGCCAATCAAATCACAAAATTTTCTGCCAATCCAAACGTTTGACCCGTCCGCATTATTGGGCAAAATCATATAACGTTATATATATTAATCGTTGTATAGTGTGTACAAGATTAACAATAGGATCAAATGGATTCGAAAGCTATTTGGTGAAACATCTCTCGCAAGTCCAAATATGAGTGAAATGCACTGTACCTTTTCAAACAAAATGTCGTCTTTGGTCACGTTCTTGATGGGGGTGCCCGGTACCAAGTTGTTGAAGTCGCTGCTTAGCAACGGCAATGTCGTCGGTGGCGTGTGCAGAAACCCAAACACCCGCGACGCTGTCGCAGGCATGAATGGAATCATAAAGTGCGCAAACACGTAAATCGCTTCCAAAATCTAACCAGCAAAAAGGCTCTTAACGCTGTTGATGTTGTGATTCGAATAACTTACGGTTCGCACCACAACCTGCTTGGCGTGGTCGTCCGTCATGTGCCATGGCGCCGCCGTTGTCAGGTACCCGTTGGTCGCGCGCACGACTTCGATGAACCGGAACACGGCTTCTTGCAATGCATACGATTGAAACGCCTAATGTATTCCGTGTTGGACTCGTGTTGACAAAAATATATATAAAAAGGTACTATATATATATATATACAGTATATATATATATTCGGGCACAACACGATGTAGAAAGCAGAGCTGTGTGTGGCAAACTGCAAATTGTATTAAACATGGTATGATGATGGGTATACATGCTATAAATGAATAAAGTCAGAAGCATATGGACATTTGAACCTAGTGTGATGTGCATTCAACCCATCACACTAATTTATGGTATCCATCTAAGCCAAGGCCAGAAGCATGGACATTTGATCTGGGTGAAATGACAAATTCTTTCGGACCCACTCAAAAGCAGCATATGGGGGACATTTGAACGTGGTGAAACAACCTATTCCGGACAGAGCATATATATACATATATATATCATGGACATTTGAACGTGGTGAAACGACAACAAGCTATTCCAGACCCAAACAAGAAGAACAAGATGCGTATGGGTGACATTTGAACCTAGTGAACAACATACCTCCTCTGTGGCCGTTTTCAACGCTACCACGTCAAAGCATGGGGTCGCCGGGACGTCGGGGACGTGGCCGTGGGCGTACTTGACGCTGAGCGCGAGCCCCCGATGTACGAGGTTGCCCAGCGTATCGTTCAATTCGGCATTGTGGATGTTGAAGAACTCGTCTTCTGAGAACGGCATGTCGGATCCGTACTTGGCGCCGCGGACCAAAAAGTACCGGAAAGAGTCCACGCCATACTAGTCAGTCACGACATGAGTCTGATTCCGACTCTGATTCGTTCAGAGCCGACTCAGATGGACCGATTTCTGATTCTGAGACACACCGTACCTTGTGAATCATGTCATACGGGTCCACGACGTTGCCAATCGACTTGCTCATCTTGGTACCGTCTCGCGCATTCACAAATCCGTGCGCAAATACGCGGGTGGGCAGTGGAAATCCCGCGCTCATGAGGATGCATGGCCAGATGACGCAATGGAACCACGTGATGTCCTTGCCGATAACGTGGACGCTGGCGGGCCAGTACTTGGACAACGCGCCGTTGGGGTAGTTGATGCCGTCGATGCCGCTGAGGTAGTTGGAGAGTGCGTCAAACCAGACGTACATGACGTGGTCGGGGTCGTTGGGCAGCGGTACGCCGTGGCGAAACGTCGTGCGCGACGCGCTGAGGTCGAGGAGCGGCTCTTCTAGGCGCTTCAAGATGCTCTGGCGGTGGGTTTCCGGCTGAAGAAACGTGGGGTTCGCATGGTAATGGGCGATCAAGCGCTCTTGGTACTTGGACATGCGGAAGAAGTAGGACGACTCCTGCATCTTCTTGAGCGGCGTGCCAGTTGTCGGGTCCTTGAAGTCGATCAGCTGCGCCTCGTTCTCAGTCACAAACGTCTCCTCGCGGACGTTGTACCATCCTTCGTACGTGCCCTTGTAAATGTCGCCGTTCGCTTCGGCCTTGCCAAAGATGAACTGCGCGAAATCAATGTGCTGCTTGCTCGTGGTACGGATAAAATGGTCGTTCGACATGTTCAGGTCCTTGGCCAGCTTCTGGAAGATGCCAGAGTACTTGTCGCACAGCGCGATGGGGGTCACGCCCTGCGCTTCCGCGGTCTGTGCGATCTTCTGGCCGTGCTCGTCCGTGCCCGTCAAGAAAAACACGTCGCGGCCGTACGTGCGATGGTACCGCGCGATCACGTCCGACGTGACGTTCTCGTACGCGTGGCCCATGTGCGGCTGTCCATTCGTGTAATGGATGGCCGTCGTGATGTAGAACTTCTCGCTGCGAGGCGCCTCCGCCTCCAACGCGCGCAGCTTGATCTCTTCTGTCTGCGCAGACACTTCCAGCGCCTCCACTTGCTTGTTTAGTTCGTCCATGGTCTGTGAGTCAGCCACAGAAAAATCTCGTTCTGCCAGTCACAGGGCAAGGGATATGGTTTCGGAGGGTTTCCTAATTAGGCAATTCTGGGCCTGAATTGAGGTCTATTGAAGGAATGATGGTCCACGACCTACATCCACGTTGAAATGCGCAGGATCGAATCGCCGCAAGGAATATGCAAGGAAACACAACCAAATCAATGAGTTACTCGAGAATGGTTAGTGTACTACGTAGTAGAAGTGCCAGTTGAACCACAGCCACCACCTCCACTACTGGCACAGCCACCACCTCCACTACTGGCACAGCCACCACCACCACTACTGGCACAGCCACCACCGCCACTACTGGCACAGCCACAGCCACCGCCGCCACCACTCGCGCAGCCGCCTCCACTGGCCGCGCATCCAGAACTGGTGGTATTCAAGTCGCCCAAGCTGACCATACATCCGCCGGCGCTGGTGAGTACGTTGCTGCTGGCGAAGCCGCCACCGCAGCCACAATTCATGATTCCACCCATGTCAAAGTACACAAACGCAGCGAGGCCACCGTCGCCCATGAGAAAGTTCTGGTGGGAGTATGGCAACCGCACACGGCCATCCATGACGGGCGTGCCGATCACAGCGACGCGGACATCGTTTGGCACGATCTGCTTGGCGGCAGGGTCTGGGAGCACGGCGGTCGCGAATGGCAGCACCGCATGCAGCGGAAATGCTTCGTTGACCCCGACGAATCGGCAGTCGTGCGACGGCACCCGCGAGTGCTTTCGCCACGTAGCCTCCTTGGAGTACATGGGATTATTGCTAGCGGCCTTTCCCTCCTTATATGCTGCGTAGGCAGGGGCGTGCGACGAGTACGGCTCATTAAACACTTGTGACCACAGAATGAATGTGTCGGCGTACGCGACTTGCAAGTCGCCTCCGCCAATCATATCGTTGTGATCGACGACGTTGCCGTTCATATGCTGGCGACAGAACTTGCCGTATTCGTGGGGGTTGTAGCTCTGGTGGGTATGCCAGACCAAGTCAATGTCGGTGGTCGGGACGAGCGTAACCCCTTTAACCCGCACCAAGTGCATGAACTTGTGGTACCGAACGATCGCGGCGTTGAGTACCAACGGGGTAGCCCAGTACGACAGGTTGGGGCACACTTTATTGACAAAGTCCAGTTGCCGTAGCATCGCCTGGACGAGGTCGAGTTGATTGGAAGGAGAAAAAAATGATTGTAGGGCCGCGCGAACTTGGAGTGTCAGCGCTTGGATGCCGGCGCGGCTGCCCTGCGGCGCGAGTTGCCGCATGCGCTGGCGAACTTCGTCCATGTACGATGACAGCTTGCCATCTGGCGGCATTGGCGGCATGTCCAGCACCAGCGTCACGGGCTGGTTGCGCAAGACACAAGGCATGACAAACGATGGGGTTTGCCGAATGAACGATGCGAGTTTGAACACTTGACGATTCACGGGGCGGTGGCAGAGTGCGCACACCATCGAGTCGCCCTTGATGTGTAGGTTGTACGCAGTGGTCATGTGAAACGTGTAGCTGCAGTTGGCATGCGGACACTTGGCAAAGAGGGACTTGATGGGATGCTTGAGGATAGGTGTGGGGCCAGCGCGCTTCTGGGTGTGCTGGGCGTACTGCACCGGGTGCAGCTTGTGCACGGTGTGACAAAAGCTGTCCACGGTCGGGTCGTGGCAATACGCGGCTTCCAAGTCGAGCAAATGCACATACAGCTCTTCCATGTTAAGGCACGACGACTGAAGGTCGTACATGGATTGCATTTCGGCCAAATGGAGTTGGACCTGTTCCACGCTCACGCGGGACGTGGCGACGGTCTCCGACGGCGGCACGGCGGCGTGGGATTCGACAATGTCCATCGCCACGCCAAGCAACGACGTTAACAGGTCCGCGTCGGCGGTCGGCGGGGACGCGGCGGCCGCCGCAAGCAGCGCGGCTTGGAACTTTTGCACGCGTGACACAGACGGACTCGACACTTCCAGCGGCCGTGACGACGGACGGGACCGAGACTCGAGCGCGTACACCACTGAGTCGGGTGCTTTCCGTCGCAGCGTGACGTCCGCGGCGTTGAACGTGTGCAGAATCTTCCCCACCGATGTATCCACGATCGTGAGCGTCGGCCCCGTGAGCGCAAACTGCCGCCACTCAAACTTGCTCGCCAAACCAAACAACAAACCCGACGACGACTTGACGAGGAAGTCCACGGCGTACTGCGAGTCAGCGGACATGGCGACAGGAACGCCGAGAGGCATAGAAGGAGACGGCGGTGGACTCATGGAGCGGTCGGTGGTCCTCGTGTTGAAGTGACGGGCAATTGGATTGTGATTGCCTGCATGTTTGGGAAATGGAACAATCCGTGGATGTTTTCGAGCTCCAATGGACTAGTACATCGTAGTAATACTATTAAGAGTACTACTAGTCATAGAAAATACTTCTTTAATGACTTCGTTTTTGTACTGGGAATTATTTCACTTTTTAGTTACTACTAGTGTCAAAAGTACGTACTACAAGTGAATACCGGATACCAAATATCCGGAAGGTCCAGATTCGTGTCTTGCCTGCACTGTGCCATGACGCTGATCGAGCCGCTCGAGTTTCGCCGAGTGCATCTTGCCATCCTGTTTGGCTGTGGGATTGTGTTCAAGGGGCTATGGAAGCACCTGACAGGAAGCCACCTCATCGTGTTCACCGTGTGCGTGGGGGGTCTGTACCTGGCCAAGCTCATGAAACCCAAGGACGCGCTCGACGAGGAAATTGAAAAACTCGACGCGGCATTGACCTCGTCTGACGGTGACGATGTCAGAACGTATGTCCGACCGACCAAGTTTATCGTCCCCGAGGCCGAACGGGGCTTGTTCACGTACGTAGTGCACCCTAAGCTAAGACTCGATGACTCATGCGTGCTCGTTCTCACAGGGCGAGGCAGCGGCAATATTCGTCGCTTCTGGGCGGCACACAAGCTCAACGGCGTAAATTCCTTCGAAAGAAACCCCAAATAGAGGACAAGAACGACCACAGCTTCGACGGCAACCCTGCCCCCTCGTCCATCGCGATGAATTCCGCGCCAACGAGCGAGGAAACGGTAGATACCGCAGTGCCAGAAGCATCGGCGACCGACACAACTTCATCCACCACCACCCACCGACGGCGGCGCTCCACACGAGCTCCGTTGGATCAATCGTGATTCCCAATCAACGCCATGGTGTACATTCGTCTCCATGCACACTATTAATACCGTAACATGATCAATTTATGATATTAATACACTGATCGATTTCTTTATGCTAAACGCAATGCAGCCAATCAGGAAGCTGAAATCAACAAATTACTATATGTAGCATTGGGTATTCATTCAAAATATGTAATAACGTAAACGGCCACTTTATGGATACTTTTAATGAGGCGTTGCTGGAGAATTGGCATAACTTCCTGAAAACTGGTCATATTTTGATTTCGATTCTTGCCAAGATGAAACGCAGAACAATCCAGTATGACTCACTCCATCGGGTCTTGAGGGGATTGTTGTGTGCAAAACAACCAATTTTCAAGGCAATTACACTTGACTTGAGTTGACGGTTTATGGATACTCTTTTATACTTAAAATATGTATGCTCTCTTGCATACGTTTTGCTAGAATAGGGTATTAAAATTAAACGGGTAAATATGTATTTGAGGCAGGTTATTGATTCAAAGAGTCGGCCGCACATACCACATTTTACCAAAAGACCCAAGATTACCTACCACAACGGCAAATCTAGCCACATCAAGTGAAGTACACAAAAGGTATGAATGCATTGCTTCATCTAGACAACAACACTGTCCACTATGTCGTATTCGTCTGATTGTGGAGACTCGTAATCTGAAGAGTCTGTCGATGTCGCTCCCGTCGCGCGCTTGGGTGATAAGTGATAAGCTGTATTATTTTGTGGAGGTTTTGCCGCTCAAAATCCTGGAGATTCTATTGGCTTATCCGACTTATCCATAAACCGTCCAAGTATCCATAAAGTGGCCGTTTACGTTATCATAAATTGATCATCGTAAAGTGCCAATTTAAGGCGTAAGTGCCAATTTAAGTCGTATATCGGATAGCCAATCACCAGGCGAAGTCACTGTGCATAATAGAACATCAAACTCAAACTTTTCTTTTCGCGCCGACCATGCCTGCTCCTCGAACGAGAGGCAGGTACACTCAAGAAGAGCTCGAGTTCGCTGTGAACGAAGTTCATCAAGGGCGACGTGGAACCGATGTTGCCCGCGATACTGGCATCTCCTACGAAACCATCATGCGAAAGGTTCGCCTGCTCAAGGCAGGCAAGGACCTCACGCCAAAGCGGCGTGGTCCCAAGCCACTGTTTGCGGACTCGTTCGAGCAAGACACAGTCGCGGGTGGTGTTCGTTGTACCAAAGTGCGCAGTGCCAAATTGAAAATGGTCTCCAAAGATTTCGAAGGACTCAGGAAACGTATAACCTGTTAGAATAAATAATTTCCCTGCCGAAATTGAATACCCTAATCGCAGAATTTCGATGCAAAAACGTAATACAAAATGCAAGGTTAAATTATACGACTTAAATTGGCACTCAGACCAAATGCAAGTGTGATTACAAAATTGCATTTATGCACCTCTAAATGACCTTAATACATCATGCCTCTGTTTTGATTGGGTTGTGGAGTGATTTCTCTACACGGGGAATGCCTCAGACACGAGATAGGGCCATTTTACCGAAGCAAAAAATTTGGTATGTCATAAATTGGCACTTTGCGTTATATTAATACTTGATGCTCCATTTCGGTTGAAAAATGTGATTATAACATTTCACATTTCATCTACTGTATAAGCATATCAAGTTTCAGAGGCGAAATTGGACTTTGTATCGACGAAAATGTGTCAACGTTTGATCAATTTACACATCAATTGGAGGTCTGGTTATAAAGGCAGTTTTACACAGGGCCATTTACTCGAACTAGGACATTTGGGTTAAAAAACTCTCCTAGCAAGACAAGTTTCATTTTTGATCAGATTTGTTGAATTCGGCCCTAATATAGCGCTTTGGGCCTGAATATTATTGCAATATTTCCGGTTACCAGACGGGCCATGAATTCGGCCCCAAAATGGCGTTTTGCGCCAGAATATTGATGTAATACTTCAGGTTGCCAGACGGGCACTTAGGTACCCCCCCCCATCATCATCATATCTATTGCCACTGCTTATACTGGCCGACATGGTACATCAGCGGCGCAATGAACAGCAGACTGTCCATGCGATCGAGGCAGCCGCCATGCCCAGGGAACAACGCGCCCGAGTCTTTGATTTGGGCTACGCGCTTCAAATATGACTCCACCAGATCCCTACAATCATATCATCGTTAAATATGCATGGTACCACCCCTCCCCCCAAGAATCCCCACACTAGATGGCTCACTCACCCCATCACACAGAGCACCCCCATACCCCCCCCCAAAGCCACTTGCTCACCGTAATGCAGCGGTGGCAACAAGTCTACGAATAAATCCCATATCATGCTCAGAATATGCCAAGGTATGTACATAATAGATGATCGCAGGACCTGGAGTTCCAATGATATGCACTATCGCAAACGCCCCAGTGACTGTGAGCATGCCAAACACTACACTCCCCCCAGCCCCTGCGGTGGTCTTCCCAGGGCTGATCGTGGGCAGCAGTTTGGTCGAGCCAAAAACGCTGCCCGCGACCAGTGCCCCCGTGTCGCAGAGCCACGAACACGATAACGTCATGATCTACAAATGAACGTGACACCCAATCCAGTGTAGCCAGGCTACCAACGATGACGTTATTTACGCACTTGGAGCCCCATGCCGTAGGACGTGGCATAACGAACGAGAATGGCGTGCGAGAAGCCACTAACGTTAGCATGGGTATAAGATGGAAAAAAGGTACACATGAAGAGTGTATGTATGTACTGGACGATGTAGGTCATTGCAACGAGGTCGAGAAAGAGGTCGACAATGCCGGCGTGGAGGGACGTCGCCTTGGATGGAGGACTTCTTGTCGTCGCCAAGAGCAAGTGATAGCCAAACACGACAACGTACCCCGCAGAAGTGGCAGCATCTAACGTTTGTGGTGGGATCTCTCACTCGATGACGATACTGGACACCGAATGCGTGGACCTACCATGAAGTGGTTTGCTTTGGGTGGCAGCCACTGCAACCAGACATCCCACGGAGACGACGAATGCAGCGTGCACAAGGTGGTTCTAAGCATCGGTACGTACAAGTGAAGACGACACTATGACCGCATGATGATGGCGGTACCTTGGCCTCTGGCTTTTGACCGACGACGTGCAACAGCAATGGAGGACACAGATTCAAGCGGAACTCGATCAGACACCCGGACATGATCACTGTGGCCAGCACCGCCGTGCCAATCGAACTTCCGAGCAAGTACATCGCCGCGGGGGCAGCCACCACGACAGTTAAGATGCGCCGTGTCCACTCCACGCCCATTGTTGTTCAAACTAACCTAGTGGCGACGGCATCCGTATAATAGAGGCGAAATCATGAAACGTACTATCCGGAAAACCATGCTGTCGTATCTCCCTTCACCTTCGCATGCCATTTGTTGTTATGTTATCGTTCGCTCCAAAATACTGGACGAGAATATTATGATATTATTAATAACGTTACTCGAACTTCAAGGTATATATATACTGTAATAGTAATAATAAAACTGTATTCTTAGAGCAACTCCACCCGTCAGTCTTTTACTATTAATAGTACAAAGTTGAGGTTTTTACGGATAACCCATACTATTATTAATAGTAGTACATATAGGACCAGTCAAGTCATACTAACCCCGATGCTCCCGAATGTGATGGTTATACCTTAAATGCACCTTATCATCTGTCTTGAACTCACTATTACCCTGTTTCGTCCCAGTGGATGCAGTCTCGTGTCGTTAACTCCTAAATATAAGACCAGCCCCAAACATCGGAGATGCTCTTTACTGTTAGGTTAGGCGATTTAAAATGGTTTTAGAATAGGCATAGTTTCGACGACAGATGAGAGGAACACACACGCAACTCGGTGGATAAAAAGTTAACGTAAAAAGAATTGGACGACCCAATTACACGCTATGGATCTTGGACTTTTCAGCGTTGAGCGAGGGCGTCAGCGGACTAGAGCCGAGGAGGTGGGGCACCTCTGGCGTCACAAGGTTGACGGGTTTGTCGGGTTTGTCGGCTGACTTGCGCGAGTTCTTCTTGCGAATCGCCATGAACGCCACGGCGGCGACAGCGGCAACGCCCACGACACCGACAGTGATACCTACGGTGTTGGAGCTGGTCTTGATGTCCTCCTTGGTGGTTGGCACGGCAGCCGCATCCGACTGGACCACGGCTTGGTGAACTTTCTCGCCCTCTTCGACTGGGCGCTGCGCTTCGCCCACTTGGTCGGGTTCGCATGGGTGGTGCTCTTCGCCCACTTGGTCGGGTTGGAATGGGTGTCGCGATTTGCCCCCTTGGTTGGGTTCGATTGGGTGGCGCGATTTGCCTCCTTGGACGGGTTCGAACGTGTGGTGCTCTTCGTCCACTTGGTCGGGTTCGAATGCGTGGCGCGATTTGCCCCCTTGGACGGGTTCGCATGGGTGATGCTCTTCGTCCACTTGGTCAGGTTCGAATGGGTGGTGCTCTTCGCCCGCATGGTCAGGTTCGAATGGGTGGTGCTCTTCGCCCGCTTGGTCAGGTTCGAATGGGTGGTGCTGTTCGCCCGCATGCTCAGGTTCGAATGGGTGGTGCTGTTCTCCCGCATGGTCGGGTTGGAACGGGTGGCGCGATTTGCCCCCTTGGACGGGTTCGAATGGGTGGTGCGCTTCACCCACTCCTTGCATGGGTCCTGCTCCTCGTTGGGGCACGCCAACAGCGTCCACTCCGGCTCGCAGCGCGTCCTTGTAGCCGCAGACAAAGCCGGTAGAGCGTTGCACACAGTGGGTGTCGACCTTGAGCACGCATCGGCCTTGGTAGGTTCCAGTAGGATGGAAACTTGGGGCGTCTTCGGTACATTTGGCTTCGGCGTGGGTGTTCGACGTCGGGCATTCGCCTGAGTGAGTGCTGGTGCACACGTTCGAGGACGCGAAGCAGAAGCGCGCGTCACCTTCCACGTCCACGCACGGGTCTTGCGCCCATCGGTGGTTGGTGCTGGTGGCACATACGGCGACGGCGGCGACAAAGACTACTCGCTTCATGACAGACACCTCGGACGTTGTTTTACAGAATGGACTGGATCATGAGGAGTTGGATTTGTGCCACATGTGCGTGATGAAGAATCGACACGACCAACTTGATTGGGATATATATTCTATTGCATTACGAGCACCAATGTTGTATAAGTTGGGTCGCTTGTTCGCAGTCTCTCTGCGTCGGGGTAGAGATTTTGGGCCATGTTCGCAGTCTCTCTGCGTTGGGGTGAAGATTTCGGGCCATGTTCGCAGTCTCTCTGCGTTGGGGGGAGATGCGGGAACAGGACACAAACACATCACTATGAAGAATTAAGGGTCCTTGACTCCTTCAAGCCATGGTGTACCATTGTCGAGGGGATACATGCATCTTTATTCAAGCTGTCACATGCGAGTCAACCAGGAGGAGTCAAACGGCGTGTACATGCGCGCGCGACAGTTACATATTGTATTATTATTGGCTTGAAGATCTTTATGCTGATATTTGTATTAAGTATGCGTATTTTTATTCATTCCCATAATTATTTATGTTCTACATATCCATCCTGCAGATTGTGCAGGCGTGCGTATGTACGTACATGCAGGAAAGGCGCGACGCAGGTCGACGATTTATCAATGCGTACTACACAAGGGGTCACGAAACTCTCCACTCCTCATAACAACAACCAATACTATCTACAACACCTTATTGCTTGTCGCCCGAATCAACAACTGTAGAGAAAGACAACTTTGAACTTGGCAAATTCGTCGTATTTCAAGAACAAGCGTGTATATGTGGGTAATATGCCTTATGCCAGAGAGAGCTGTGCATGCATAGGCCATGCTGTATAGGCTGCGCTAGTATTGGGCTATCTTGTAGTATCAGTAGGATTGCGCTAAGTATTACACAGCTCGAGAAAAGCGACATCAAAGTTGGTCCATTTTCGATATATGCGCATGTCGAGATGACCACGAAACATGCACTTGCGCAATAAAATAACTTGTCCGCAAACGTAATGCAGTATCCGGAACTGCTCAGTTTTCAATGTGAAACGGCGCGAGTTTTCTGAATATGCAAGCGCTACACTTGCAGTGAGCGATAGAAAGCGTATCAGTACAGCAACCAAAGACCCTCTCCAACAAGTTGGATGACTCCGAAGAAACTCCAGAATTGCTTTCGCCATCCAGAAACGCCTCGATTTTGGCCTTACATAATTGTATACCGCTTGGTGGGAAGTTACAGTAAATTTTGTGTACCTTTATAGACGGATAAAAATTGTACATAAGTGATAAATGTATCAATCATTTCCGTACAGAGGTAGGAAGGAAGTACTACGTAGTAGTGCAGTATAGTAGTACCATTAACGTTAGAAGACGTAAACGATGAACACACGAGGAGACTGCGCCTAAAGCGTTATTTTGATCTAAACCTTTGTATATGGATAATTCTTCTAACTGTAAAATCAGTATAGCTTGATATAATTAGGAGGAAAACACAGTGAAAATCAATCATTATTCCGGACAGTTTTGTCCCATAACTTTAAGGGTATTCTAATTAGGGCTCTCTAATGAGTGAAATCAGGTTCCTAATAAAAGTATCTATTTGGAAGTATACCTACAGTATGGTCCAGGCAATAACCTATTTTGCCCGAGGTAAATGCTCAAAAAGCCAAATCAATCAATCATTTCCGTAGCGAGGTACGTAGTGATGCTAAAGTAAGCAATCATTGACTGGCCGAATTTGATTATGCTTGTTTGGAGCATATCTCATGCAGTATATATAACCAGCTACATTTTTATATATCTTCAGTCCAAGCACTTTACTGTTAGTTCGATGCAGATAGCAAGCATTTAAATGTTTGGAATTGAAGTGTTATAATTGTAAAGATGACCACTTCAAACAGTTACTCGTGGATTTGCCGAAATATAGATTTGATCATCAACTAACGTGACCACCTCTCATTGATCAGCCGAACTTGAGGTTAACTTGAGGTCCCTTCATTTGAGCATACCTCGTTCACTTTAAGTTGCCACTTCATGAAAGTGGTGCTTTCGGAATCCCTGATTCATCCTCTATTATATGACCTGCTTACAAATCAATTTAAAGAGTTCGAACTTTGGCAAATAAATTATTGAAATGGGCGAATCGGCTGATCCATGATCAGCCGATTCACATACTTGTTTAAACTATTGAATATTTCTACCGGTAGAGTTGAATATGAGGTTGAAACTCTATAACTACTACTGTACGTAACGTTTAGTAACATAATTCCTTGAATAATATTAACTAACCAAGGGTTTCATTCCTGCGGTAGATAGTTTGATCCAATCATATGCAATTCGGGAAATCAATGATGCATCAGCAAAATCAATGTTTGCTTACCTTATAATCGAATGAGTACAGTACTACAAGTACTACTAGTACGGTGCATACTTCACTTCTACAGTACTAGTAGGTACTCCGATTAGTGTTCTGTTTACTGCTCCACGCTTCAATCCGTAAATCCGTTTACGGGGAAGTACTTAAAATGCATGAATGCGTAGTACTACGTTGTACTGTATCATTAACAGTATAGTGTTTTTCTGGCAAACACAGTACGTAGTACTGTACTGTGTTTGCCAGAAAAACTCGAAGAAAGTAGCACTCGTGAATAAAATAAATTTTTGAAACCTGGGAATTGTAGCAATAGATCCAATTGGATAAAATTGACAGCATTAATCATTGATTGTGCTCAGCTGTGATTGGCCCAACTCAATTTGAAATTTGAAACTTGGACGTCCATGTAAAATGGCATTTGACGAAACGCTGCGGCGTTACACCAACGCTAAGCTTTTTTTGGATACTCGACGACGCCGACGACTTATTTACGCGACTCTGCATCGTCGCTCATTGCAGCAGCATGGGCCACCAAGGACACCAGGCCATGGCAGCCCACATGCAAAAAATATTCTACATCCGCGAGCTTGATACAAAGCTCACGGCATGGACGCAGACGTGCTTGCTATACCCGCATACTAGGGGTGACAGGGTCGTTCAACGACCTCAACAGTATGCTTGGCACGCGACGCACCGAAACGAAGGCCTACAATTCGACTTCCTATTTATGGGCGAAGCGTGGCGAAGTCTGAAGTACGTCCTGCTCCTAAAGACGAATTGACCTACTACGCCTACCAGCACAGTACAACATAGTGCCTGCATATTGCCCATGGCGCAACGGGACGGTCGAACGAGTCAACCGCGACATTTTGGGACTCATGCGAATCATGCTGAGTGAAACAAGACTCAAGCAAACAGAATAGGATTATCTGTTACCGCTTGTACAAGCCAACATCAACCGAGCGCCGGTGGCGACGCTGGACCACACAAGCTCTATGGAATGCTTCACAGGCTTGGATCCGACCACAGCGCTCATCGTTGGTAAAGTCAACGTGCGATTATCGAAGACTGGTTTTTCACTTGATCGACTGGAAAGAGAAGAAACTACGGCAAGCCGAGGAGGATCTACGAAAATCAACAATCGTCGACAAAAGACGCGCCGCCGAAAACAAGTGAATGCTTGAGAAGACTGACCAAAACGAAATGAAGGTCACAGAAGGAGAGTTTGTGCTTTGGTCACGCGTGGACGAGAATACACACTACACCAAGCTGACTGGTCATATGGATTGGCCGCTTCCGAATCCTCAAGTGCCTGTCCTACTCGTGTGTCATAGAACACTTGATTACGGGGGTGCAGCACGAAGGACATCACTCACAACTCAAGTTCTACGCGGAAAGCCACTTTTAGGTCACTGAAGAAATTATCGACCACGTCAGAGCAAGGGACCACGCTGGTTGTTGACCAAACCCTGGTTCTAACCAGTGGGAATTACTGATCCGATGGAATGACCTAATGAGCCTCGAAGCAAGCTGGGAACAGCTCCCGGCGATGCACCAGGAGATCCCATCCTTGGTGCAGTCGTTTGCCGACCAATTGCTAAACGGCGCTATACGCGAAGGGCCGGGCAAGACCCTAGAACGGTTGTAGAGTACCCACCTTCATATCATTATTGCGAGTTGTCTTACACGAGCTAGGTGCCGGACACGGGCATGGGGGAGTGTTGCGTTGCCAAGATGGACATACCCGTAGTCCTAGCACACACTGGACGCGCCTTGCTGGAGCCATTCGGGCGGTCAGGCGCGGTGTGTGGTGCGAGCAGGAAGGGTTAGGGTCAGGAAAGGCGAGGTCTAGTCTCCGTTGATTCGTGGAACCACAAGGGGATTTAGACCTGGAGTTAGTATAGGATCAGTTTAGTCAGTGAGTAGCTCAGTTCTAGTTTTGCCTCCAACTTCCGCTTCCCACCGAGAATTCTTCATCGGCCTCAAGTGCATTAACTTGAACGAGATGGCCATGAATCTTTTGAAGCTTGCCTTCAGCGACTTTAACACACCCTTTGATGGCATGCGGTGTCAACCTTGCAAACGCACCTTCCAATGGCGTTTAACTTCACTTCCGCAAACTTGGTCATGTCAGTGGACTGGCGACCAGCATCGCCTTTGACAAGGTCCCACATTATCTCAATAAGCTGTAGGTTGGAATGATGGGGTGGAGTGAATACAACTGTATGGCCACAAAAACAAGGAACACGTTGGCCTCGATGTACAGAGCCTGATTGGCCCAAAGAACACGTTTGTAGTCCGTGATACTGGCTTGAATCCCGTAACCGCTGTACGCTTGCAGCAACACGTCGTTCCGTCGGTGGCTGGCTGGTAGCTTGACGCCCATGTAGTATTTGGCGTTATCCATAACAACCAGAACGCCGGCCACCCCAATTCAGTCTAACTCATCCAACAACCCGCTGAACCAGTTGACGTAGTATGTACGATCAAACATACCATGGTAGCTTGGCGATGCTCTTCCCACCGGTGAATATGCCGACGCCCTTTGTGTTTTTACTTGGTCTCAAGATCAAGTTCATCGTTGGGGTCATACAAGGTGTGATTGCGGCACTTGTAGTGATGGTGTATGCATGACTCGTCCGTGTACACGATGTGGGGGCGTTGTTCAGATGCGACGTACGGTTGCATCAACTGGAAGTAGGTGTCACGCGCGAAAGCGATCTTGTTCGAGAGGTGGTAGGTCGACGATCGTTTCCGAGCGCCGAGCTTGTAACCTTAACGGTCGAAAACACGTTTGACGGCTCGGAGATTGGCTGTATACCCCTTTTTGTCGTCTAAGTTGAAGTCCAGTACACACATTTCGTTGAGAAATACTGCGACGTCAACTGCTTTCGTACGAGCCCTTGTAGCGCGGCGTTCGCGGACCATGGTTTGTACCATTTTCACCACATCTCTGGGTTTCGGTATCATGTGAGTCGTCGTGTTGGATGGCGGGGTTGCAATAGTGACCATGCGTGTGTCCAATACTTTGCATGGCGGGGTTGCAATAGTGACCATGCGTACGTCAAATACTTTGCATGGGCAATCTGGTTTGCCGCTACGTGTATGTCTTGACTTCGGAACCATGCGTGAAGACGAAGGATGTCAAGACGCTCAGTTCTGGTGAATGTGCGGTGACAAGCTTCCTTGACAAATTCAAAACATGCCTCGATAGATGGGTCCATGGGCATCATATTGCTTAAAGACTAGTTTCTTGGGAACTATTTTTGTCCGTGGCTGTGTCTATTTTCAACCTTCCCAGGATATGAAATTATATCGTACCATAACATGAAAGGTCCGACCGATAGCGGTCATCTATGAATAATACTGGGGTATACTTAATTCAAGATAAAGGCAAGGGCTAAAGCTATTGTATGTGAACAAATACTGCGAGTACATCATGTCTGCAAAGCTATCTCTTCATTGACGAGAGGCTACGCATACCTTGTCCAGATATAAACTTCGTATACCTAATGTATAACCTAGATTAGTAGGACTGTTCCTCCAGCAATACAGTACTATGTATGGCAGTACTGTAACGCTGTAACGGTGGGTCGGACGGACCCTGGTGAATTATTTTACCATTATCAGTATAACTTGATGTTTGTATGGGCATAACCCATAATGGCCACAAAGGTCCGACCAATTATTCATAGATGAACCATTCTGGGTACCCAACCCTACCCTATTCCTACCCTAACCCTCACACTTTTATTGGTTGGAAATTAAACTAAGAGTGACATGATTGGCTAGAACAGGAATAGAATTATGTGATTCGCTAAATTAATGTCATACAAATAACAAGTGAGGTCGGAGGTGACCCATTATTCTACCATATAAACTGTATATATACTGTTAGACCTTGATAAGACCAAAGGGTGGGACCATAAGACCACAACTGGTCCTATATACTATTAATAGTACCTCTTAGTAATTGTCCGCAACAAAAACCTCAACTACTAGTATTACAGTCCAACGCGAAAGGTTATCACCACCATGTTTTTCTCAATTTTTTTCCAAAGTATTGAAAATTAAATTAATCCAAAAACATGCCCAGATTTGTATACTAAAAACAAGCATTTCTAGCTTTGAATTGCAATAAAGTTCAAAATATTGAGTGAGCAGTGAAAAAAAAAACGTTTTTGCTCCGACGCAAAAGGTTATAACCACATGGTGACTGACGCGTTCAAACCACATTTGGCCACGTGTATA